CATTCCATAGACGGTCGGCTGCTTCTTGAAAGAGTAGACAGCATGGAGTGTACTGTCGTCGGCAAAGCTGTGTATGGGATTTCAGGCGGAGGCGAGAAGATCATTGATGTGCAACAGGAAGGGAGTTGGAGAGAGGACTGAGCCTTTGGGTACACCTGCGTTCGTCAACGGTCGGCATATTCGCCACCGATATCCCGAGCCTTCTTGTGCGATTCGGAGGAATTGCGAAGGGTCTCATCTCATCGAGGCAGATCATGTGACCTGGCACTCCGCGATATACATGAGCATGGCGAGGCTGGCCCCGAACACGACCAAGAAAGAAAAAACCGCCATCCTGGGCGTACAAGGGGCGAGAGACTTACCAACCTCCTGAGTCCGCCTCCCCTGTCTGCGCCCATACTCGAAGAGCGTAGCATGGATCGCAGGTTCTGCGATGTTTACTCAGGTACAGAACTCAACTCCGGCGACAGCGTCTACGCTGAATCGCGAGCATGCACTTTATTCGATTCCTCGTATCATCGATTTGGAAGCCTCAGAGAACTCCATGAAGTCCGAGTCGTCTCACAATCAGTCAAACTCTTCGTGGCAGGGGTTCCGACTGCCGAATATAAAAGCAAGTATTTCTACGTATGCCCCCCCCTTTGCCCCCCTTGCATTCAGAGGCTGGCAGACAACCGACATCTAAGTCGACGTCAACGGCTGCCCATGGAACGCTTGCCCTTGACGTGACTTCTTTGACGCCCCATCTTTCGGAAATACCGATAAATATTCCGAACTCGAAGCAGGGACCTCAATGAACTAGAACCAGACAACGACTCGTTGAGACCAACGCCTGCATTCCGCAAAATAATGCATATACCGCTTGTCCTCCACTCGATTTCCCACTGTCCTCGGAAACGCTGTCTTTAAGAGAAAAGGAGCTGGGGACATTATTTTCGGATGTAAGATCCTCGATGCTTTTTCTCGTAGGTGTGAACCCTGAGACGGGCATGCCATCTTCCGAGACGAAACTATGGCGAAGTCATCAGGAAATCGAAAAGCCAGTGAGGTAGCCCATCGCTCTTCTCCCTCTAAACTCTTAACCACGCCTGGCGATTAGATTCTGATGTTGATCCTTAGGTCAGGGCCCAATCAGAGCTCTATGCAGAACACAGCGACGATCCTCTGGAATACCGAGGGGCGCGCGATCGTGACACAAGAATACTATTTCAGTGAGGGACCGGAGAACATGCTGTTGATGCACTGAGGAATTAGCAGCACAATGAGATATCAATGGAGATTCGGGGACCTTTTGTCTCCCAGCCCGGGTATAAATGAATTCGACCCCACCATCTCCACGGCGAGCGCATTCATCGAGCAAACCGAAATCCCGTGAAGATGAGAGATTGAGAAACTGCTACCTGAGTTTTCCGGCTACGTTCCTAGCGGCTGATCGCCCCACCGTCGCGTCGCGCGTGGTTCCGCTCGGGGATCCCGATGCCTCCGTGGATCAGCGTCTCCGAGGAGCGATCAGACTCTCAGAGAATCTATCATCACCGACCCGTCGACCGGAGTACACATCAGAAGAATCGGACCGCTTGAAGCCTCACAACGCAAACCACTCTAAGTATTCGGAGTTACCCCTCATTGAGCTCCAGACTGTATCCTGAAACTACCTAGCTGGTATTTCAGATAGTCCTTACATCTGAATCTATTCCTCGGTGCTATGCACGAAGAAACATCATATCTGTTAGGTCTTAGCGGAGCGAAATGAAAACGTCCGAGTGCTGTGGAGTGAATCAGCATACTCGATCTCTTTTATTGAAGCAGACCGCGATGTATTGCTTTTCCAGAAACGCCATTCCAATAGCTCGTAACTAGGGTACCTCTCAAGCGCGCGTGAACATGTCAGAACATTGGATAGGGCCTAACAACTCTCCCTCTCTTATCTCCAACGCGCCACTTAATTTAACCATTCTCCATATCGATTGGGTTCCCTTCTGACTCTAGCTGAACTACGTCTAGTGGCGTCAGTCGACACTTGCTCTTCTGAACGGTCTCGCAACCTCTCGACAGCTTCATCGCTAACTGTTTCACTCATCTCATCGATTACTACCTCGGAACTCGGCGTGCTATTACTAACTATCTGCGGCGATGCGCCTACTATGGCTGGCTGCTGCATGCTGGACGTCTCGAGTTCCGATGCTGAGTTGTCTGCCGATAGGAACGAATCCTCAGAGACGAGCGACTCGTTACCATTCTGCTCGCAATCTGACGATATGTACCACGGAATTTCGTCTCCTTCGGCGTCTTGCTCTTCTTGTAGTGTTCCCTTTGGAGGCGATGCGATTTGTCTTTTTCTTAGCTGATTGAAATGTCTCTTCCATTCTCCGCGCTGTACCTTTACAACGCAGGTATTCCTTCCGAGGATTCTGATCACCTTTCCTGTTGCCCATTTTTGCGTTTCCGCTGTAGTTCCTTGCGATGACATCATCGCCCACGGCGAACTTGCCATTCGGGTACTGTGGGGTCACTCTGATCCTCGGGATTTCGGGCACTTCACTGATCACGTCCAATTTGGATCTGAGTTGGCGCCCGATCATGAGCTCTGCCGGACTGCGATTTGTCGCGGCGCTGCTGACCAGTCTTTGCCGGAACAGAAATCGCTGGATCATGCTATGGAGATTTTCTCCGCTCCCCTCGGCCTTTAACTTTTGGAGTGCTTTCTTTGTTGTCTGAACGTATCTTTCTATCTGACCATTCGAAGCTGGGTGGAATGGTGGGGAAGTTTTGTGAACGATTCCGTTTTCTTGACAGAAGGTCTCGAATGACAGCGATGTGAACGTTGGGTCGTTGTCCGATACTATCACTTTTGGGAGTCCAAACCTGGCGAATACCTCGCGGAGCATCTTGAGCGTGTCTGCCGTTGTTTTCGTTTTTGCTGCAGATATCTCTAACCATTTTGAGTTGGCATCAACGAGTAACAACAGGTACTGACCTTCTACTGGCCCCGCAAAGTCGAGATGTATTCGATCGAATGGGTGTTCCGCCGGTTCCCAGCTGTGGTACGACCTCGCAGGATTCTTCGCGTGCATCTGGCATATTTCACATATGCTGGCCTTCGTGTCGATATCTTTGTCGATGGTTTTCCTACCATACGTGTCGTCTTGTCAAGTTCTTTCATCTTTTTTGCTCCGAAATGTCCTTCGTGTAACTCCTTTAACACCTCGTTTTGACACGATTCAGGGATCACAACACGGTGTCCTCTGAAGAGTACGTCTCCACGAACCGTGAATTCGGAGACGTCGACGGTAGCGAACTTGTTAGAGCCGATTCTGTCCGAGTTCATTGCTGCTAGCAGCGAGACGATAAACTTGGATTTCTTGCTCTCTGCTGCTATTCTCTTTAGATTCAACGGTGTTTCATCTGCAATGTAATTGATTAACCACTCTTCGGCTTGGTCTTGGAGCGACGTCAACTCTTCGCTCTTCGTGGGAAGCCTTGATAATGCGTCAGCATTCCCATGCAGCGTTGTGTTTCTGTATTCGATGTCGTACTGAAACGCGGTAAGGAACATGCTGTAATTTTGCATTCTTGTTGCACTGAGGGGGGGTAACGATTTTGATGGGGAAAATATCGAAACCAAGGGTTTGCTGTCAGTTAACAGTAAGAAGCGCCTGCCGAATAGATAGTAGAAGAACTTATCCATTCCGGCTTTGATACCGAGTGCTTCCTTCTCTAATTGCGTGTAGCGTCTCTCGGTGGGCGTCAGCGTTCTCGAATAGTACGCGATCGGCCTCTCTGTCTTGTCTTCGTATCGATGCGATAGAATCGCTGAGATTCCATACGGTGACGCATCGGTCGCGAGCACGAGTGGTCGTGCTGGATCGAACGCTACCAGTACTCGTGGCGAACTCAGTTCTGCCTTGAGCGCGATGAAAGCCTCGTTCATTCGCTGCGTCCAGATGAATTTTGCTTCGCGACCGCTTTTCAACGCATCGTATAGGGGATTCGCAATGTCTGCTAATTGCTTTGCGAACGGTGCGTAGAATTGAATCATTCCCAGGAATCCTTTCAATTCGGTAATCGAAGATGGTGCGGGAGCGTTTCTAATGGCATCTACTTTCTCAGCACATTTGTGAATCTCACCGTGCTTGAGCGTAAACCCGCAGAAACGGATTTGCTCCTTGAAAAATTCGCACTTCTCTTTGTTGAGCCGTATGTCTTGTGAATCGAGCTTCTTTAGGACTTCTTCTAATCGTTGAAGGTGCTCGCCGTCTGTTGGTGCTGTTACTACGATATCATCGATGACGACTTCGACTCCGGGGATGCCTGCGAGTATTGCTTCGATGTATCTTTGCCAGACGGCGGCGGCACTGGACAATCCATTCGACATTCTCGTAAACTGGAATAACCCTCGATGGGTGTTGACCGTTAGAAATTTTTGATCCTGTTCTCTGACTGGCATGTGGAGAAATGCCGACGATATGTCAAGTTTAGAGAATTTGCGTCCCGTTCCGAGATTATCCAGCGCTTGCCGGATGCATTTCAAAGGATGATCTTCTAATTTCAAGAATCGATTGAGTCCAACCTTGAAATCGGCGCAAATTCGAACTTTCTTACCAGCTGCACGGGGAACGACCACTATTGGATGTGCCCAGTCGCTTACTTGAACGCGCTTGATTACGCCAGACTTCTCGAGATGCTCGAGTTCTTTGTCGACGAGCGCTAGCAAGGCGTGAGCGACCGGACGCGGTCGATGATAGACTGGTGTCGGGTTAGGTGCGCTGAAATGGAGTTTCATTTCGGTGCTCGGTATTTTGCCGATTCCGTCTTTCGTAAGGTTGGGGAATTTCTGTAGTAGCTCTTGAATCCGATTGTCGATGTTTTCAGTTTCGTTGTAGTTGCATGCCTCGTGAATCATCGGTTTGATCTGGAACGCTTTCATCCATATTCTTCCGAACAGGGTTGGGAAATCTGGTTGATTCACGAGATAGATACGCAGGTTCTGAATGTTCTCGTTGAACTCGACTTCGACTGATGCGAATGCTGTTGGAGTAATGATCTCCCCGGATGGAGATCTTAACCGGACGTCGTTTTCTTGTAGTTGATGATTCGGGAACTTTCTTGACGTAATTTGTAGTACGGCATTGTGGATAGAGCACAGCCTGTGTCCAGTTCCATATCAATTCGCTTTCCGTGGATACGTACTTGCATTATGATTGGGTCTCGATCCACAGCTGTAGTCATGAAGTTCGCCGGACACTCTTCGAGGAAGTTCTGCTGGAATCTTTTCTTCCTGCACGCCGATGCTAAGTGGCCCACTACTCCGCAGGTGTCGCATCGTGAGTTGATATGCGGGCACTTCGGAGCTAAGTGGTTGGGGTTGCCGCATCGGTAGCATTTTAATGAACTTGAAGCAGTTTGTCGAGGTGCTTGATTCCTTGCCGGAAATCGTCGTTTCTGTTGCATTCGGAGTGCGTTGACTTCGACGTCAGGGTTCGATGTGGGTTGAGTGGATGACGTTGCCTTTTGGGCTTTTCGTATTTCGTCGGCGCACGCGAACACTTCCGAGAACTTCGTTTTGTCCTTGCATTTGACCATTAACGCTTGTTTCGTATGTCGATCGGTCAGCCCGGCGATAAACTGCTCTATAAGGCTTAGCTGTTTCTCTGTATCGGGCCAATTGCAGTCGATCGACATTTTCCGAAGACGGCTTTCAAAATCGAGTAATGGCTCACCGGACGTTTGGACGAGTTTCCGAAACGCGATCCGTGCTGCCCATTTATTGGCATCGGGTTGGGTGAAATCCTTCACCTTCGCAACGATCTCGTCGAACGTAAGGTCGTTCGGATCCTGTTCCGGTGAAATCCTGTCGAACAACTTCGTATATGTGTCGGCGCCCATGTACGCCAACACCGCGTACTTCTTCTCCTCATTCGTAGTCTTCTTATTCAGCATCAGGTGGTTATTTAATCGACTGACCCAGGCGGGCCATCGCTCAGTGGATGGATCGAACTCACGAAAATTCGCCGACTCCGTAGACATCTTCTGGATGAACTTCTCGCACGTGACGGGTGTATCGTAGTTTTGATGAATCAGGCGTTTTTGTGGGGTTTTCTCACAATCCTCGTCGCCAATTGTTAGGTCTTAGCGGAGCGAAATGAAAACGTCCGAGTGCTGTGGAGTGAATCAGCATACTCGATCTCTTTTATTGAAGCAGACCGCGATGTATTGCTTTCCAGAAACGCCATTCCAATAGCTCGTAACTAGGGTACCTCTCAAGCGCGCGTGAACATGTCAGAACATTGGATAGGGCCTAACAATATCACTACGGGGATTCATCATCTTGTCGACGTAGACAAACCGGCAAACGCTGTCATCCCTCTGCAACATTAGGATCCCATGTTTTTGAGGAGTTTTTATGCGCTATATCCAGAAATCTGACCGGACCGCTGCCGAAGGCTAGCCATGTCGAGACTCTTTTCGTCAGCATGACGCACCAAATAGATTCAGAGGGCCGCGTGATTCCGAACCGGGTAGGCTTCTCCAGGGGACTCGAGTTTGTTCCCTCGAACCCCACATCTTTGGGGCTCGCTCATGAACAACGCTCTCGGGGACCCAAACCGGGAAACCTTCGTTTCAAGCAACGGGCCTGCAGATGCCGGGAGACAACCGACCCGTTCCGGTCTGGAGCCGATCATGAAGAAGACAAAACGAAAAATCGCCGACGGCACTATCCGTCTATGATCTAGTATTTCCGGAACAATCTGCAGGCTTAGGTTTCGACAGCGTAAAGTCGAATAATCGAGGCATTCAGTTAATATTCTGGAAGACGGGAACCCCCGATGTCGACTTCGAAGCCCTTTAGTAAGGCGTCCCCATAGGCTATTCGAGTCAATAAAGTTCCATCTTGAAGCTCCATCCGAAGGGTTTGGAACGACTTTCGAACGACCCCGCCAGCTCATGAGAACGCGATGATTGAGGGCATAGAGATCGACTTCGGCGGTGTCCGTCAAGGAGAACATGCACGGCGAGCAAGATTGTCGGCCTCGTTCCGATAAATCAAATGTGAATTCAGGGATGTCTCATTTATGTCATCGATGATCCATTGCTCGGGTCGATCCTTTTCACGAGACAGCGCATCGATTCACCAAATGCCGAGTAACAATTAGAAACAGTTTTTCTTCGGCGGATATCTTTGTTTTCGTTTCATGCTGTGGGCTTGTTTCGGCAGCTCTTCGATGCTGCACAATCCAAGGCCGTGACCACGATCATGTTGCATGGAACACCAGCTTCTCCTCACGTCGCTTTGATTGTCGCGCAGAATACCTCTTTTTCCTACATGCGCCGTTTTAAATCAGACATCTGATGTTCGTATCCTCATTCCTTGGCATCCAGCAGACGTGTTTAATTCGAGCTTTGATTCTTTCCACTCGGTTCTGTCGTGTGTGCTGAGCGGTCTTCCTTCCCGAGTCCTCATCATCATTCTCTTCGCGGTGTTTACTCGTGGTCCCTGTTCCTCGACGAGACGAGCGCCAACAATGTTCACCACCTCTGGGAGTTCATTCCTGCTTCAACGGAGAATAATGGCAACGTCTGCGAATATGACTTTCACCCCGTTTCTGAACTTATCTGTGATCTTCTTGGGGAGCTCTGTGAGGAGGAGTAGGAAGCCTGCGCAGCTATTTCCTTGCGATGTACTCCGGCTCCAATGAGCCGCCACTCCGACTCCTGCTCCGACTTTTATTTCTAGCGAATGTTGATGGTATGAGCTGTCGATCACACTCAGAGTTTGGCGATCGTTCCCGAATTTCTTTGTGGAGCCGACCATTCGCTTGCCGGGTGCGAGGTCATACGTGCTCCTGCAGTCCATGAAGATTGCGTAATGTGTAGCCGTCACAAGTGTCAGGGCATCTTTGAATTTCTGCCTTGGAAGGCGTCCTGATTCCCTATGCCCCGTCTCAAGTATTTAGTCGCCAGACTGGGAGATACTCTTCAATCAGATACTCAATTCGGAATAGGGTCGACATCCAAAATGGTCATTCGCTCCTGTGCCATAGCATTACGCAAGCATGATCCGGGAGGGTGCTGAGGATATCGCTTTCTTTCATGCTTATAACGGATCGGAGGCGCGCCTCCGAAGTGCAGTCAGGAACTCCCCGGGCTCTATGAACTAGGGGCGTCCAAGGTAGCTCCGATGTGCACGCCTCCATGTGCGCAAGACGCGGAGTTCCGCGAAAGGGTCTTGTGAGCATGCCTCATGTTGCTCGAGGAATACAGCTGTCGCGCCGGCACTTCGCAACCACTGAATAACTTTCGACTCGCTGTCGCCCATACTGGCATTCACTGCGAAAGCAAAACTGCCCTCGAATTTACTTTGCGCCCTCCGCGCTCCAATGGAATTAACCAAGCGCTCGAATGCTCGGTCGCCCATGATCGCTGCCACTCCGTAGATTGTCCATAGAGTATTGATCATAACTCATAACCATTGGTTCGGGGAGTCTCCATCGCTGCCATTGAACGCGGCGTTTCTGGATGGAACAACAAGCGCCCGTGTATCCGCTGATGTTTTCCGGCTTCCGGCATCGCGTCACAGGTATACATATGGTTTACATATATTTATTCTTTTGGTCTTTGTTATGTAACGTTGAGGCTGCTTCCCGCCACTCGGACTCTTAGCATTTCGATCATATCAGCACAGCGGAATTCGCTTACCGATATCCCCTTCTGGTGAACCTAAGTTCCACGCGGATTCCGCTCCCGCGATCGAGAAGCCTCGGCGGATTTTTCTGAGATTCATGTAGTTCCACTTCTCCGAGGAGCTTACAGAACTTTGGCATGAACCCTTCCTAAAATTTCGTGAGCGGTTCCCGCTTCTTGGGTGCCGAGGCGACGCGCAACGTAATGCGTCAGCATCTGTTCGGCGGCGTCTAGATCACATACTTCCGTCGCATACGCGATTGCTGACTGCGATTCATCGTTCAGTAGGGCCCGCTGATCCGCTTTCCTTGTGAACTGTTTTTGACATTCGGTCTTTTCGGATTTATCGGAGTGCGGAGTCCAAGGCACTATGGCGGACATTACCTTGATGGGCTGCGCATCCCATCGATGGACTCCGATAGATCACTACGATGGACCTCCTAGTGGTCGATATAAGAAGGGCGAATTCCCGATTCGAAGCGCGAGTCCACTGCATGCGGCCGACACGGGAGACCTGGGACGGAACGCCGGCGGCTGGGAATTCCGTGCGAGACATGATTCGAAGTTCCCCGTCTCTTGACACCCTCGATTTATGAAGAGATTTGGCAGCGCCGAGGCAAATTCCGTTTGAAGGAAGGACGGGAGGGCCGAGCCGGAAGAGCAGAGTTGAAAGTTCATGGAGTCGAGGCTGAGCTATGGAAAGTTCTCCCGCGGAAACAGGGGACATTATTTTTCCAAGCGTCCCCCTCTCCCTTCCAGGTATTACCCCCAGGTTGTAACAAGGTGCATCCCAACAGAACTTGGCTCAAGCAACGGAAAACCAAACTATCCCTACTCCGATCGGGTCCTCTCCGAGGGCAGTGCCTCGCTTTAAGTTCGTACCCTCAGACGTACCGTCGTTCATCCACGGACACCAGGGGCCGATTTTCGCAGTATTTTTCACCGTATATGAATCGCCTCGCCTACCGAAGCGTGCGGCTGGCGGCGGCCCTCTCGGTGGCGCTGTATTATATGCCGCGGCGACGTTCCAGATTTTAGCGTTCAAAATCTGGTGAATAGAAAGCTTGTCCCTCAAATTACGCTTTCCTTGATTGAATCGATGTCTCTCTTCGGATTCTGTGGTTGATTCGCTCGGTTCCCAACAGCTCACAAATCCATCGATGCGGGAAGCGCTAGCCTCATCCGACCGAATTTCGAATCAATTTACTGGCTTCGGGTCTGTTGTACCAATGAATTATGTCAGCCCGGGAGGCCGTCACTGGATACTGGTGGCTTTTTGGAGATCAGCGAGTCAGGTGTGTTTTCGTGGCCGAGTCCAGTTTCCGTCGGTCCATCCGAATATCTGCGCATGGCCACCGAGCAAGCCTGTGGCGTCATACGATATCGCGCTCCCCAGGTCCGTCTGTCAGAAATCTGAGTGAGAGGGAAGTTGTTGTTTTGCCGCTCAGTGCCGTTGACTCGATTGCTCGTATCAATCGATGGCGCTTCTTTCGGCGACCTGGCGACTTGAGAGACTTACTGCGCATCTCGCCCCTGGTTTTCCTCGAGTGCCTCCCGCGAGGTGTACCTGGCTACTCCTTCGAACCTGTCGAAGCGGAGAGCGGGCATGTTTTCCGAGGGGATCAACCGACATCATGATGATCGCCATCATCGGCGCGAACTCGGTTCATTGAGCGAGCGAGATGTCGAACGAGGGACTGACTACTCACTGATTCAGAGAGTCTTTCCCGCTCCTTCTTCACTCATGGGAACCACCAGTTCCCCCGCCCAACCCCGGACGAAGTCTTATGGCGTAGCCGAAGACTCTCATGTCATTATCCATGATTGAATGATCACAGGGCAATTTATAAAGCTTCTACTGGCGTAGGTGTGCCCACAGTTCTCGAGCATCCTCGGCAGATCTCTCTCGGAACCCTGCGTTCGACATCACCTGTTGCAGACCTCAATGATGGTGCTAGCCTTTGGGCCGAATACATATGTAGATGGATAGCTTGATTGATCCATGATCTGATTCGCCACTAAATGTGAGTGAGTCGGGAGAGGCCTATGATCGCGGTTTCTGGGCTCTTCGGGCAGCGTCTAGAAATCTCCACGACGTGCGCGACGGAAGAGCGCCGAAATGCCACGACCATGGGGAGTCGTCAATACACAGAAAACAGGCCCTTACCGCTGCTCGCCGCTAAAGCGCCACTCTGCGAGCTTGAGCCGCCATCGTCGGCCAATACTCGTCGGCCATCTTCCCCTATAAAAGCCGCAGCTGTATTCCAGTCGACAGCCTCAACAAGCGCGACTTACTCTCGTGTTCTGTTCCTCGAGCTACTTGCATTACTCTGACTGAGTAAGAAACATGAGTTCCCATGTGGATGACCCCTACGAATACCTGAACGAGGAAGCAGATCGCTTCGTGAATGGAAGCCACTCTGGCAAGCAGAGATCGAAGAAGGAAGCTTCCAACCACCAGAATCGACCGGATCCCTCGGGTCATACCAGAAAGATTGTCACAAACATGTCCAACCAACAGAGGAACTCCAACTCGAAGCCTTGAATAGGTGAGAAACGATAGAAGCTCGCTAGACTTCTGCCCGTAGCTCATCCGCTCTTTCGTCGGAATGGGAAACGGATTCGGTTCGAAAATGGTTCGGTGAGGCCGATTCGGAGTTGATATTGACCATTGCGAAGTATTCCCACCGCGGTGAGACAATTCTGTCTACGACGATGTTGTGCTGCGCAGGGAGTCGTCCGCTCTGGACAACTTTCGAAACTACGCATCGACTGTCGTCTGACTCATCGCTTCTCACTTACAGGCTTCACCCATCGGTTGCGTCGGCGAGAGTGGACGAGTCAGAAGATCCCGATGATGATGTGGAGGAACCGATTTTTGTCGAGAATACTTGGGTAGTCCGCGAAGTTTAGTCAACACATACTGGAATGCCAGATTGGGGAGTGACCGCCTAAGGGGTGTACGCACAGCGCTTCCCGATCACTCTGCTGCCCAGGTGGGAGGATCGCGGAGTCGAGCTATGATGTCGCGAGTGAGCTGTTTTCTCGCGAGAAGAAAAATGTACATTGAGAATCCGTGTCCGAAAATGGAGACACGAATAGAATTGTAGAACACGACGTGTCGTCCGCTACAGCTGAAAGCCGTCGCAGGAAAAATGTACTGAAAACCATGGAGCTACCCCGCGCTAAAACGCTTGCTCGGTGTTATTAAACTGCTTTGTGACGCGAGGAAGCCAAAACACGGGATGTAATAAGCTCAATAAATACGGAAGCGTCCGGAATCAGTGCTTTTCTTGGCGACGCCTGACCGAGGTGCGGATGAGTTCAAAGAAACGATTTGGGGAACACTCTTTCACCATCCGAGATTTTTATGTAAGCGAATTTCTCAGTAGCTTTCCGTTGGTGACGAGACTCAGTTAGAACTGATACGGGTCAGCCATGGTCGGGGGCAGACTTCTCTGCCGGCCGATTCGTATGACTCCATCCCGGGTTGTGTGCGTTGCATTACCAGCTGCTTTTGTTTCAGAAAGGTCAGTCTGAAGGAACAGACGGTGGTGGGGATATCGGCATTTCTACCGTGGGCTGAGGATTATGGTGACAGCCATGCGGAGAGAAATGTTGAGTCGAAGATAGTTCGATTGGGTCTCGAGTCGTCTCACTCCAATCTTTGGTGCTACCAGCATTGTGAGGCAATGTTGCTGGCGTTGGCATTGGAGGTTGAGGATTCGGATGACGATGAAAATTGCTGCTCGCGTTATGAGGCAGAGACCTCTCAGGGTGGTCGATGCTGCTATTATGGCCGCTGTTGCCGGCGCTCCGATATGAGCCGTGGCCGGGGCTCAAGGGAGTCCCCGACGGCCTCTCCCTCCGGATAAAACGCTCTATTTTATCAACACAGGCATCCTGGTAATCATGAATCCAGCTGGAAAAGTCGGATAAATTAGGCGAGCTCACTTCAGACTGTGACATCTCCACCGATCTTCTTCTGCCACTTGTTGATATTCTCATCAATTGTCCTCGATGAGTTTCACTCCGACGATTTTATGACGTACTTCACCCCATTGTAACCAGAGATTGGGTGGATGTCCTCAGGTAACTCTCTAGGGTCTGGCCATTCGAAGTTATCCATGATGGGTATGATGTTGCAGCCAGATTGGATCGCTTGAACGATTTCCTGCAGAACAGTGGAGAGTTTCCGTCGGATGAAAGATACCCTATCAGTGCGACAGCTCAGGTGGCACAAATATGCGGAACGTTTGTAAGGTTGACTTGGTGATCTCGCCTATTTCTACCCTTCTCCAGCGATGGGAGGAGTCCCAGATCCGAATATGAGGCTTCAGTTTAGCCAGACTGTCATACCTTACCTTGTGGACCCAGTCTTTACAATCGTTGTCGTTTTTGCAACGATCGAGAGCGTTCGGCGAGAGCACGAGCAAGAAACTCTTGGCCTCTTTGATGCTATTCAAGAGGCTGTTGTCGACCTTGCCAGCTTCAAGTTTCTCAACGTCAAGAAAAACTGTGAATCCCTTTATTTGCAGATGAACTTTGAGAAGGCTGCGAATGGAATTAGAGTCGAACATGAATGGCTTTTCCAGAAAGGAGGACAGATCACAGAATTCTTCTAGATCTATCGAACATTCTCACCTCGCCAATTGAGAGCCATTCGATCTTCGGTAACTGATGAAGGCGTCTATCGGTTTCTTGGTAGATTCCACCTCGTTGAGGACACACAACTTTTCTGAAAGAGAGCGGAGTGAAAGGATCACTGGCGATCCTCGATTCGCCGTCTTCCGTCCGGCGTCGCCGCGTATTGTCGTGGCAGGACATTACCTTGTAGGTACGAATATATCTTATTGCGATGAACGGAATTTCGAACATCACATTCATCTCTCAACTGGGCCTCTGTTATCTTCGGAAGAGAGTGGATGTCGATGCCAGAGCGCAGAAACATGTACGCGTACTGAGTGAATTCGGGATCGCATCTTTGGAGAATCTGGAACAAGTCGGAATGATGCTGTTTAATGATGCGAGCATCTTTCTACCCTCAAGGTCGAGTTCTCAGCATTCAAATCCAGTCGGTCTCAGGGTAGGACAATAAGTTGGGATCCACTCAGACTGATCTCACGACAAAAAACATGGTGTTCATCCTTATGAATCATGCGACACCTCCTTTGATTCGCCCTCTGTCAACAAACGAAAAGTTAACCGACCTGAGTTACATTGGTAGCGTCGACAGACGAATAGTCGGCCATCTGCTTCAACTTCTTCAGCTCGCGGAGAAACCTGTCAAAAGCACGCGATCCATGATTTTTCAAAACGGGTTTGAGGTATTTCGAGAGAGCTTCCGTGTGACTGACCTTTTTCGCAGGAGCTGCTTCCCGATTCCTATATCCTTCTCCAACATTTCCTCGTCTATTTGGAGTAGAAGATCGCCATCCACTTTTGTGTTCAAAAACTCGTCAGCACATGCGCCGAAACCAATTTGTTTCACCCACTGGGCGACATCGTCTTCTGTCCACAGAGGAACCTGCTGACTCAGTTTGTGAGGGATGTCTTCCCCGATAATCTGAAGAGCTCGAGCCGCGAACTTGGAGGCTAGGGCGTTTGGCGAACTTGCAACAGTCTTCAGAGCGCTTATCGCACCGATTTCGGCGAAAATCTGCGTCTCTCCCTGCCTCTTTTTTATTGCCGCCTCGACGGCGAAATGGAAAGCTGCTAGAGATCTCGCTTCTTCGCGATTGGAATTCAGAACGGGCACGAAACGCTGCAGCCATTCCTTCGATTGTCCGTGGACGTTCGAACTGCCTTGACGGGCGAAGCAGTCTGGATTTCTAGCTGTGCAGAAGGTTTCCAGCAGATGGAGCGTGTTCGATGCCGTTATGGCTTTGTCCAATTCCTTATTAAGACAAACGGCTGAGACTGCGATGCATGCCCAGTACCGGACGTGATCATCGTTCGAAAAAGCCAAGGGGAAGAGCCACGGTATGAAAGTTTTCATAACTTGCTCATTGCCTGAGCCACCATAGAGAGCGAGATTGGCTAGAGCAGCAGCGCAATGCTGTAGCGTTTTCTGATCACTTGATCGACAGTTGTAGACGATTTCTTCGAAAGCGTGGTTCTTGATGAGGAAACTGCACGTCTCTTCGGAGTCCTTGAATAAATGGCGGAATAAGCCAACGCCGACTCGAGTCTCTTCGATATTGGGGTTTTCTTTGCCACAGCATCTGAGCGCGACCCGTACGACCGGCTCCAGACCATGATCAACGACGTAGACACGATTCTCTGTGCATAACGTCTGCTCCAGTACGCGAGCTGCTCCAAAATTCAACGAGTGATCTTCATCGGATCTGCACAACTCCAGGAGTCTGTCTAGTCCACCGTGCTCTCGCAGAGCGGTGCACACCGCGGAACCGAAATCATGTCCGTGCGAGGGAACAGCCCACGCATTCTGCACGATCGCCGACAAAGCTCGTAGGATCTCAGCGGTCTCCTTGGTATCGGTGCTCTTTAGGAGCTTCCCCTCAATGAATCTGATGACTCGTAGCTTGAATCGATGGAGACAGTCTCTGAGGTCAGATTTCGAAGGGCTTGACTGCAGGAGCTCCCTGATGTCACCGAAAATCTCAATGACCATTTTCGCGTAAGGACTCGATTGGGGTAAACAGAGACGAATGCTTTCCTCGCTCGACGGTGTGGCGTCTGAGGAGTCGGAAGGCAGAGCGTCGCTCGACTGTTTATTCGATACCGAGACCCTGGTCACTCCATTCGCATTCGTGAGTGTGCGGCTCGCAGCCATTTCTTTGTTGAAGATTCTTCGCTCTGGCTCGCCTGGAATACGAATTATTCTCTTTCAGTCATGACCGGATACGACCATTCGAGAGCCACATCCACCGACGTGAATCTCTGGCCCAGTGGAGGCACACTCGTTGAGCACGAGAAGTCATAGTGAGCTCCATCAGGACAGAGAATTTCCGCAAAATCACGATTTTTGTCGATGAAATCCACATGCTCGCATTCATGTTTTCTCCAGAAGACTAACGCCCCACCTCCTCCCGGTCGGACACCACTCCTCCCACATAGTTGTGTACCGAAACTTAGCTCCGCAACAATCCCTCTATTCGACTTGAATAATAACTGTGTTCTGAAACAGGGAATCGAAAAGGCGATCCAGAACCTTTATTGAGTTGTCTTCTGTCCTCTTCTTTGGACATGGCGACGTTCTCGAGGGTTCCCTCATCGGTCGTAATCCGCGTAGCTAGGGCCTTTGAGTTCATGAGACGCTCCTTCGTGAGATCGCCGCAGGTCAACGTTTTCTGATCCTGTCGTTGCGCAGCCAGGCGCTCAGCCAGGAAGCCATCTCCTTCGATTTTGTTCTTCACCTGGAACATGGCAAGGAACTTTGAGGCCTAGATGAGTGCGAATGCGTAAAATTCTTGACTCAACAGGGTGGGGTCCAGGAAGACGGCGCGTAGCAGCTACCTGTTGACTATGTTGAGCTTCATGATACGAGATATCGCCCGATTGGACTTTCTTAACCTGCTGGTTTGAGGTCTCGTGTGTCTCCTGAGTAAGACCATCTTTATAGATTTTAGTGATGTTCGACCTGGAAATCTGGGAAGTCAGAAACGGTCAGAGCAGGACGGTCATTGCAAGAATCAGACTCGTACTCATTGTCGACGAGCGAGTCTCGCTGAGGCAATCCTGAGCACCCTTACGCAAACTTCAGTTTTCGATCTTCCATTAGTAAGCCACCCAGGCATCATGCTTCCGTGAAGTATGTCGACGGGCACACTCCGGTAGGTACGAGAGATGATTGAAGCCTTCGTCTGAACCATATCGCCCATCGCTCCATGGAGGCAGAGCACGATTTCAGTAATTTCCATCAAGCGAGGCTCTATCAGGAGAGCTTTGGGGCGCTTGATTGCGAGCTCAGCATAGGCAGTCGTCAGTGCGACCACTGTCTGGGGGCATCTCACAGTTCAGGCCCGCATTGCCGAAGATTCGTTCGGTCACGACATCCAGCCTCGAGCATGATTCCTATGTCCATGACGCAGCATCCGACATGCCAATCGTGAATTCCCCAATCACCTTTCGATGCTCTTGTTTGAACTCCTCGGCAGTACGCTCGCCCGGCTTGAGGCTGTTGAGCGAGAACGGGAAGTCTTTCTCGCTTTCTAGGCTGTCTATGGAGAAACCCCTACGAGCGGATAGCGGCTGTTGTCTACTTTTGTCAGTCGTCGAGAGCGATATCGATCTGCAAGAAGCGCACATCATTATTCTTCCTTCGGACATGTGTTATTGGGGACAGACCCTCGGGGGGTCGGCCAGACATTTTTTATCGAAGGGCAGATGTGATGATTCTTCAGTCGAATCTGAATGAATTGAGAGCCGACCCAACAAGTAAAACAGGATAGGTATGATACACTGCTTACATGGTGTGTGAATAAATCTTAACAATACTCATGACGGAAGCTTAGTCTTGAGGAGCTGGACCATGAGCAGAGTCCCTTTACACTGGGACGAGAATCCCAGCGTTTTGTTTTTGTCTGCTGTTATGATCGGAATTGGACATCCGGAATGTTCTTCCTCAGTACGTTTTGCATTGAGCCTTGCAACGCCTCAGCTGATCTCTAAGATTTAGAATTCCGACTCGCCCGCTTGCGCCTTTCGAGTCTGTCTGGCTGAGGACCGTTTCAGGAATTCCGTACGACCGCATGCTCAGCGGAACGCTCGAATATAACATACATAGATGAACAAGCACCGTAGGTGGAGCTCGAACCGATCGAATCTTTCGAGTTTCCTCCAGTTGAATGCACATGAGTTTACCTTAGAGGAAAAGGTGCCTCTTCGGTCACCGTTGGTCACCGAGGCACCGTCTAGTTGGCCTTACCTCAGGAAGTTATTCTGATTCCGCGTGGAGGTGCACGATGACGTTGGCGGTAGATCTCCCAGCTCATCTTGCGGAGGTGTCGAGGTGCTCGATGATTCAGGAGCTGCGTTTGCTTTGTCCTCCCTATTCATGAGCGTACGCCCTTTGCTCTGTCTCGTCTGGGGGATACAGGATCCATCATCAGATTTGCTCGACGATGTCATCTCATCTACCCCGGGTGCATCGAGGTCTCTCAATAATTCGAAATTATGAAAGATCCTCATTGGGAGTCTGAGCTATGCTCGCCTACGTCCCGACGAACTTTCGAGCACAGACGAGGCATGATCTCGACTGGACTTGTCAAGACATCAATCGGCTCCTCAATTCTGTGCTCCGGTGGCCCTCAACGCGAGTTCATCCCCTATTAGGCGGAATCAGAAAGCGCGATATGTGATCAACACACGTCGTCAGACGGTACGCTTCTTAAGTTTTGCACCCATACCCATCGGTACTTCCATCTGGGGAGAAGTTTCTCGACCGATGAACGACGCGAGCTCAGATTTTCGGAGTACAGATTTTCATGCGATAGCCGGCGTCTCCTCGTACGGTGGAATCCGTCTCCCTTCAATGTGAGCTTCACGAACGCCGACAGAGTGGTGCGGGAATATATTTTATTTGGTGAAGTTGAGCCTCATTCCCCACTGATCGCTTCATCTGGAAACCAGATGCGGACAACTATCGGCTTCGCTCACTCATTCGGGCCCACAGCCGAACCCTAAACTCTAACCAGGTTGCAGACTGGCGGGCGAAGGCAATCGAGTCGGGCGAGCCTGGGATTCCGCCACCCTCTTGTCGATGCTGCTATTTCTAGAGTTCGCAGCACCGTAGACATAGCAGGGCGAGATCTCGAGAGAGGCTGAAGCGATCACGTGAGCGGTAAATTTCCAGGAGTCGAATGTCCTGCTTCCTTATTCTCGGACTCCGGAACATGGAGGTTTTAGATCAGAAAGTGTGCATGAATTGGTCCCTGCGGGTGGACAATGTCCAAGGGTCTACTCAAGATTTTTCGCGAGCAAATCTCGGCTGGTGACACCGGAGACCGCCTCGGAGAACCTCAGACGTGTTATCGTTTGCCTCGATTGCCGTAAATATTCTCATAGAAGGGCAATCTCAGATATACGAGCAGTCCCTAATGAACGGGCAGTGTTCGGGGGATTGATGAAATAGACCGGCAGTCTCCAATAGGCGGGCAGCCTCCGATAGACGGTCCCTTCGAGGGAGGGGATCCAGGCACGCGAGTCGCGGAGATCGCAGATGTCCTCTAGTGGGTGCTGTGTATGAGTTTTTGGTATGCTCGCGAGTACTGAATTTCATCGATTCAATATAGTCTAGCACTATGAGTGACCGGACTCAATTCACGCGTAGGAGGAGGACGGAAGATGTAGACGAGCATTCTCCGATAGACGGGCAGTCTCACATGAACGGGCAGCATCTGGATGGTGGAAAAATAGACGGGCATGCCCTCCCATCAGAATATTCACGATAGTTTCGTGGTTCCAAGATTCACATTTTGGCACAATTCCTACCCCTTAGAGCGATCCTCGCGAACACTACACACTCACAGAACTGGCCCCCAGGATGTAATCTTGCTGGAAAGCCGCAGCAACCGCAGTCGGGATGTATGCGACTGCGCCGGACGAACTTCCGAGTGCGAACTGTTTCCGAGGTACCTCTACGATCAGAGTATCTCCAAATCGCTGCGCGAAGGTCCGGGAAGGCGATTCACTCAATACCGCCCAATAGAGAAGCTTCTACTCGCTCGTTTGCCACAGGAAATCGATCAGGATTCTGTTCCACTTAGTAGTTCCAAATGCCGAGAGCTTCGTCAGGACGAATCACCTAGGCCGCGAGTCTAGCCGAGAAGCAACCCTGTGGAGAGAGGCAAGGAAGATAGAGAGGGAGACAGACACACCTGCTTTGAAACGAAATCATGGTACACTGACAAAACAAGCAAAACTTTCCGCGGGATATTCAAGATGAGCTCGGAAGGAGAAAATTACATAAGTAAAAATGTCATATTTAATTAAGTTCCACAATCCCTCCAAAAGGCTCCAAGCTGCCTTGGCCGACGGGTCGCTTCCTCGCTCGACCACAAATTTTCGGCCGATACTTCTTGGCGAGTGCGACTGAACAATTCCCGTTCACTGACTCGATGGACATCGCTCGCGAAGCGTCGCCCGGGATCGACGTGACAATGTGGGAATGTCGAGAAAAGAATTTCCACCCAGCACAGTCGAATCAGTTGTACGAGCTGTGTGAACGCATGATTTCATCATACAAATCTCATGACGAAATCTAGAAGTAATAGCATGTTGGAATTGGCAAGCCTACTCGGCAGTCAAGGATTCTCGAGATTTCAACAGAAACGACGTTGTTTCTTATTCGGGTCCGACTCGGGTCGGCGGTCTTTCGGTCCTTCTAAATGGATGGAAGTTTCTCAAGGAAGCGAGCGAGCGTCGATCGCCAGTCAAGTGAGGCTTCCCGGCTAAGTTCCCGCTTGAGTCAGATGACAGCCGATCGTTATCCGACAGATGACCACCTGGGAAGGAAAGCATTTCTGCATTTCAGCCACTCAGATATCCCTTCATTCTACCGGTGCCCCCCGAGCAGAGAACAATAAGCTCGAAGTGCATTTGATGGATTTTAAGTCTCAATAAATAGAGGAGTCCTTATGATCAGCGCCCGAACGACTCCCTTCGACGGTCGGCATGAGCATAATGTCTCCGCTGCTCACTCAGTTTCCGGACGTCGAACGTGTACCCGACGACGCACCAGAGAAACGCCGATCGGACGGCAACAATGACGAAGATGGCATATGGGAACCAAAAAAATTTCTCGGGCTGGACCACACAGCCAAGGTTCAACGTCCCGGGTACCGTCCCGTATTCACATTGCTTCCGAGGACGGATCCATAGAGCAAATGTACCCAGGAGGATCAAGGCCGAGTACCTGCATATTTGTCCGGCAGCAGGGATCGAACCCACACCGCCTCCCGCGCGAGCGGCGTCGTTGCGGCTATGCACGGCATATGGGAACCAATGCAATCCTCGTTAGCTTTTCTCTCTCTCTCTCATATCGCTCAACGGTGGAATATGAGGAAGATATCGACGCCACGTTTTCGGACCGCAACCGAGTGGTCTCGTGAGCACGAATGGCGTGCTCTAGCCGGAGAGCGAGAATTCGCGTTATCGGAGCGAGCCTCCGACCTTCGCTGGGACAAAAAGAAGCTCACGATAGTCGAAGCCGGAGGCTCCACGATTAGAACCGCTGAAGAATACAGATGCCGAAGAGGATCAACGCCTCCTCCATCTCAGTCGGAGAGATAGTGCTCGTGTACATTCGTTCTGAAGCGACTGTATGGTCAGACAGCCGGAGGGGGAGGAACCTCGCTCTCAACGTTATGGAACGCTTGATCCCGCGATTTCTCCCGCGGCGACGCGGTGATCCTGCTCAACCAGGTCCATGGCCGGAGATTGAATCGCTCTGCCCTGTTCATGGAGAGCCTGAAGAATCGATAGATAGAGGCTGAGGATACAATCTTCGGCTTCTCGGCGATTCGTGCTCCCTCATTTCCAAGGGCTTCCGCGGATCCTTGTCGAAGGAAGGATTACATCAGATAGAATCTTAGACCTCCTTCCGGAAAGAGTACCGCTTGAGTCGCTCATGGAGCTGATCAGCGTGCTTCCGATGAGAGACCCCTCAATGACGACTACCCAAGCCCGATAGTAATCCCAGGAGGTCGTCACTAATTCCACATTGCCCCGATTCGTCATTCACCCGCCTAAAGCTAGCTCTATAAAATTCGATAGTCTTTCCAGACTCCTGGATAGTGATGAGATTAGATTATTTCGGATGTCGCTGGGAAATTCGAAAATGGGTTCAGCACGGGAACGAAAAGCTTTTTCAGACCTACTTCCGAGATGAGTCAGTGATGCATCGAATAGATAGGAGTCAATTTACCGAGCTGAAAAGTCTTTCGTTGAACTAAAGCGATCATCCTTCTGGTCCTTAAACGACTCCAAAGTGTCGGGGGTCTCACGGGGTTCTAGTTATTTCCTCATTTGCGATGGCGTGTTTATATTTACTTGTTTTTTCGTGTGTCTGCGTGTGCTGAAAAAACAAAGTCCGCCTCCGCAAGACCGATTGCGCTGGCCGAGAAGCGGGTTCAACTTCCGTTAGGGTGAGAGTCGTCGTCCGACGAACGAGCGAAGGAATCAACGAACGGACGGACGAATATAAGTTTGAATGAAGCGTGTCTTCCCGTTGCGACTCCTCAGGTGAAAGACTCCAAAGCGTTCAGCTGCTAGAACTCTCGAAGCCGGATAACCGAGACCTCTCCGGAATTTCCGGCGCCCCCGATAGAGACGTGTTAGCGACCATACCGGTGTGGGCCAACCGATAAGCGATGAGACTCTTCTCGGTCGCATTCTTTTTGTTTTGCTCGGGCATTTCGGATATCCCCCGCGTTGTGACGGCAAGTAACTTCGACCCCCCTGGAATTAGCATGGCTATGCAAAGTATCGGACAACTACAGCAGTTACATCGACTGAGTCGTTCGATGAACGTGAGTGAAGTAGCAGCGGCTGGATCACGTGTGGCCAGAGAACTTTCGAAGTCTCTCAATACGGATGTGTTCGCGGTCGGTAAGGCTTTGGCAGGCGCAGGAGCCGCCGTCGGCTCGCTCGTGTTCCTGGGAGGCATGGGAGCTCTGCTGGCAACGGGGATGGGCGCATTCAAGTACTCGCCAGAGCTCTATGACGGACCTGTCTTCAGGAATGAAAAAGTACCCCCTTTTTATGCGGCACGAAGCGCGAAGAACTTCCAAGATGTCAAGAAACCCACGAATCCTGAGCTGGTACCTGCCCTGAATGATCTCGTGGCGAAACTATACGATGTGCTGGAAAACGGGGTTCCACAATTCTTCGATCGTCGTTGAATTCATCTCTGGGATATTGCCTGCGTTCGTAAGGCTGAGGAGATCTGGCTCCCCGGGCGGGAGTCATCGATTCGGGCGGCGTTGTCAATTCCGCTGGCGTCATCGATCGAGGCGACGATGAGATGCCCCGTCTGACAGGGATACCGACATATGTATACGTGAATCAAATTCACCATCCCCAGTTCACTGGTGGGAGCATCTCGAGGGAGAAGAAGTCTCGTATATTCCCCGCGAAGCGTACATCATCTCTCATATTGTCGAGTGATCAAATAAAAACGCACCAAGTAATCGGTGGAACCCCTGATATGTGTATACCCCGGCCTGAGGGATCCCTCTCCGAGGGGGAGTATTCCACTGCGCGCTCGGAAAACTCATCCGCATCCTTCGATTTTCTTAGGCGGCATTCTCTCTACCGCACAGAGGAACGACTCGGATGAGAGTTCTGCACCTAAGCGAGATCGCCGAGACGCCTCCGAGCTGAGCATGAGATGATGTTTTGCATGTTGACAAATATGACTGCGATTCTTCCTAAGTGGCTTCTCGTGTCAAGGAACGAGGAGTGATGAGGAGGGCTTGCGATGCTCCCCGCTGGCTCGCGGTCCTCCTCGGCCAGGCGGGCGCCAGAAAGTAGGAGGAAAAAGATGCCACCGATGAGTCTCCTCATCTCTGTATCTCTGTAGAACCTCGTTGCGACTCATTCCAGGCTACCTGCATCCGAGCGCTCTCACCTTCCTAGCCAAAAGCGCCGTGTTCCCCAGCCTGCGCAGCGCTTAGAAACCTGGGAAGATGACGAAAATAAGAGGATCGGGCTTGCTAAACGCGGTCACTGCTCGAGAGGACCTCCCTGTCCAGCTCGAGTCCCTTCCCGTATATCGTGGCTGGAGGCTACTCAAAATGATTTTTCCCCGATTGGAGACGATCCCATCCGCTAGGCTTGCAGATTCGTGTAGCGATATATACGGTGAAGGATCACTCTGTCGAACTTCTTGATGTCTCGACGAGGCGCATGACAGGCTAGGTTCCTTGCTTACTCCCATCCGCAGTGCACCTGCACTGAGGGAGCTCCCCGAATATCCCGGAATCGTTCCATCGATAATTGTTACTATCACCGGAGAGGTGATAGTAACCTCGATCGAAGCACCCGATGATTGGCTCTGGAAGATACTCAGAACTCCTTCTACAGGAAGCGCATTCACGAGCGTAAGCGAAGCCCGACACCTACATAGAGTCCCGAGTCCGGAAGCTGGTGATCGATTGACGGGAGATACCGACTCCTTCCGGCCAAATGACTACCTGCTCCAACGCCGGACTCGCATCGCTCGGCTTGAGTCACGCCGAACTCCTGCTCCGATGGCGAGATGTCGGTATCAGACAAATTTTCCGGGAGCCTTCGGAATACGACAGCACTCACAATATTCTGGGGATTTCCCGCTTCTCGTCCGGGGGCGTCTCTAGAGTCGGAATACTTCCACTATCGTTCGGCTGCTCGCTGATAGTGCTCGTCCGAGGTCAATCATGTCAATCGCGATGGGAGCTCGTGGCACCTATCCATTTTTCTCTAACTATCGTGTCCTCTAGCTTCCGTGTGATCCTCATGAATCCGTGGAATGCATGGTCATTTCTGGATTTCTACTAAATCTGATGCCTGGGGATTTGCAGGCTTCTTGGATCGATCGCGAAGACTCTACGGAGCGATCCACGGGGTCCACTGCTTGAAGAAAACGAGGAAACACCGGTTCAGTCTCTCCGGTTGTCCTGGGTGTCCGAGTTCCTTTTAAATGTGCATGCATGTTTTCATACACTTTCATATGAGGATATGAATATAAACAGGCGTAAGCTTTCCGTAGTCAGCGATGAGGATCTGCCTTCGGTGCGTAAAGCCGAGGCGGCAAAGAGCAACACGGTCGCCTTAGATCACGGTGAGTCGACGTTTCCCTCCGAGATGGAGCACTGAATAGTGTTACTAGAAGTGAGGTAGCAGCGGGAGAGGAAGAAAGCGGGAAAAGTAATTTCAGAAGAAATGCCACGTCTGCTGTCTGTTCACGGATGCGCCGCGCCAGCGCCTCGGCTGCTTAGCTGACTGAGAACGCTTTTAAGAATGTAGACGAGCGATCAGTGAACCATTCACCGCTCCAGACTCTACCCGGAGTCAGCTAAGCGGCAAGCTGCTGTTCTGCCAACGGACGGGCAACCAAGCAGCAGCAGAAAACGTTCCGCAAAACTGAAGGGTTTTCTCCGGTCCGAGGGAAAGAAGGCAGGTTGCCTCGTGAGCCGGCCGGCGGAGCGGCCGACAGCCGGCTCGCCGGTCACCCATCAAGCGAACGCAGAGGTAGCCAAGCAACGTATCTACCGAATAACGAGGCAATGGGGGAACGATCATTCGAGCGGGTAGTAAGCAGCTGATCGGCCTAGTGAGCAAGCGAAGATAGCTGTGGCTCGACTCAAAGAATAGAACTTCTGCAATTCGTTTAAACCCTAATGTTTATTTGAGCATTCAGGTCTCTTGCTTTAGAGGATTTTGGTATCGAAGTGAGTTGCTTGGGGGAGCCTTTTTTCCGAAATCGGTACGCCGCTCCCCCCATAGGTTGCGGGTTAAAACTAAACGCGCCCTGTTGTGCATTGGGCGCATGGAATATTTGGGTATCTCAGTTGTGTTTCGCCATCAATTCTTTAGCCAGCGCGCAGTACTGAGCTTTCGCGTCGTCCTGAGACATACCCTTCCGACTGGTCCAGGCATTGAACTTGGCTTTACCCTGTGAGAAAATCATTGATGGGTCAACTTCCCGATGAGATCGTCCTGATCATAGAGGTCAGATGTTCTCAAACACCAAAGTCATGTACTGTTCGAAATCAGGCCTACCTTCACGTCGAGAAGACCAGGGGCGTCGCCGGTGACGTCCCCAACGGTCGCCTGTTTGTACAGACCGTACAAGCTGAGCAGCTCGTCATCAGACGGTCGGCTCTTGAGGTTCTTCACGTCGGCGGCGCACTATTGGATGATAAATAATCGACGGCTTATTATAGGGCAAGTACGATATCGGGGATGGGGCGCGGCAGAAGAATCGGACGAGGACTCGGAAGGTACACCTCCACATTTTTCGGACGATTTTCAAGCGACACTTTCAGAGGTTTCTCCGAGAGGTCGATGCTCATCCGTGAACCATGAGCGTGAGAAGCTTAATCCTTCGAAAGAACTCGAATCATCGGCACCAATCAGACAATTCACGAGACGAGCTCGTTGGCGGCGGAACGTGACATCGAATTCACTTTGTGGACATAGTGGAGGAATTTCAGGTAAGGACACAATACCTTTTCGAAATCGCACATTTTGCACCGGCTCAGTAGAATTAAGCGAGATTCCGCTATTCTTTGATACAACTCCTGCGAAATCGGACTCGACAGCTGCGAAAGTGTGAGATTGCCTTTCTGATCACGTCGCGGCCGGCTTATAAAGATTCGTGGCAACGGACAAGAGCGAGGATTCTGAGGGCAGACTGCGTTCGTCGAGGGTGAGGGACAGAACTTCTCCGCTGCGCCGACTTCCCCGTCGCCGGTGCTTCATTCAAGTGGAGAGAGGGTGTTAACGATTGAGCGCAAAGTTATTTCGCGGCCGCTGGACTGAAGCCGAATACGACTTCTCGCGAATATCCTCGTCTAGAATCTCGGTAGGCGACTCACGGAAAAGGGAAGGGTGTCTCGCGTCGGTCGAGCGGAAACAGCGCAGCATCACCACAAAAAGCCACGTATGGAATAAAATCACCAAGCTCTCCGCCATCGTGGTTGTGTCCCCCAGGCAAGCGTTTCTTCCCGTCATCCGCGAAATGTTCCCGATAGGCGGACTGCCTATGAGACATCGGAACCACGTCATCGGGGACGTCACCGAATCAATTACGGCCGTGGAATTCACTCTCCATGTGGAATGATGTCACATCTCTTCGACAAATATAATCTATCATATGGTGAGAGTGAGACGCCTCGAAGGAATCGGCGGAGATGAATTCGCTCCGCTTGGATCCTGATTTTTCTCGACCGCTCCGCCGGGAAGCTTCTGGGAATTTTCGGAGTCCGGTGCTCGGCGAGGGATGTTGAGTTTTTGCTGCGATGATTTCCCGGAGCCCTTCACGTTCGACGGTTGAGGGGGCCTCGAATGAAGCTTAGGCTGAAAGTTCCAGGGGTCAGGTGGAGCTACTCCATAAAGATGATTCCAGGCAAGAATACGTAATCTGCCGGACGGAGCCTCCGGCGTAGAGCTCGACCGATCCAACCTGATAAGGTGGCGACTTCCTTCTCAATGCGGGCAATCGACAAGCCATGGAATATGGCTTTGAGTATGCTCCCCATCATCGGCCGCCCTGAAGATGATGATTCTGCTCAATACCTAGGATGACGGCGCTGGCCACACTTACGAGAAGCGTCTCTTATCAAGTGATCTAGTCAGCCAATCGGACAGATGAGCAAACTATGCCCCAGTGAGTAGCCCTCGCGCCGGCTGATCTTTGAGCAAATTTCCGTTCAAGGCCACTGCTTGAGAGAATGCGGCCATTCATCTATCAGCGACTCGGAGCGTGTTCCGGATATCTGGTCCCCATCCTGTTCGGCAATGTTGGCGCAATGCGACCCCCTACCCCCCCCCTCAACTCAATTCGCTGCTAACGTCTCGGCGAATCAAAAAACTTCTACTCTCCCCTCTGTTTCGTGTCTGATTGTGAGATATCATGGAGCCGATCTCGCCTAAACCGAAAGCAGTGCTCCCGGAATGTGTAGTCGCTACTCTGAGAGATGACATCCGTCTAGCCGCGGCTTTCTGACACAACACCGTGCTCGGACGGATCCTTGATCAGAATCCCCCTCTCCCCACTCCAGGGATGTGGTTTCCATTGAGATATGAGCCGTACTCGCAGGATGAAATCAGCGGAAAGACTCCTTCCGGGGATGGATGGTTCGAAGACGAGGCGGATCCCGGCACCCCGCTTTGAAAAGTGAGAAGAGAATCGTCGCGTCCGGAAGTAGTCTTCCCCTCCGCAGAACATAAGTTGCACGCTTTCGGATGCGAGCAAGACGGATCTCGATACACGGGTCCACGGGTGGCTTTGGAGTATTCTGCAAGGATCGGTCGTGTTCCATCTTTCTCCGCTGAAATATATCGGAATCGCTGACTTCCACCTATCGGGTAAAGAGAAGTTCCGCGACTGGCTATGGAATAATGATAGGATGAAAGAACGTATGAGCCGCTACGATCGTCAACAATATTCAGAGATGCTCCTCATCCCGGAAATGGTGACGTCGATGGGTTCGAGACCCGACCCACGATCATCGGAAAACAGTACTTGGCCCTCCGATCGAAACCGCTGGGCGCGCCCCTGGTCGGGGGAACATTGAAAGCCTCGTATCGGAGCTTCGCAGGAAGGTCCCAGAGGCTATTCCGAGAAGCTATATATCGGCGGAGATAGTCAATCGACAAGAGAGACGACGAACATCTTCACTTAAAGGTGCTCTCTCGTCGGTCAGTCAGTCTGTCGGGCTGCCTTCTCCGCGCGCGGGAGCATCATGGAACCGAGAAAACGATTCTGTCTTCATGGGATTCAAGATCATCGGCGGTACACTGAAGTAAACCGAAGCCAAATCGGTACATGGACAGTCTGAGCGAACGCCACAGCGCCAGCGCCGTCCTCTCGTCGGCGGAATCATGGAATTTATCCACCGATATTATTGGGTACCTGTGAAAAAGACCAGGAAGTCGGCTTTTCCTGTGATGCCAGATCTTTGCTTGAGGAGATGTGGCATTCCCCATCTTGGGGAAACATTATAAAAAAAAACGAAAGTTCGATGGATTCTTCAGGGAAACAAATCCTTCCTCAAGCCGAGGGAAACAATGTCCATTCTCTGATGTGGATCAAGGAAATTTGAATGATGTGTACCGAAGCTTTTTCATTCCAGACTCTGAGGCTCTTTCCAATTATTATCCATCGCTATCGAGTGTACATTGTCGAAAAGTAGAAAGGCCAATCTGCTGAACATGCTGAAAATCAGCAAGGTCACTTCCTTCCCGACCTCAAGCGATGCAATGAACGGAGCTGGTCGCCGACGTCGTCTTTCCTCGTGAGGCATCAGCGACGAATATTCGAATCGAGATCACGGCGGGCAGGGCTTCCCGCAATCCCAATCCTGCCTACGAAAACCCAGTTCAAGACGTTCGTCTAGAAAGCAGATTCGTGCACTCGAGAGCTTTCAAAAAACTTTCTCTCCGTCGTATCACTCACGAGAGCGAAGTCGACGAAAACTGACCCGTCCTAATCTCTATCTCAACTACCCTCGACGATATGTTGATTCATTATCTTACTTTGAATTAGGTTCTCGCATCATCAAAATCCCCGAATCCTCTGACTTTTCCGACTCACGTCAAGCTATCTGCCGAGCTCATCGCGGATTCCAACTTCCCGCCGCCCAGACTAGGGACGCTTCCAATTATTCTCGGTGCGCTTGAGCAGCCGCATCACTCTGATTAAGAGGAGATTCTTTATATTCGACTATATTTGTCCATTCTCATTTCCTCGAGGTTCTCAATGAACTTCAGACTATTATCGACAGCATGGAACAACGGAAGCGTCGAGAGTCTTGAGCTCGAGAGCATTCCGAAGTTCATGTCGTGAAAAGCGAACTCGGTGTTTAGAGCCTTAAACTAGATAGCTCTCTCGACTGAAATTTGACTCTCTGTCGGGAAAGTTGACCGTTTTCGGGGAAAGTTTCAGCAATCGTGCCTCGCGACGCTACGACATTTCTTTTCCGCTAGATCAAGCCCCGAACTCTTGGAATCTAGTGAGAAAGTTTGCATTGTGAAATCTCGCTGCACGAATGCGGAAGGGTCGAAAATGACCGAGGAACGATCTTCAACGAATCGGGTAGTCTCATATCGCGGTAGCGGCGCGTCCCGGAACCAATGTAGTCAACGTATGGGATCGAAAGATAGATATGCGCCGGGCTTCCTTGTAGCTTCGCAGGAGGAAGCTCAAGTCCGGACAAGGCCGCGACACGTCCGTCTCTCGATTTGCGGATTATCAGAAGGGTGGAAGCTTCGCATTCGAGGTCGAGCTGGGGCAGTGATGCCGACTCGTCTTCGTCCCGGTCGACCGAACACCGCCAAGTTTAGTCCGAAAGCTAGGGTGCCTTATTGAACTGTTTCCGTTTATGGGGAGTCCATATGTGAGGGGTTCCTCATAGGCAAGACATCGAATTGAGATTGATTGATTGTAGATCATTGAGCTTTAGAGTATCGCGTGAAAGGTTCCAGAGCGAGAAGCATGAGTATAGCATCGCGCTTGAATTCAATCATGGAGAATATCAGTCTGAATGACGCTCGATAGGAACGAGTAGTTCCTCTGCACGAAACTAACCCCACAATCGCAAGAGAAGAGCTAACACTCGCTGATTCGGGAGAGGAAGACAGCCGGAGAGGCGGCTGTGGGTTCCCTGAACTCCAGATTGTCTGCCCTTTTCCGGCTTTAGAAAGATTTGCTTCCAGAATGAACCGTCGCGGTCGCTCTCGAGACGCACCCGAGCCCTTCCCTATTTCCTTTCTATTCTCGGACTCTATAAGAAGGCCCCCAAGGGACTCGAATCGAGAGCATTTCTCTACATCGTTACCCGGCAACGCTCGTCTAGTGAAACGACAGGATGGCTGACGATTACGAGACTCACGTCAACGTTCCGCTAGAACCCGCGGTGAGTGTGGCACAGTCTTTCTGATCCTCAGCGAGCCAAATAGTCAACATTGATTATATTCGATAACACCGAACCGTCCCAAGACTCAGCCAGTCCTAAAAACAGGTCCGTCGCTTTCTCTTGGAACGTCGAGCATCCCGATCCGAGGATCTCCCGGAACATCTAGATGGCTTTCGCCATGAAAGACGTCGCTCTGTGGATTATAAAGAACTCAAGGACTACAGGTCAGTAAAGGAAACTCGCTCTTTCGCCCAGCTGCACCGATTTTTGACATGGACGAGGGCACGCTCGGAGCTCGGAAGCAGGGATGATCGCGGTCGAGGTCATAAGCTCCCCTCGAGCTCGTCAGAACGGGATTAGCCCTCGCTTTACAGGTCCAATGGTGGGATGAGTTTCGATTCTGGTCTCTTATCTCCAGGAACCTCGCCGATGAAGAGAGGCAGACTTCGATTGCTGCAAAGCCTGTTGGCACCAAGAAAGCATGAACTCTGCAGAGAAGTCTAAAGACTAAGGGATCGAGATCGTGCTCCCACGTCGTCAGAAACACGTCAGTCTCCCCACTTAATGGCTAAATCCCCGAGTCTTGGTCGGGATCGTCGGCGATCACTCGGAAGGATGCGTCCCGGATCAGCTGGCTGCGTTATTCCAGGATGCCGTCATCTCTATCGCTTATGCAGTAGCTCTATCGGAAGGACATGAACTCGCTCGAGTCTAGAAAACGTATTTCTGGATTCCCGTAAAGTTCCGGAATTCCCAGCTGATGGACTTCTTTCTGGAATTCTTTCAACATCTATCGAGTGTCCTCAGGATGCTTCTTCATGGTGCTCTCGATTCGTCCCCTAGATATACCAGAACTACAGTTTGCGAAGAGTTTTTGATATGGGTTATGAGTATACGCTCGACGTCGGGAGACTCCGATGTCGGTGAGCCGGCAGAATTATTGTTCATTTCATATCGCGGGGAAACGATTGGCAGCTGGTTGAGAAATTAGTCATCCACGCAACGAAATGATGGATTCGACTTTCGATGTAAATAACTAGTCAGCCCAATAAAATTCGGTACAATTTTTCACCGATCCGGCTAATTTTCGAATGATGGCTAAAGCCAGCCCGAGATCGGGGAAATTCAAATGGAAGCACGCTCAGTTCTACCGACACTCAGGCGGACTCGATGCCGAATGTCACCTGAGAGCACACACTCATATGAGGATTATCAAGAAAGTGGTGTTAGTACGGAAATCGGGGCGTCTCACGGAGCAGAGAGAGCGCGGGAGAGATACATCTTTTCCTAGAACTTCACTCCCCAGAGGAGCGCTCGACCTCCTGACCGTGTCTTCTCATGATCACTATTCACCCACCCCCGGAAGCCCACCACCGAGCTACGTTCGGACACACTTCCGATGCTTCTCAGAGCGCAAGGGAGCACTCGAGCGTGGGTTTCGCATGAGCTCTCGCATGTCTCCTCCACATTGTAGGGTCCGCTAAAGAAAGCATCAACCGCTGGTCACCACTGTGCGGCTCAATGGCCGTATAGTCCGCTGATGGAGATCTCAAGCGAAGCGAATATTTTCAAAACACTCCCGACTATTCGGGGAGATTAACCGCCTCTGTTATTCTCGGACCTCGAGAGACCCCAGGTCCAGGCGGGCTCAAGAGAAGATCCGCAGTCCTTGAAATATTCCATGCGACAGATTAAGCTGGTAATCCCAGCTTCCACTCTACGCGAATTCCTAATATTTTCCAAGTGCTCGGCAACTCTCCACGAGTGTGACTGATTCTCCATCCGTGCCACCTCCCCTTTGCCCCTTGCTCTCCATTCCCTGCACAGCGGTTCCTACCACATTCCCATACTATATTGCTATCATGCGGCAGACCCTAGAGATGGAATGCTACTCACTGACTTCACAGGTTACTGTCTAGATTTATTACACGAGGATGGCCGCATGTATATTATGCTTCTCTCATTCGATTTCATTGCCCCCATGAATGAGGACATCATCCGGTCAGATGTCTCAGCAGATCTTGCCTATTTGGAATGCGATCGTCATGCAGTGTGTTGGAATCTCTTTCGACATATTTCGCTTTTCCTGTGCGTTGTAGAAGTGTCGAAGTTCTCCCCGCTCGGCCGGACTTCCCCAACTCGACCATTGACTTTGGCGGTGCCGAGGGCCGGCGCCGGTGGAGAACGTGAGCGAATCGGGGCTGTCATTCCCCAGCTTCATCGGAAAGTGATTCCATGCACCGATACCTTCCCAACTTGGAATGATCCGTCACGGGGGCTCAACATCACCGCATCCATTCATCAGCTCAACTCGAGCTCGATGTCTTGCGTGTCGGACGTTTTCGTTCATCTCAGTGAATGTCTAAAGAATTATCCGGCTCTTCAAATGTTAAGCTCCTCTTAGTTTCGGGGTCGAATCATTTCGGCGAATGGGATGGCGAGAAAGCAGCACAGAGAACGACCGCTCGTGGCTAGACGCGATTGGCAAAATAGACGATTCAAATGGCGGCAGCCGTCACCAGTTTCGATCAGTCGCTCGCCTTCCAGATTTCTGCCGCTAGTTATACGTCAACGAGCCTCTCAGTGGCGACTTAACGTAATATTTTGGCCGGGAGGTTTCTGAGCTTTGCCCTGGAGACCGTGTTCTATGTTTATATACTGTCGGACCAGTCTCGATATTTCATGAGCCTGATCCGTTTGGATACGCGTGATTTTCTGTTGCATGAGATTCCCGCATTTCATATCCAGGAATAGAGTCCCGTCCTCCGCTTGTACCTTCCTCGTAGAAATTATCTCAGAGAAGGGCTGCATCCACACAGTTTCCTGAAAATAGAGAAATTGATTCGCTTCAGTCCACATACAAGGTAATAGTCAATGTTCTGAGCTGGATTCGACTGGCCTCCTTCCCGCTAACTCTGCTGGCTTGGAGAGAATTTTGAGCCCACGACACAGACGCCGCTCCGTTCTTTCGACGAACAACCGAGGCTGGGAAATGGGAAACTCACATGACTCTGCACGTCGAGGAAATGAACACCGTCTCTGTTGAGCGCCAGTATCTGTTCGACCGCCGAGTTTTCGCCTCGCATCCATTTGACAGCGAAAAAGCAGCTTCCGAACAGGGCCCATCTCTGGAGAATGTTCAGACATTGAGCTTTCGCCTCTGTGTTGCTCATGGTGAGCATTCTGCTCCAGTGTGCCTGAACCATCTCAACCCATTGGGGGGGCTTGATTTCCTTCATCGGAAGTACGGGTTTCGGCAGGAGGTACTTCACCTCGTCCCTGAGGGGGAAAAGATTCCTTTCAGTCTTTCTGACGCTACACGAGAACCGAGTCAGATTTACATCAATTAGGCGCTCGTCACCCACTTGGTCGGCATATGCTGCATGTCCGCCGCTCGATGCAGAAGAGACGCAATGTGCGCGATGTCTGCCACAGCCGCAGCGGATAGTCCGTCACCTTCGGTCACTAACAGCAGACCCTCCAAGTAGTCGGGAGCGACTTGGTTGAAGATCACCTCGATGTAGAGCTGATTGTCCAACCTGACGATACAGAAGAGCGGTCAAGTGAGGTGCCTGGACGCATCCGCAGTTTCATTCGAGGATTCATTCTCTCCGGAGTGGGTTTTCCTAAGCGTCCCAATTGTGTGCTCCCACTAGACTCACCTCAGATTATAGTACCAGACGGATCGACAGAAAATCAAGTAGAACACGTGGCCGTTCTTCAAGAGTTCTGTCGTGACATCCAAAATATACTCATCCCTACTCAGGGGCATTGTGAACGGATCTGTGGAATGATTTCAGAAGCATCGAAGGTTTTAGCCCGACGCGGTCAGATCTGGACGTACATAAGCGTCTGGCGGTGCGTAAAACTGACTCACCTCCTTCTACGATGCAATACAGGGAGAATTCCTCCATCTCTAATAAATCTGTGACTCCAAGAACAGAACATATATCCTCGATAATATCGTCCACAACAGTTGTCGACCTCGTGTTGATTATACGCTCTGTTCCTCCCGGTAAGCGGTACATTTGGCGCTTAGAATTTCGGCCTGCAGAGATGGCCGCGATCTCCTCAATAGACGGCACATTTTTCCTCCCACCATATCGGAATGTTTTCCTGAGATTCAAGAGACACACGCCGGCAGTTCCATGGTAGGCGCGTCTCTTATCGTGGGCTGCCGTATTGAGGAAATGGAATAGATATGGACGCAAATTTTCACTACAGTCGAAGTACGCGGTGATTATGGAGAACAAACGCCAGCCTTTCTGGCAGGATTCCGGTCTGGACGACTTGTTGTTCGTGCACTGCTTCATTATTTGGCAGTAGATCTCGTCGTGCAGCACCGGATACTTGTGCAGGGTACTCAATACCGCATAGACACTGTCCACTTCGAGGTTTCCCTTCGCCATCGGGTAGTCGCCCATGTATCGCATGATTTGGAGAAAGCAGTCCACAGCAACTTTAGTCAATTCGGGTGACTCCAACGGCAGAAGTGACTTTTGCAAGGGGGATTTGCTGAATTTCACCAGTTCGGTCAGCTCTTTCCAGGTCCAATCTGAGTCGTCGTCGCCTTTCTTGCCTTTCTTCTTGCCCTGCTGAAATGTATGAAGTTCGATGTACCATTTTGCTGTCAAGATAATCCTGATCATCCGCACAATAATGAGACATCCGAGCCCACGGAAACTATCGTCCTTGAGGGTTCCGCGCAAAGCGACAGATTTCTCGCATAACGAAGCTTCGTGTTTGCGAGCTCTCCACCCTCTTAGAGTATCACTTCTGAGAGGGACCCCGTTCGTGACATCTCCATACACAGGACTCAGTTAGAAGAGGATTTTCCCCGATCAGGAAATTCGTCAGGAGAGAATTTCATGGCACAGAGTTATCGTTCGCGCTCGGTCCCTCGTTCGACGAATGGTCGGAAAATGATACTCCCAGAAATTTCGGATTCTACGGAGGCGTCACTAGCTCAATCGTATTACCTGTTTGCTCTGCTTCAATGATTCCAACATCTTGATGCTACCGCGTATTGAGTTCTCCCGATCTCTGAGAACGTCGTACTTGTCTAAGCTGTCACGGAAGTTGAACATCGCGAACTGGAGCATGGAGAACTTGCTCGAGTCTGGTTGCGGGTTGTTACGGCCTCCGGAAAAGCTGTTCTCCATCTCATTATCCGATAGGCCGGTGAAGTTGTTATTGTGACCATTCGTTACGCCCGGAACACCGTTGGATTCCTGCAGCGGCATTCTTTTTTGTCCATCGAGAGGCATTCCCTTCAGCTCACGAGTTGAGTGGGTGCGCGTTTCGTCCTTGAAGAGAAGAAACAAACGTGAAAGCTTTACACGGATTCAATTCTTGCAATCAAAACTTGGAAAGCCCGAAGGAATCCCTCCACGCTCTCAGCCGATCGCTCGGATGTTGTCGCTGAGAAGAAGTTGAATCTTCTTCCTCACGACAGCTTGGAGATCCCCAGTGCATGACGTTCGAGGAGAGTCCTTCGGCATTCAGTCGTCAGGACCAATGGTTGTCAATGGACTCGTTGCCGTATCTCAAAAGTGAGTCGACAGCTCAGGAGACCCATGCTATTCGGTCTGGCATCGGTCGCACAGATAGCAGCTGACGATTGTAAAAACAGCATTCCTTCGATCGAATGCGCATAGGTAATTCCAACTCTCGTCTTGCGAGTCCGCAGCAGACTTTCCTCCCATGGATTGAAAGGAACAGACAGATATCTGTCTGAGAAAGATTCGAGACGTTCAATTCTTCCTTGCAGGGGTGGGCATTTTCGCTACACGGGTAGGTAATCCCGCGGGAACATGCAAATCTGTTTTGACGAGATATGCAACAGCTCAGTGAGGAGGCACCTTGATCCTGTGGGTTGATGTGAAGCTCTCGTTTGATATCCGAAATCGAGATAATTAGCTTGAGATTCTTCTGGAACGGATATTTCACTGGCTTCTTCCGTGTACGTGACGGATGTTTCCATCTCGATGGTAACAACATTACTTATCGTTCTGGCGGCCACGCACGGACACTTTAAGCAGGATCTGAACCAAGCGAACATCGTAGACTCCCAACCTCAGGCTCAGTCATGAACGTCTCCTCAAACTTCTGAATGCTCCGTATCAGCCACAGTGACAGGGGGTGCCTAGGAGCGTATAAGGAAGCGCTCGAGTCCCTCGCGAGCTTTTGTTTTCCAACGCACGTCGCTAATGAAACTTCCCGGACGTTCGGGAAATCGGGCGAGGGACCAGAGAGCGCGCTCTCCGAGAATAGACCCTCCTTATGAGGACCCCATAAAAGACACCCAGAGACGGCGTCCTGAGAGGAGCTTCTCTCACTCTCCTGTAACATCGTCCCGCAAGCTTCGAGATATAGCTCCGAAGGAGTCCAGCCGAGAGGGTCGTAGGCTTTTTGGCCGACGTCGCGTCGTCCGGCGTGCAGCTCAGGGAATGAATCATGCAGGCGGTTGCTTGCAATTAGGGATCAATTGAATCATACACATCCCTGCGGTAGCTCTGAACTTGCCTTCTGCTCAGCATTCCAGAAAGCATGAGGATGCTGCGATATCGGGCCATTCGCTGTGCTTTGCAGAGCCGTCACGTACTCGACAGGGAATAAGCCAGCTTTTCCGGTATCCAGAGCTCCGTAGAGCCATCCTGAAAAGCAAACGCCTCATGAGCTCAAACCTACATACATATGTATTATGTATATGAAATTGCGGTCCGAGTGATGTATGAATCACTCAAACAGGTGGCCAGTTGGAGGGAAATCTCGGACGGCGCGACTGTTTGGCCGCTGAGTGCTCGCTAGATCGAAGGTACCGGTCACAATTACCTTTGGCCACATTTGCATTAGAAGATTTGAGGATTCGGATGATGTCACCGCGTCTGAAGCTCAATAAACTCTCCTCCGATGTTTCATAGTCAGCGATGGCGCGAACGAACTCGATACCGGTCTCTTGTAATGCCTCTTGTGAAAATTGATCTATAATGGCATGAATGTGCGGAGCTTTCGGTGAGTACAGAGTCAGCCAGCCTCCATTGCGAAGCAAAAGTTGGACCGTCGACACTTTCGCTAGAATAACGTCGGCCACTTCCTCGAAGGGTATCGTTTCCAGGACGTCCAGATAGTCGTGGTTGAGTTCCGAAACTTTTTTCAATAAACGGAGTCCGGAATGCGACACCCCGAGCATCTCAGCGTTCGGATGATGTCGTCCCCCCGAAATCGGGAAAATACGCGAGAAATAATTAGGGAATTCTTTGCATTGCTGGATGATCGCCTTCTTCGTTTGTAGCTTATGAGCAGTCGCGTTCACGTTGTTCTCAGTGATGCCGAACTCCGACAAGAGGGCGCGTATTTTGTTGATTTCTGGTAAGGTGAGCCGCAACGTCGTTCCCGAGGATATCTCCCGGATGATTTGAGCAAAGACAAGATGAATCTTCTTGGGGTTTTCCAGCGTTTCCAGCGGTGAGAATACTTCCTTCCGAATCCGAAGCTCCCATCGGGTCTTCGTGTACATCAAGAAAGGAGTTTGAGGCAAAGGGAACAGTTTCGTCTGCATGTGCTGCGGTGCTGGATGTCGACTGCGCTCAGGGGCCGTTATTGCAGCTGCCGTCTGTTTGACGTCTTCATCTGCAACGAAACATTGTCAGTGGGCGGTCCGCTCTCGAGACCCTGGATCAATTCATCTAGTCGACGCTTACATTCCGGATGTTTTTTGTTCTTCGACGCTGGCGGTGGGGGAGGGGGGCCGAGTTGATTCCTCTGATTCTTCTTGTTCTGAACTAGAGCCGGTGAGTCGGGGCAGCTGTTCTCATCATACCTGAAGAATCGGCGTCTTTGGTTATGCTAGCATCGCGGACATACGATGTGTACGGCATCTATGTGCGGCCATGTGCCGACGGAACTCATGAGCGAGTCACGTCGGAATACCTCATGTCCTATTCATTCGAATACGAACCCGTAAGCTGTGCCGACGATTGGCGTGGAGGAAGCCGGATCAATGGCGTGATATACCGTGGTGTTTATTTGTTGCGAGGCGCGTTCCATTTTCCTGATTTTGTTCTTGACGAGATTGTCGACATGGAAGCTTTCGGCATCCGATTCTTGTCCGGCCCGCGATGCCTGCGTAGCTCTTCCATCCGTCCACTTGTGGCCCTGATTATCCGACCAGCCTTGCAGTTGTCGCTCTAATACGTTTTTTCGATCCTCGTTGAGCTTGAACGCCGATGCCAGATGACCGCTCGATGACACGGGGCCTTTCGCCGACGAACCCTTCGAACGCACCGAGTGATCGATCGTAAGCTGCTCTAGTTTCGATTTCATCTCATTGCTGATGCGAATTTTCCCGATCGAGCCAGGATCGGGTCGGGAGCGTCCTTCAAAAGCTTTGATGATTTCATCTTTGTTCGTTCTCGGTACGTAGTCGCTTCCATGATTGGGAGCCTGGTTGTACGGGTTGCCGTTTATGTAGCGCTCATCGTCGGAGGAGCTCACTTCGATATCGTCGTCGTCGGGTGCGGCGAGACCAACGTCTTTTTTTGCTTGCTTCTTAGCCTCCCGTTTCAGTTTCTTGAATTCACTAAACGACGTTGGTTGGCCCGGGGCGGCCACGCAATTACCCTTCTCATCGCGAGGAGGCGGCCACCGCCATTTGCCGATTCGAATGGTTTTAGCTCTTCCGTAAAGATCGGCTGCTCTTTTTTTCGCCGATGTGGGCGATAACGGGGGATCTGGGAGCGAGCTTCCAGTTTTCATCTTGAGTTCCGACAAAACATTCTGGAAATTACTCCTGTTCTCGCCACTGGATGAAGATTTCTCGGGCGAATACTTTTTGAATTTGCTCGGCTGGGTCGGTAACGGAGGTACGGAATGAGGTGCCGATGAATCTTGACCGGGCGAGTTTTGACCGAGCATCATCGGGTTGATAAGGTTCACTGCGGAAGGATGAAAAACATTCTTCTGTAGATTCGCTGGCGCCGAAGTGGTTGATTGCAGGCTCTGGCCTTCTTCGCTCGGCGACATCGTGCCCCCTATGACCGTGCTCTGCAAGAGCTGCTGGAGGGCGGCGCTCTGCTGCATCAATTGTTGCTGTATCTGAAGGTTCTGCTGGACAGCGCTGGCTAGGAAGGCTCTCTGCTGGAGTTGCATCATATGCTGTTGCAGAACTTGTTGTTGGATGAGTTGGCTCGCGTCGACCATCGGGACCGTCATTCCTAGAAGTGAACATCTCACAGTCAGATGGATGTAGATTGCGAGCATCGTAATCAACTTGATCGACTCCGTCGCCAATCAGTTGATTCATTTCCCCGAATCGACTCAGTGCCAGACAATGTCCCCGCGTGCGATCTCGAAGACGGTCTTTCTATCGACCTAGTTCTTTTTTCGCGTTCAAAACTTTGCAGTGCAGTGGACACCGTCACTTGAGAAGAGAAGAAACCGAACCTGGATGAAAGTCTGAGGAGCGTGCGAACATAACGCGGATCCCCGTTCATGGGGGCGCGGGTCATCGTATCGAGCTCGCATCATCGCACCCAGCCCCATTTTTTTACGCTGTGAAATTCACGATATCACTAGCTTCGAGCGTGGATTTCTGAGAGACAGTGCGAGAATGAGGATACCGAGTAATGTGCAGTAGATTAAGTTAGACCAGGGATGCTTGCACCGTTGGAGCTAACTTAAGTCAAGGGAGACTGGGGACTCATTTTACCTGATACATTATACAGGGGGACGTTATAAAAGCCCGGAGTGTTTCCACTATTGTTAGCAGCGGAGGCTCCTCCTACAGTTGAGAGAGCTCTTAGTTCGTCTACTATGTTCCTTCTATCGCCTAAGATTCAGCTCGACAGTCGGATCGTGTATGAATTTTGAGGAAGATTTAGCGAACAGTGATCTATGATTTGGACTCTGGGCGCTCTCCCTATACAGGATTTCTGATAGAGGGGGGAAGTCCCGGCCCGCTACCGGACTGGGTTCCTATCCGCGACGAATCAATACGGAATATGATCAGATTTGCGTTGCGGTTCGGACACTAAACATTCCGCGTTTTTTCAATTCGAGGTCTCTCAATCTCCAAGCGATCTTACCGCTGTTATTTCCTGGACTGTTGGGACCCTGCAACTGCTGAGGATTGAAACCGAAAAGAGCATTTGCTTGGAGAGCAGCACCCTGATCTAATGTTCCTATGCCGTCCGTGACGCCTTTTATGCGGGCGCTCAGAGCGATCGGATCACAGATGCCGAGTGAGTCTTCAGCCAACGAGAGATCATCGTCTTCGAAGCTCAAAGAGGCCGTCTGCACTTCCAGGGGTTGTAGGAGTGGTATGACCGGCATCATAGATTGGAATGGCGCATCCGTCGGTGGCATCGGAGGAGGAATCGGCGGTGGAAACACGGGATCCGGAGTTTTCGAGCCGATTGCTTCAAAGGACAGAAGTAGAAATAAATTATTTCGCCCAGCCCGATCATTCACATATTCCTCATCATGGACTTCGCCGCAGCCTACCGTCTTCGTCCTCGAGCAGCATCCCTTTGATTTTCCTCGAGAGCCTCACTGGATCGCTCATAGCTTCGATGAGAGAGTCGTCATCGAAATCTCTGTTCCTGCCCTTGAGACTCGCAGCCAAGGACCTCGCGTCTGACAGACCGTCGTCCTGGTCGAGCACAGGATTGAACAGCTCGTCTAGATACTGGTCCAAATCAGCCGTATGCGAGGGAACCTTCACGTTCCGCACGTGTGAAGCCAGAGAGGGCGCTTCCGAACAATCCGACATTGCGGATGAGCGAACGTATTCGCCGGCGCGACCACCTCTCTGAGATCCTGCGGCTCTCTTGGTCTTCGGATGTCGAGGATATTTCAGGTCGGCCCTGGAGGCCAAGGGACGCGCCGAAAACTTGTCCTGCGGCTCGATGTGATTCTCGGTCACCAATTTAGAGGGCGTGCAGTCCGCGCCGTCGAAGTAACGATCGTTCAGGGCCGATGCGCTCAAACCTAGTTTCTTCTGCCACGCTGGGTGACTCCGGTTTCCGGCGACGGGGGAAAGTTCTGAAATTTCCGTTCCCGCTGTGAGTCCGTGCTCCTCCTGAGAGCTCGGGGAGAGGTAGCGATGATTCAGGCGTGATCTGGTGCTCAGCGGTAACAGGTTGTCGTCTGTGGAAAGTCCAACCCATAGTCAGTGAGGCTGATGAAGTATTCTTGCGCCCGGCATTTCGTGGCTCAATAATCCTCTCGAACGTTAGATTTGGATTCGTAGCCAGAATCGTGACGGAATGTTCCGCCTTAACTCACCGGGATCGCTGTTCGTGCTGCCCTGGTCCTGGTTTGTCAGCTGCTGGTGACTTCGTCGCATCTCGAAATATCTGTCGTTAAGAGCGCTTCTCTTCGACAGAGGGAGTGGACCCTCGCGATCCCCATCGAGCAAGTCATCCATTGATCGGCTCCGCATCGGACACGTCTCCCTGAGGGTCCCGCTGCTCATAGGTGGCCCGATGCCTGCATAGGTACAAAGAAACTCACTCAAGAAAGCTTGTCGGTCGGACATTCGGGGCTGATAGATCCGCGATTATTCCCTTGACGGCATTTACCGAGAGCGTCGGTGCTCATGTGATGCGCTGCGCGTTCCATTGATGGCAGCTGGGACGGAACGTTTCTCTGAGCTAGCCTCGGACGACCTCTGTTCGCTGGGGGTGGATTCGAAGGCAAAGGTGGCAATTCCTTGAAGTCCACCTCGTAAACATTGTATTTATCTGGGTTGTGAGGACCGTCGGAGACCATGTTTCCCTTGCGCGGACGTTCTGCCGATACGAGATAGTAGCTCTTGCAGGTCTCGAAACCTGGAGCGATCTCGGTCTCCGAGATCAAGTCCATGAGGTAATCGGAGCCATTCAGTGAATACGTCACACCGTCTTCGATAAGATCCGTCGACCAGCCGAATGTCTCTTCGATTCCTCGCGTATGCAACAACTCAGCGGCGAAAGCTTGTCCGGTGCTCCACGAGTTGGCTTCAATCACGGGAACGTTGTCTAACGGGTCGAGTTGATCGTAGAAAAGAGCCTCGAGACCCATCTGGAACCGATTCGAGTTGTTGCGCCACTCCAGGAGGCACGGAGGATATGTTCGAGCCAATTTCGCGTCCATTGCACCGATACGCAAGAGGAGACGCTGACAGTGGCAAGCATAGTTGTCCGCTCCAGCTGTTGCGAGGAAAACGCATTAGGCGACATGAAGTGTTGGCATTCCGGGGAGCGAAGGAAGGGGGAGAGCCCTCCGGTGAGTAGCTCTGAGGAAAATGCCCTTACCATGATCGGAGACATATTTCAGGAGGTATTTGTACAGTGTGCGCGATGGAGGGAAGCAGGACAAGCAATTCGACATGAGCAACCAACAGCGATTGCGGGAAGCCGCATCGGGATTGTTGTAGGTCTGCGTCGCCAATTGACAATAGATTTCATCTCTCAGCGAAGGTCGAGCTAGACCTCGTTGAACGAGATAGTCTCCAACCAGTCTCTCCTCATTACCACTGAGATTCGGATCGTACATGAAGCGTAGAATCTACCAAAAAACAAGCCAAAGTCAAATGGGTGTCCGTCTTGCTCCTTCGATATGTGGCTCCGAGCCCCTCACCGATGCACTCACCAATTTGAAGAGGGCCACGGCCTCTATGCTATCCTGCTCGTTAGATTTCGCGAGGAAGGGGCTCTTGATGGGTTCTTTCTTCAGTCCCCATTGATGGTTCTTGAAGTAAATGTTTGTGAACTTCGTGAACATATGGCTGTCGATGTCTGCCGGCAGAGTGGGTACTCGGCGCGGACGTCGCTGTGGCCGCTCGTTTGCCTTGACGATGTTACGCTCAGTTTGAGCGCATTGCCATTCTGTAGATGGGAGAGACAAAAAAATGAATCAAGAAAGCAGTCGAAGCTCTAGGATCCTTTCGGAGCATTCAGTAATTTCGTCCCCGTCTTACCGTCTGCTCTCGATAGAGCCACTCCAAGTTCGGCAGGAATTTCGAGATGTTGGAAGGTTGCGCGCTCCCTCTTCTCACGCTCCCGGTCTTCGTGGCTCCGGCGCTCCCTTTCGGCTTCTTGCAGTTTCTTCTCCTGTTCCCTTCTGGCTGCCGCAACCTGACGCAGCCGAGAATATTCTCTCTTGGCGCGGATCATTCGCCAATTCGCTTGTACACGGACTACACCACGTCGGAACTGTTGATGGGATTCGATTTTCCTCACATGTACGCCTATATTATACATTTGGAGTGCGTCTTCATCGCGAGCCAGCTGAGCGTCAGCTCAGGAGAGTGGTCTCACCTGCAGGAATCTCTGACGTTGAAGGTGTCCTCTGAACGTGGCTTGGATCTTCACTGCGGATTCCTTCATACGGTCGTATCGCTTGTGCGCGAGATATCCACGGATATTTTTCTGAATCAAGACAATTGCACTACGTATGGTCGCCACTCGGGCCTGGTCGAGAATTTGTTCCAGGGGCTCTCGCAGGAACACCTGAAACGAGACGAGGGCATTGGAGTTAGCCGACCGAAGGCTACGGAGCGTTTGAGAGTCGGAGAGGGACAATGTTGTCGTGAATCTGCGGACCGGAACATGAACCGGTCCCTATTCCCATGACTTACGAGTGACGAGACATGAAAAAGGATAGGAACTCGCATCGGGAGATCGTCCTCGAACCAGCCGACATCAAAAATACTTCGGAATCGTCTACTGGTGAATTCAGTCAATCGTCTAGGATTATTTTGTCTGGACGGCACGGTGTCGCAGATCGCGCTGATCGATCCGTTCTGAGGGCATGAGCTCGGCGTTGATGCGGAGGTCTTGCAACCACCGTTCGCAACAAGTCCTCTTGTTGTACAGTCTTCTTGTGCGCCGTTCGCCGTGCCGGGCGGATCCCTTTCGGGCTGTGGGCCGCGAATTTTGGAAGCTGATTTTGGTTTCATTACCCTGTCCTGATTCAGAACACCGAGACTGTGCCTCTTCGGGAGGGATCCCACGATAGGTATGTCCCTGTAGAAAGCATTTGACCGTGCGGGACTCCTCTTCTCGCGCATCCTGAGCTCGACGGGTTCAACCGCAACGTCAACTGGCGAATCTTGTGGCTTGTCCGGACTCTCCTCAATGACGTCGCTCTCCGAGGCTGATCTCTCCTTTGATGTGGTCGCAGCGGCGGCGGCGGCAGCGGCGTCGTCGTCGTCCTTCTTTTTTGACTGATTCTGCTCATCGCGTAGGTCCGATAGAATATCGTAGACGTTACTCGTGATGACGAATTTACCGTTCCGCTGGTTGGTCCGATCGGCAGTGCTACTCAGTTCGTAGTACTTTGAACTGCTCAGCGCAATGGAGCCGATGAGGCTCATTGGTCGTGGCAAACTCCGAGTTTCTCGACTCCGCATATCAAAATTGAAAGCCGCAACGCTGTGTCTCTTAGGATTCAGGGTTCGAGACGATCCGGCCGGCGACAAGCTCAAAGATGGATCATTCGACCCATAGGAATCCGCTTTCGAATGTTTCGATTTCAGGCGACCGAAAATACGGTCCAGAAAGGCGCTCAGTCGACGCTTTTTCCGCAAGTTCTGCATGTTTCCATAGGGCACCTCTGGCAGGGGTCTGCGGAGCGTGATTGACGGAACGAGAGCCGAAGGGACATCGACATCGATGCCTCTCTCGTTGTAACCCATTGGACTGATCTCGAAGGGTTTCCTCTCTTCTAGCGAGTCCGTATTCCGCTCGATCCCATCAGTGACGTCTTTCCCGACAGCGTTCCGAGTCTCACTCACGGTGGGTACGTCCTCAACGTCAACGGCTTCGGGTATCCGGTTGTCGTTCAAATCGACTCCGAAACTTCCGAGAGAGTCCATTCCCTTACATTCGTCTCTCGAAAGCTCGTCCGTGTCTCGGGATGGCAGAATCGGACTTGTCTCAGCCGCAAATCCGGCCCGGTTCGATTCCTCTCCCTCGGAGATTCTGTTTTCGCGAACTTCGTCAATGTTCCGGTGGTCGTCGCAACCGTCAGAATCCCTCATTATATTTTCGAAGAGTTCGTCGCTGTCTCTCACTTCGCCGAGACTGTCGATGAGCTTTGTGAACATCTCTTTTTTTACACTCTCGTCGACATCCTGATTGCTAATGATCAAGTCGCTGCGATTGTTGATCGACGACGTCAAGCCATCCTCGACTCTGGCGATGAGCTCCGACAAATCGGAACTGGCTTCTTTTTCGGGGGAATCCAAAGAGGTTTTTCTGCCTTCTGCCGGCGTCAGGTAGGGGTCGAGGGTGAGATCTTGCTCTTGCACAGGAGTCTGCCTCTCATGGGAATCATAGTAAATTACAGTACTTCCGTCATGTGTCGACAAGTGACAATCTGGATCACCGGAAGTCGCAGAGCGACCACTTGCAGAATCGCCTGTCGGAGTGGCCTGTCTCTCCGGCTTCGACGTTCTGATGATGTCGTCCTGATTGCTAACGGGAGTACTCGTTAGCGCTCCATCCGCCTTTTCGCAGTTTATCCTCGGATCCGAGAGATTGAATGAGTCTCCTCGTTCCCAGGAGCTCTGCGAGTTTTTCCCCACGGAAACTCGCTCCGATTTGGAGAAGACAGATTGTTCATTCTCGAACTTATCGTTGAAATCAGTCTTCTCAGTGTCTGGGAAGTATGTTTGCTCTGCCGGAGTCAGCGGCGGAGACTCCGAGGAGACGCTGCTTTTCAGTCTCGGATTTTTCCTGTATCTCCGGGGGGCCGTTTTGGTTTTCTTCGCATGAATAGAGTCTTTCTCGTTGAACGAGAATAACAAGTTTTCTGGCAAGTGATCCTTTCCCTTGAAAGCGAACAAAGGCATGGCGTCGATGATACTTCACGTGGTCCTCGAGAAATGATCACAGTCGGCGTTCATGTTGCACCGACGAGCAACAGGTGGTTTGCAGATTCTGCTTCTGGTTCCACAATGTCCGGCGTGATCCGCCCATCCCGTAGCGAGGCGGTCACGGTGCGTCACGTGAAGAACTACAACGTACGCACAACACATACACAGAGACAATTTGACAAGATCTCGCCCAGGAAAGTCGGTTCTCGAGCGGTCTCGAGGCGAGAGCAGTTCGAAACGCGTTAGAGGGCGAAGAGGGTTGATCGGCTGCATGTGGAGAGAGACTGTGGGTTCGAGGTTCCGAGGGCTACGCTAGAGGACTTTATTTTGTTTTCGTTCAAGCCCCGGAGGAGCAGCATCGACTGAAAGAGTCTTCTGCTCGGTGCCGAGCCTCCGATGCTCGCATTTCCTTTGCGTGCATCGTTGCAGATCCGTATTCGCCGAATTGAGTGAGACGGCACGCTTGGATATGCTTGCGAGCGCTTCCATGAGCTTCCAGCACTCAACGTGCCCCGGTCTGGAGATTGGAAAATTGGGCTCCGATTTCCCCGCCCCCGTGGGGTTTTCGCGGGTTATCGGGATAATCAGACATATTCGAATAGCGACATGTCGACTGTGTTCTTGAACTATCCGTTTTCATTCAGTAAAACAGCGAGAGAGAGTCAATCGATTCTTGATCTCATCGGCCCGCAAACAATAATTCTAAGATCTTCGTTCTTCTGGAAGTTGAGACCGCTGGTATACCAACCTTTGTATTGCCCAGCTGATACTGATTTTCTTCCGAAGAGAACTGCTCCAGGATTCTGTGGCAAACATCGCGAGGCGACGCCGTACGATCGATTTCATCGGCGAGAAGGCACCGGTATCTGGAAATCAAGCTTCCTCAGCATGCTTTTCAGATCGGGGGCATGGTTCTACCACTTTCTACAGAACTCGGGTCGCGAGAGCGGAAATGAGAAAATTCGCGCCCATTCGCCGTGTTCTTTCTCTGTGATGGCTCGATGTCGCTCCCACAGAAGAATGTGCGAACTAATCATTTTAATTCTACGAGCGATTCTGGTAGCGGGCGGGAGGAGCAGGGCACGGACGAATATCTGCGAGATATGGGCGAAAGCGGAATGAAACTTCACTCCCGGGAATGTTCTATTTCTTTCACTGCCGGCTTCCTTTTTTTCCCATAGCTCCACAGAAGCGAGCGGAAGCGCGCGTGTTCCTTCACTGTTGTCGTGAAACTTTGAAGTATCCCCTACCCGCCACTTTCGAGAATTCAGAACGAATCCGACGCTCACCGATAGCTCTGAGCAGAATGTTATCGAATCTACTCTTTCAAGAGAGGCTCTCCCGGGTCGGGGATCCACTTTTTCTTGGAACACGGCACGATTGGAAACTTGGCACTCGGGTTGCATCGAATTGGATGTCGTCGTCTCATTTCGACAGGAGGAACATCATGACAGCTTAAAATTTCGGTCGCATCCCTCGCCCGCCGGGCAAGGTTCATTCTAGGTGAAATCGCAGCTCCGGATGAAGGCGAGCCGTTTCGGCACACGAGCATCACGCAAACACGAACACACTTTGCGAGCCCGGCTTGGAACTATTTAAGTACACAAGGAGAACCACGGCGTTGTTTCGCTATGTCCGCCACCCAGCGAATGGGGCTTTGTCTCCGCTCCCGATGGAGCATTTGGAAATTACGATCCCGATCAAATACTTAACTACCGGACCTGCTCCGTTCTGAGTACATCCTGACATGAGAGTGACGGTCACACGGATTACACTGATTCTAGGTGACGAGGAGCTTCTCATGTTAGGAGGCATACTTTCCCTGGAGGGATCCACTGTCCGGAGTCCGGAGGACATTCTCCCCGGGCCATTCCCGCTCAAGGAACTGACACAATGGAGTCGAGGATTCGATGAACTCGCGGGACGAGAGGCGATATTGCAGGAGCGATCCGAGAAGCGGAAGCTGTCGAGAGTGACTCGCGGGATAGCGGGCTTATGCTTCGCACATCACGCAAAAACACCTTACTCGCTCGTTTTCTTGAATCGCTCCACGGCAGAAGCCGTCGATTCGACCACGGGATCGTTATTTTCTCCGTGGAAGCACGAAATCAAGTTTACCGCATGGAAAGCTGTGAACTAATAGACTGTGACGGAAGGGCGCGGTAAATGGCTCATCCTCCCTATCGAATGTGAGCGACTGGGTCTTGAAAGAGGGATTCTGCCGGAAAGGCGAGGAAAATTCCCTCCAAATTAACTCATTGCCTATGGGGCGTAAATCTCATCCCTCGGGAACCCAAAGTGATATCGGAACTCAAAGGAGCTGTGCGATCGTCTCCGCTGAATGTCTCTTCATGATCATCAACCGAAATCAAAAATTTAAGAATAGTCTGAGGAGCTATCGAATATCGTCCTCCGCGGATCGGTCTCGTGAACGAGTCTCGAAGAGATTCGGAATCATCGCCCTTCCTTCTCGGAGGACGAGCGAGCTACAGTGAGTTCGACAATTAGCTTACGATAGTTGATGCTGCCAATCCGTGATGCTTTGCTTCCTGTGTGACTTTTGAACTTTCACTGGTATTCTCACTGGGATGACGTGTCTTCTCCGACTCACTTTCGGAAACGAAGAAAGACGCAACAGTCTGAGCACATAAATATCGCGAGGATGGCGTCGCCGACGACGTCCTCGACGGCCATTGCACTCTCTTTTGGCAGGTCGGCGTCGATCTACCAAGCAGATATCGCGAACTGCGATCAGGTTTCGTAGATCTTTGCCTGTCGCCGAGCCTTTGCCAGAGTCCGAGGCCTGACTCCTCATGAACTCAGCTGAGCTCATCGGTGTTCCAAAGTCAGACGAGTTAGTTGATGAGAAGGACGAATAAGCATCGAATTCCTTCCCGATGATATCCTCTTCATCAGACGTCTCGATCGTGTGCACACAAGGCTGTTGGCTGCTTGGACAATACACCGGGTCTCCTAAACGAGACTTGCGTCGCATCATCTTCACTGTCACTTTGGTAATGCTTGCGGATCACAGCCGGAAAAAATGGCATGTAATAGAAGCTTAAGCAATTGCCACTCTCCAATGAGGGGAGTAGCTCTGGCTGCCCTTGGGTCGCAGCCCGTGAGCAAAACTTGCTAGCTCTGAAGACTGTGTGCGCGTTCCTGCGTGTGACGGATGCGCATGCGATCAAGCCAGCTGCTTCGCCAGCCTGTCTTTCTGTTAGTCGGACGGCTTCAGGAGGGTGAGGGTTATTTCTCACACAGATACTTTCATCACCCAACTTTCACGGGGAAGACTTCGGGAAGAGAGTTTTTTTTCCTCGAGTTTCAAACAGAGCTCTCGTTTCACGCTCCCCCGGTCCGCTCGCATCCGACGCGGACTGTCCGAGACAGCGCCTCATCGTGCTCGTGCTCGCTAGAATGGATCAGCGACGATGCACGATGATATTTCGCCCGATTCTAGACGATTATTCAGGGAGAGTGTCGGAGAGTCCTCGGACGAGTGACGCATCCGCCAACATACGATAGTCGCCCCCTGCCGACATCGCGCATCAATTAAAGATTTACTTAGAGAGCTCGATGTAACACGAGGACTCCGAGACGCTGAAGGGACTTACTGATCATCTCGTGTATGTTTGTCTGATGAATGATGAAATTCATATCTTGGAAATAATTGAACCTACCCCCTTCCTTAATCTCTTTCTCAATCTCATGGAATGCATCTTCCCATTTGATCGTTACGCGGGTCTGACGACCCAATGCGAATCTCCCCTAGCATACAGTATTTGGGAAGAAAGATTTTTGGGGTCCCCTGCCTTCCCGCACAGCTTGTTCGTAGCATCGATGAGCCCCTAAGCCGTGGGGATCATACCGAACCTACCGGTCAACGAATTGCAAGAACTTGAAGCGGATCGGGTATCCGATTTTCCTTATTTTGACAGTGTCTATGAGGCCGGAGTAACGAATTTGCTCGAGGACGAGAGGCATGTCGAATTTCATGGCTGTCTTTTCTGTGTTGGGTTTCAGGCATCTGCAAGAGTGTATTGAATCGTTGAAACTTTCGATGCCTTGTAAGAAATGCATAATCGAGGCAGCCGGAGTGTTTTTCTTGTGTCGAAAAGGAAGTGGCATCTACGAACCTTATGAACCAAGGATTACATTGAGACATCTGTTCTACGAGCGCCTGAAGTGAGTCATGGAATCTAGCCGCTACAGTGGGGGCTCGGGGCTTCATAGTGACGAAACGTCCGTCGTGTCGAGGTTTCGGATCGAGCTGCTCACGTCGATGGAGGAACATTTTCGATAGCATCTGAATTTTGGAGGCGATGAGCAGCTCTGTCACATCCGGCCTGCGGAAAATACCCCGGTTCCGTATCCCGATCGGTCTCTCATCCAATACATCTACTCATCAGGTGATTTCAGATTTCCTCACCTGAGGGTGTCGCGGTTCTTGTCGAGAAATCCATCCACTGAATACCAAACTTGGCCAGCGAAGTGCTTGATGCCGAACTCGAGAGAGTTCATGCGAGGTCGCGAGTAAATCTCGTTCAGAGCGTGATTATAATGACATTTCTCCAAGTAGGATATGTCACTCGCTTTCGGAAAATTACTTTCGTCGTCCAGGAGATGCAGAATGCCGACGGGTTTCTTCGCGATCAAGTTTATGACCTGCAGATTATCCGGATAGCCGAGAGGAGTCCATTGAATTCGTTCCTTCGAATATTCAGCCTGTTCCAGCTGCCGAAGTAGAAAAAATGCGTCAAAGACGAACGTCAGAGGAGGGCACCGCGCCGCTGTGTTGAGTCCGTCCGACGCGACGGTCAGACGGAACTCTGCAAAGCAATGCTCACCTTGAAAACGTATCGGTTCAAGAAGCTCTGTAGAGTCTCGTTCGCGTAGTTGATGCATAGCTGTTCGAACGAGTTCTCGGCGAGACATTCGAAGCCGAATATATCCAATATGGCAATCGAACTTCTGCGAGGACCCTTGAAAACGATCGAATTTATTCGATGCACGAGCCACGAGAATAGAGTCGAGTACAAGGCCTTCGCAATGGCGTCACGAGCGTCGAGAGCTTGATCGATATTCAGCGGAGTGAGGAGACGCTCCCCACGTGCTTCGGTCGCTTTCGTGGTCAGGGAAAGGAGAATGCCCTCGATCGGGACCTGCAGGAGGTGAGACGCCCAACGGATCTCGGCCTCACTGCCGACTTCTACACTCTCCTGGCCGTGTTTGAGCTGAAGAGAATGGAAAATGCCTGAGAGGTTCAAGTTAAACACAAGTAGTATTCCTCGGCTCGACAGTCCCTTGGAATGTTTACTCACAGGCTTGCGATGGAAATAAACGTTCCCGAGATGTAATACTGTTGCCAGGATCCTGAAGAGTATATCGGTCTCTTCGCTCGACAAGCCAAGCACTTGCATGGCCGCGAGCAACGAACGGAAATCCTCTACGTCGTTTTTGGTAGGGATCGCAACACTGCCGCCTTGATTGAGATAGAAATATTTCTCTGCAGATTGGAGACCGTATTTCTCCTTCTCCTGTTCTGATAGTCCTGCCAGGAGCTCGTAGAAGACGTGATAATTCCGCTCATCTGCAGCTTGAGTGACGATACGACTCTTTTCCAGGAGGTAGTCGATGATTCTTGCTCCTGTGATCTCTCCGCTGCGAGAGGACGGGAAGCTGAGTTAGTGTCCAGAGATTGAACGCGATCGAGCTCATCGAGACCAGTGTTCCTCACCCTTTGAAGAAGACCTGCATGTATTTTCCGAACCGGGAGGAATTGTCATTTTTGACTGTCTTGGCATTCCCGAAAGCCTCGAGTAATGGTGAGGCTTCGAGAATCTGTTCGGTAACCAGATTATTCGACGATCGGTTGACTGCAGCCAGGTATTGTAGAATCAATTTCGTCGATTCAGTTTTGCCGGATCCACTCTCACCAGAAATTACGACAACTTGGTTTTCCGTTTCGAGCGCGTTCTTATTCAACTTCTGGTAGGCGGCCGAGGCGGTCGCGAAGATGTGTCTGCAATCGATGAGATTCGCTGAATCTACGCATAGATTGTACAATATAATCATGATCATCATGATCATGATAATAAAATATTATTGGCCACATCATAAGCTTCTCAGCTATACTATTCGATACTTTCGAGAGATATTCAAGAACTTACGGTGGCAGAGTTCCGAAAATCTGACCCTCATAACGCTTGACCGCCTCGACACCATATATCTCGAATAGCTTGTACGGGTTGACGGCTACTAGGATTCTCCCGATGTTAGTCTGCAGGAAATTCGGTTCCGTAGTGAGAAATTCTCAGAATCAGCAGCCTTCTGAAGTCGTCAAACGCGAATCAAACCGGAAGCTCATGGGCCCCCGGTCTCTCCCCAAGGCTCCCGGTCGCGATGCTAATGTATCGGAGCGGGTCGTCATTTCGGCTTCTCGGCCCTATGGGAAGCCTAATCTAGCCCCCTGATGGAGGAAGTCCTGGGTAGTGTGATCCGATTGGGGCAAACGTCTCCATAACTGCACGACGATATCATTGGACCGTTCTAGAGACTCCCTACTGCACAGCTTGCGAATCCTCTAGAATGAACATGCGACATGGCCGTTTCGGATTCGAAAAAGAACATGCGTGAGCTCAACGAGTCACTCAAGGTCGTGGCTATGCATGATCTGAGGATTGTCACGACTTGTACCACGCGATGTTCGCCTCCCTACCCCAATCGGATTTAGGTGTATTTCAGACTGCGCAGGGTATACCCGGTGGAAAATGGAGTCGCCACACGATTTTGAACTTGATCCTCGTCGCCGCGGATGTCAGGACGCTCTCTCCTCAATCTCAGTCGTCTCTATTCCAGCCTTACATCAGGAGCATAGCCGGTCGAGAGCGGGAATGAACGAGAAATTCCAAACTCGACCCGATCCCAGAGGGAAATCGGTGTGTAGCCAGTATTAAGCCTTCTTATGCATTGATTGAGCTTTCATACCGCTTCTTATTAGCATCCCCACGAATCGTGGCGATATCGAATACTCACATAGATATGCTGCTTGTCGTAACGGACTTTCAAATTCCAGAGGATGCTTGCCTCGCACAGATCATTCATGGAAATGATATCAGCTATTCCATCGGGGCCCAGATCCTCACGACGTCGGACAGCTGATAAATTGTGAAGCGTGAACGGCTTCGGTTGCCCCGCCACTATAGCCTAGAACATTCGGAAAAGGTAAAATCAGGTCTCCTCTCTGTCCAAGTCATACTTCCCCGATGCCTCAGATTCGGAATCCTTGACTCTCCAGCCGGTGAATCGCGCCTACAGACCTGGACTATGATTACGCCGGCGGGCTTTGAAAACTCAACAACTTCTCCGGGTAAGGAATAGCCGACCCCTGGATCGAACCAGATGAGGTCGCCCTGTAAGAGAATAAGCCTGGGTTTATTCATCCCCGTCTCGATTCGGCGCGCGAAGAATCGACGGAGTCTGGGCAATTCCTTCTGAACTCGCCTGTAAGTATTCCTCCATCGTGTAAGGTGGCGCAACGAAGCGTCCGAAGTTTGTCCTGCTTCACTCAAGCTGTCATTATCGTGCTGTCCTGAGAACGATAAACCGCCTTTAGTGAGTTGATGGATTTCGGCTTCTCGAGTTTTTTTCGCTACGTTTCTCGGGGGGGAACTAAGGTTTAGGAAATTATTGCGAAAGCCACAATCGCGACGAGCGGAGCAAGATGGCCTAGCATTCAGACGCCGGATCTGGGACCCACAAGTAGCGACGGAGGTTCTCAGCAGGAAGGCGTACGTACTCCGTTATTCGGATCACACGATCTGAAACAGCACGCGGCCGGCCAGAAGTGTCGCGCCGTTGACTGTGTTTCGGGGCATGCTCGAGAGCAATGACCCTGACTCCATCGCTTCGACGGCAGCGAGCCTGACTTCGAACGTAAAATGATGAGCTTCGATTTGAAGCTTGATTTCTCGTATTTTCCTCCGGCCACCGTAGCGAGACCCATCCCACTGGATGGAGTGCAACGGATAACGCAGTCGGATTCGACGTCGGTAAGTTTCTCGCTTCGACCGTGCAAACGGATAAATAAGCGCTACTGATCGGGGACTGAAGCTTCCTAATTGAATCGGCTGCTGAGGGACATCTTCACAGGAAGAAGCACGGTAGTCGTCGTTGTCGTCGCTCTCAAGCAGATAAAATATTATTCGGAACTTGAGTTTGTGAGGCGTCTCAAATCGACGCCCTCGAAATTTCGGACGGACCCTATATCGATGTAGGGAGTCCTCAATTGTATGAAGTCAGGCGGGGACAGAGCTAACGTTCCCTCGCGGGCCATCGGATCACATTTCTATAAATCGAGAGCGCCGTCTTCCGCTGGGTCGGGACCGCTCTTCACTGATGTAGTGAGCGAGGTGAGAGGGTCCGGGCACCTGTTGTGGCTGTTGCGATATCTGCGGCAGCGCAGCGTGCTAGCTCGCTGTAGATCATCGAGGGATGAGCCAATGAGCCGTTTCCCCGCTCATCATATCGCCAATTTCATGAGCGGTGTTTCGCTATCACATGCGCTGTATTTGCGACCACGCCGACCTTCGGAACGCTTCGACGCCGATATTTCGTTGTCATATGCATCATGAGCGTCAAACAATGAAGCTACTCCGCGTGAAATGCGCTCCAAACGTACCCCATGGCCGATTTGTCTTCAATAAGCTCGAAATTGGAGAATAATTATTATTTTCCCCGAGTTCCTGATCGTCAATGGACGACGAGCGAACAAAACATGCAAGCGGTAACGTGTTCCCATGGAATGCGGACTACCTTGAGCGGAATTTCTGCTTCCGCCGGCTCTGCGCTTCGCTGTAAATTATCTTCGCAGTCAGATCGACTTCGGGGGAGATTGTATTCGCCTTGCTAGCGTTTTCCATTCTTCCATTGTGCTCAATCGTTCAGGCTTTCTACGCGGGGATCGCCAGAAGGGCTATTCGTCTACTTCGCTCTATGCAGGATCACAGACGATTCCTCGAGATCGCGAAATTCATTACATGTGGTGACATCCAGAGGGATGCGATGTACATGGATGGAGCAGCGGTCCGACGTCAATTAAAAACTGACAGCTGCTCGAATCAATCTCCCCGCATCGGGCTCCCCCCGTAAATTCACTATCGACAGGATCAATGAAACTTTCCCGGGAGACTGTGCAAACGGGGGAAATCTCCGATGCATTCAATCGAAGTGATCCGTCCGCAGGAATGTCTTACAGAAGGAGGTCAATAGGACGCTCAGTCAGACCAATGAGCCCACCGGAGTCCGGCTTAATTATAAGGAAATGGCTCCCTCAGCTCCGAACTCGAGAGGGTATGTTTCGGGGAAACAGATCGTAATGGCCATGTCGCAGAATCGCGCGACGCGCGAGCACAAAACGGAGCTGTGCGTCGGTTCACAGGACCTGTGTCTATGACAAAAACCGCTGGTCTCCGGAAATCGTTCTCGATATCGGGAATGCTGGGGCATCGCTATTCCGAGACCTGGAGGCTGTGCCATGATTCAGACAGCTCTCTCTTATCATCCACCGTTCCTCCCCCTCGGTTAGCCGCTGTCTCGTTCACTAGCATCAATCTGTCGCCGTCTCCGTTTCCATGTCGTTGCGCCGTTCCCGTGACCCACTGGCGGCGAAAACTTTGAATAGTCGCTCCAGTCACAACGGTGGTTTTCATTGGCGCTGTAGCAGTGGTGGCCAAAAGTTCGCCACTTGATTTCAATGACTACGGAGTAGCTTTTTTAGGTTATTAGCTGTTCGACCAATGCAACCCCATCGGAGGATCCGCTTGTTACACTAAACATGAGTCTCCGGCGGGAGACTTGTTCGTGAGCGACCGTCGCATTCTTATGCAGCCCGCGGCTATATTAGAATCGTCGTATCGCTATTAACTCGATTAAGGTCTACATATGTACAACATGCTTTCGATCGATCTGTAATTGAGTTTCGTTGCTCATACGAGATTCCGAGAGGCAGGGAGAGCAGCCCTGAATGAGTCGCTAGTAAGAGCAACAGTAGACAGTGTGACAGTCGTCAGTCTCCCTCGCAAACTTGCTCCACCGGGCAAGGTGGCTAGCTAGCGACAGAACCCCACATACCACCGGGACCTCCGAGGGAGGCCATATCGCTCGGGGTTCACGGTCGACCTTAAAAAATGTAACGCAGCCACACAGCTGAGCCCGTAGGCCCGAGCTGTCATAGCATGGCGCCGACGATCACTCAAGCCGTGATCCGACAGAATGAGCGCAACTTCTTCCCGGAATACGATCAACTGAGCAGACCCCTCTCACACGGACCACAATCTGTCTCTCCTCGTATGATAATCAACGTATGCTAGAGAGCGCAGGGCTCGTGCCCGAAATCGGGGATGCCGCGAGTCGCTCAGCTGAGGCACACCTGATGACAGCCGCTCTCACGCCAACTAACCTGAGAACCGAAGCGTAGCAGGACATGATTTCCGCACAACTATACCCACAGGAGTATCCTTGGAATATTGCGACCGAAAAGAGATACCTTCCAGCTAAAGAACGCTCTTAGGTCCCAATCAACTGCTCATTGATCCTGACACGATGGAAACGTCACCCATAAACAGCCGTGGTTAGCGGATGTTGTAACGTGTGACTGAAGCTGGCTTTTGACGTCGACGGGACCGGTTCTCAATGGGATGGATGCATCCTGGCGCAAAACTGTTCGTTTTCAGACCGTGAGAGGGCGCTCCCGCACGACAGAAAACCCGGATACTTTCGATTCTAGCGCTAAAGATACCAAACGCGCAATCGGTTCTTCTCGATTCTGCCGTCAGGACGGATGCATCATACAGTGTTTAACGAAGCGAAATCGACCGATATCCGTCGCTCACCAGGAGTTCAGGGAACTTCGTCTCCGACAGGCCGAGCCGAGTCTATCCGAGTTCGGAAGCACAGTTTCGCGAATAAGTTAGCCCGCGAAGCGATGGACTCGAACCTGAGCTCATTCTTCGGAGAGGTCAAAGTACGAGCATTCTGCGTCTGACTGGTCTGCTCAGACCGGCCAGACACCGGAGAGTGAAGTTGGAACCTCAGGGGCTGGATGTGTGTCTGTGACTGTCCTTGGCTTCCCCGGCTTGCCGAAATCGGCTCCGCTTGAAAGTCAAGACTACCTTCAAGTCCCTTGATGAGAGACCTCTATGAGGGACCTCTCGTTCTCCATAGACCCAAGCTGGGGAGGGAAAGTCTCCCTCATAGGTTTCCATGTGAACGTCCTCCATCTGATAGGGGGCCCATATGCGGGACATCGGGATACCATTGGTCTTCGGAGGGCCAAAACCAACTTTGGAGGGGGTCAATGGTCCGATATGGCAATCCGCTCCTATACTACGTGAGGGAGGGGGTCATGGCCTGTTTCCGCCCTGCTGTTTTCGCTTCTGGATCTGTCACTCGAAACTTAATCGCTTCTTCGGCTTTGTTACTTTGATAAGACCACTCAGGTTTGCTTCTTTCCAAACTTTATTTTCTCGAGAACTCGTTCGGTCAGGCTGTTCTCCCAAAGTACATCTTGAGATGGTCCTCATCGAGTAGGGGGGAGGGTGACGAGGCTCCCTACCCAATACGACCATGAGGAGCTGCAGAGGAACGAATGCTGTCAGGCCCCCCACCGTCATGTCGAGTTTGACGCCCTGGAATCTGCGTTCATTGCGGAACGGATTCCTTCATTCGGAGCACTCGTGACTCGCAAGGGGCGACTGATCTGTGCCGAGCATGCGTATGCGCCCTCAGAGATTCGAAGGAAGCAAAGAAGGAGGAGCACTCGATACATTCCAGTATGTCCACTAACGCCTGTTGTTTCGCTGGTGCGGCTACCTGATAGTAGTCATGGTCTCGAACCGGCACCATGTTTCGATTAGATCTCACGAGCTCCGAGAATCCTTCGGCCCCGCATCCATCGCCAGCGTCACATGAACGCAGGAGTTGGGGGTTGCGAGCATCCTTCCCGAGATTCAATTCATGGTGACGGGATTCAACATGAGCACGGAGATGAGATGGGAGGAGGAAACAAGAGTCACACGACGAACATTTGTATCTGCGGATAGATCGAGGCGGTAATTGGTATGTGGGCAATTGCGTCTCTCGAGCTAAATCACAATCGACTAGGGGAGATATCGATACTTGGAAGGAATTGGGGAGTCCTGAGCATGTACACACCGGAACTCCTTACGATGTCGCTTCATATGAGCGTTGTAATAACTTTTATCGGCGAATTTTCTCCCACACTTGTCGCAGAGCCAGGGACGTTGCAAAGAGTGACGAGCTAAAATGTGAGTGCGAAGATTGGACACATGCGCCGTTACGTGATCGCAGTGTGGACACCTGCGGAGGGCGCTCGCAGAACACAGACCGTGCTTCTGAAATAAGATGGCCCGTGAATGATCCGTCAAGTTACTCTATACTGGACGGAAATATTCATAGAGACCTGGAGCGGACAAGAGAAAGATCGTCGGGAAGAGCAGGTTCGAGTGAACAAGGGCGGAAGTGGCAAAAGGCGCTCACCGCTCTTATATGGAGCATGACCGCTGATCTTTTTGCTGAGCGGAATTCGCAGCTCCTCTGAGAGCAGAAGAAGTCGAATGTCGGAGTCAAAGCTCCTGCGCAGATATTCTGACCGCCGCTGTCCGGTGAATCTCGCTCATCTTCTCCGGAAGCCTGCATCGTTAGACGGCTTCGATGGACGAAGAGCATCGGAGCAGCGGAAGTTACTCAAAGCACATTCGGCGAGCCGCCACGGAATTTCTCCTGAAAATTTACTCCCTGAGCAATCTTCGACCGCTCCTTTTTGAATCCAGCATACACGTCAAGCAGCTCGGGCGGACCCTCGGTCTGGGGGGTCGACTGAGGTCCGAGACCGAGCATCCCAGAGCCATTGGCATTCTTTCGTGATCCTGAGCCTCATCTATCTGGACGAGTCGTAGCCGTTCCCAACTGTGACTCACAGTTCCTCGAGAATGCGCGCCCGTGGAGTCATTCCAATCGACGTCGCGGTCGTGAATTCTAGCCTCCCAACGGAATACGTGGGACATACTTCCTTGCTCGAGAAAGTCATATAGAACTTCAATGAGAGGGGCCTCCGAGGACGAGCTTCTCGTAGACTAGGAGCTATTGTTCCTCGGCGGTGATTCATAGAGGAAGCTTATGGCCTGGGGACTAGGCCGGAAGGAATCCGTGATCGGGATCGACTGTCAGCGACTCATCTTGGCGGCAGACGATTCCTGATGAGGGAGAGCGGGGATATCATTAGGCTATGTCTGTGGACACTCCCAGTGGAATTCACCATGAAGAGGAAGCTCATGCCATCTGCGTTGAAGGGTTCTCGCGGAGGGAATGATGACGATGATTTTCACCATACGGAGCATCCGTGTCGACGCATCAAACGTAGAACCGGGCCCACTCGAATAAACGCCGTCCAAAAACGCACGGGCGGAAATATGCCGAATCTGTGGGGAACCTTTCCGAGGCGGACTAGTGCTGGGCGACTATCTAGTCTCACTCGCTAGGAACACCACCAGTGACCAGGCGAAATGATGAAAGGGATGCTGATGATCTGTCGTGAGAGCTTAGGCGCGAGCGGGCCTTTTATTCCGAATCCGGATAATCCGGCCCGACGGGGCGATGGTCAAAAGAGCGAGTTTCACCTCCCCGTCATCGAGGTCCTCCAACCTGTTCTTAGCGGTTCTACAGGGGAATTTGTGAGCAGCTCCTGTGTTTTCGGGTCTACGATAGGGTTCATTCGCTGGCCAGGATGCGTGTCATACCATCCCCCGAGAAGCTACTCCAGACTCCTTCATTCGACAAGAGGGATGTTCAGGATGAGTTCGAACACGAGTCCGGTAACTTCAAGGGAGCCGGTCAGGAATGAATTGAATCAAAGATTAGAATGTCGACTTCCGATGGCGCTAAACTGACCCTATACCAGAGGTCTTCACCAAAAATTTTGGACGGGCCGCACGGGCTCGTCGGCGAAGAGCCGCGGGCCGCAACTCGAAATAAATTACCTACTCATGTTCGAAAGTACATATGATTTTTTTGTCAGTCGATATCAAGACACCGAATTATTTATTCTTGATCTTTCTAACGTAGTAAATAGGGTATGATCACCCTATTCCGGGCAACCCGTCACCCGAATGACTGTAAAACGGCAATGATTTATTTCAAATTCCTACGTTTTCTTCGAGAAAGATGGGCGCGAAGCCTCCGCAAGTTTCTTCAAATCTGGCGGGAAAGAGCGGTTCGAGGCTATCCTGAGCGTCGCCCGTAGATTATTTTAAGTGAGCCGGACACGATGTTGAGACTTGGACGATGATTCTCCCTCCTGGTCGGAATGATGAACATCCGAGAATCGGGCGGATACTGTATTGTATTTCACATAAATATCCGGAAGGCTGCTCGAGGGCCGCACCCTATTGTAAGTCGGGAAGCGGCTCGCGGGCCGCATGCGGCCTGCAGGCCGCGGTCTGATCACCCCTGCCCTATACAACTTCTACAAAAGGGATCGGTATGGGGATATCGAAAGCGATCGACAAGCTTACGATGGAAGCCGCTCCGAGCCGTAGGACAAAGTCTTCGAATCGGTCCGAGTATTCCGAAACAAGCGTGAGCTCCTTTTCAAAGGCGCGCACCGGAGAAGGGGCCACCCGATTCCAGAGCCTATGATCAGGCCCGTATCACGACATGAGGCCAAGCCTCATTCGGAAAAATGAGGCTAGGCTAAATTTTCGAGTGAAAACGGCATTTGTTGTCGTGTTGATGCTACAGTTCATTCTCGAGCCTCATGTCTTATATTAGGGGTATCACATCACAACGTATGAAATATTTACAGGAAAAAGGTCAGTCTCCTGCTATTTCTAAAGAGTGTGCAGACTCTGTTGTTGACAAATTAGTCCCAATTGTATCCGACTGCAATTCACGCGCACGTTGGCGAGGGACCGAGAGCGTGGAAGCGAGCGAGAATGATGCAGATAAATACCGTAGATCTAGCAGAGAGCTGTGATCGCTCCACATGCGGTTGACGACGGAACCGAATTCCGGAAATTTCTGAGGCTATCCATGAGCTTTATTTCCACCCCCCCCCCTCTCCCCAAAGAGAAACTGAGCTTATAGCCACATATTTTCAGCCTGGCAACGGGCCTGCCTATGATGCAGCTTTACACGAAGTTGATCCTTAGCTGTACCATCGATTGCCGTTGTGCTTGGAAGCTACGGAATACGGATCATGAACCATGGTGGGTTAGGATTGATTTGTGTACCTATGCGGAGCCAGCTGCTAATAGAGCTCCGTCGTGGGTAGCTTGGCGAGAACTTATTGGTTCATTGAGATAATGGGAAGATTCACATGGGAAGCTCCAAAGAACACGCTACTCCGACCCATTCAGCGAGTGACGGAATCAACCGCAACGAGTCACGCTGATTCTGATACGGCTTCCATCCTCGGGAGCGACTCTGCGCCGCGCGTATTTTGTGACCTCCTCAGGCGAATCGTCAAGCGTCGAGCGTATGTCGAACATTGAAATGGAATAGGGGTGACCAACCCGAGGAAGCTCTAACGCTCAGTGAAGCGGGCGTTCTCGCTATCGCCTCCTCATCTCGTCTTCATGCCTCTCCGCCGTCAACCTCAATGAAAGCCTGCTCAAGCGTCTGGATTCTGGTCCGAGGAACGCATAGCGAAGAATTCGAATTTCCGAACCCGAGAAGCAGGCAGCCAGACATGTTGACAATTCTATCGTGAGGAGTATTTCTGACACGCACTTCCTCCTCGGTGCCCGCAAAAAGCGAAAAATCATGTCGAATAAGCGTGTCGAGACATGACGATTCGTTCCATACTTCCATTTTCTATGCTCTAAGCTCCAAGGCTCTATGGCGAATGAGCGTCGCGTCGATGAGAGTGATTTCGAGCGCCGCGCCGGATCCTCGGCCCACCCTCGGACTCGAGAGCTTCCTGGGGAACTTGGCGGAGCTGAACTTCGAGCTGGAACCTCAAAAATATGGAATCATTTTTGGCTTGGGGCGCCAATTTCAATCCTAAGGTGCATACCACATTCCTTCCGCGCGCTCCGGCGACAGCCGCACGGTCGAATCACATCTGTATGATTCTCACCCTCTTCCACTGCTGTTCTCTCCCCTCAAGATGGCGGGTCCACCACGCTGCCGCAGCCTGTAGCTCCGCCGATCTCCGACTGACTGAGTGGCCGAGTGATTATCAAGAAGAAGTTGACTTCATTGTCCGCACTTTTTATGAAACAACCGCAGTTTTCGGAGCGACGATTCAATTCTATTTCTCCCATGCCGAGTATGTGCGACGCCATTCGATGAAACTAATAAGCGAACACTTTGATTAGTGTACGCTACTGTGGTCTTCGGCGCGGTGATGCCGACTGGAGACGTCTGTGCAATTTCGTCGATCGTCTTCACGCCGATGACTATTCCGGTAACGAGGCTTCGAGGAGAAAAACTGAACTCCTAAATTGAGCAGCCGGTGCGAGACGTTCGGTCTCCGAAATCACATATATGACTGACGGAGCGAAATCGTCGTGTGAGGTGAGCGGATCAGGAGGAGAATTGTGACAACATCATTCTATTCCTCTGGCCTGGCGGTCTGCCTGAGAAGTTTTCGGGAGCGGGATGACTCCCGATCAAAGATGCCAGAAGCCCGATGATTTCGATTCCGAACAAATTCGGAGCAATCTGAATTAGAACGTTCTGCAAGGAACGACCGCGGTCGTTCTTTTGTCGTCAACTCTCCTGCACGTGATAACTTCCGGAAAGCAGTCTGATATCCGAGGAAGCTCAGAGAGTCATAATTGATCATCGCTCTGGATTTCCCGTGCTCAATACTAAATACGTCATCCACAGGGATAATTTGGCAAGCGGTGATTTTCGTAGAGACGGATTTTATGTTTTCCATAGAATCTAGGGGCTTGCTCATCGAAGGGAGACAGGCGGAGGAATGATATGATGTTTATAGCGATGCGAACCTCTTCGATGACCCCTCCTTGAGAGAATACATTAAGGGACATATATTTTTGCAGAAATGAAACGAGCTCACCTACCGGAGAATAATCGAAGCTCCCGTGGTTCACGCTACGAGTCATCGGACGAGTGAGTACGATAGGACCTAAGTTTATTGTCTCTGACGGCCCCGGCCGTTTACGGAGCGTCGCTTCGATATGGTCAATTATACTTTCATCTTATACTCTACGGACAAGTGTGCGACCATGCGTCAGTCCGCTTCAGTTCGTCTCGGCGACGAATGCATCTCACGCTCAAGGTCATCGATCGCTCGCTGCCGCATGACGTAGCGGATGAGATTCACAGTCGCGCTAGTACGTGTGATATGCAAATTTCATCTTACTGTCCAGACACTACGAGTTTCTTATGGGCCTCTTGACGCCGCAATACCGAGTCGATGATATTCGAGTATTTCCATCGACTCTAATAAAATGTCAGTCACCTCTGGACAGGGAAAAGAGTTTTCCCGTTGCTATGCGCCCTCGTCTATGCATCCATCAACTACCCCGTAGAGTTTACATGAAATCTGAAAACCGTGAGCGGGTTTCTCCCGCGTCTTTGGATAGATGGGGATGAAGAGCATCAGAACTAGGCCGATTGTTTCCCTAGAATAGACATACGGCAGCCATCTAATCTCCAATGTTTTGACAGAGATGATTCGGATGCTTTCTGCTATTCACCAGAGAACGAAGATCAGAGACGGAGATTCTTCGATCTCGTAGCGCTTGCGCTTGCGTCGTCCGCGGAATACGGCTCGACTCGCCCTCAAACCGGTAGGTCAGAAGGAATTCTCCCGATCGCGAAGCCGTCCCTCCTGATACGAAGCCGTTTGTGTCGTACCAGTGACACGGCATTGCTGTTTCCTACGGGTGCGGAGTCAGTGGCACGCTAGCTAGCGAGCGGCCGCATCTCCATTAAGGTCGCCTCACTTCGAAGAGGGTACGCTCGCATCACCAATGCATTCTATGTCTCTGGGTCAAGCCAAGCGTATGACAGTCTGGGAACGAGAGCGTACCGGTAATGTTGTATCACGGGGCTGGGACTAGAGGCGCGGCTGAGCTTGCGATAATACTCGAATTTTCAGTGACATGGGGCGCCGATGAGAGCGACACGGAAAGTCACCCGTCGTTGGAGAGCGATGCCGAAGCCGAGCTCCTGGAACTTTTCGACGAGGAAGACGAGAACGAGAGTGGTTGTTTTGTCGGGAGTTCTGATTCGACAAGAAGTCCGTATGAAGATGGCATACCTGAACGATATGACGCCCCGATGATACAGAGTAGGAAGCTCCCGTTCTTCAGCGGACGTTCACGACGAGAATCGACAGTGTTTCGGGGAAGCCACTCTTTCTGTACGAGTCACGCAAATCATCTCAGCCCGGGGCTGATGAGTCTCGTCGAGCGCATATTCAATGAAACTCCAGGGACTGACCAAAGAGAAAAGGTCAGAACTCTACTCTTACCCGATTCAGAAGCCAGACACGCTATAATAATCTATTCGGCCATCGATGTCACGAGGTATTCAGGCTTTCCCATTCTCGTCGCAGAAATCCGAGAGGAAAATTCGACCACAGCCCAGCCCGAATGTGAAAGCAGCACCAGCTCACCAAGACGCTCTCCATGGCGGCTCGGCCGATGTCGAGAGGGACGAATATGCCGAAGCAGATGAAGCCGATCGAACCGGTACCAACGCTGAAATTATTGACCGGATAAGGGGACTCGTTTACGAAAGATACGGGAGTCCGACATCGCATCGATCAGAAGCCGAATCCCTTCACTCTTCGCTCCTCCCACTCAGCCCAACTCTGTTGATCTATCGAGATGCGTTCGAACAAAAGCCATCTCCCCCAGGGCGGAGATCAAGAGGGAGTTCCTCGGTCTCGACTCCGGAGCGGATCGAGAGCTCAAGCCCTTCCTTAGTCTGTACGGTGGTAGACCAAGGAGTGATAAGTCGAAAAGTCTGTGATCTCGTCGTTCCGAGTAAGTTCCCGCGAGTGCAGGAGCGGCTGGTTTGTGAATCTTCACTTGGAACGAACGCACCTGCGTCTTTTGCTATAGTTGATGTTTCGCAAGAAGATTCGCGCAAGCAAGCGTGTCCTCACCGCATCGGAGAGCTGGACTCGGAGGCTGTGTCGCCTATAATCGAGAATTTGGTGAATGACCTCGTCGCACGCACGGAAGACTCCGATATAAGCATGCGGCAGCCTGTCGAAGAGGATGCCCTAGAAGAGTTCAGAACACAAAGATCAGAATCTTCCGGGGATGGTATCGACTTGGCACAGACGAATTACAGCGGAGGCGTCATTAGTTCCGAGTCAGAGGCCATCGATGTTGTTGAAAGCGTCGGGGAGAGTCAAGATCGAGACGACTGTACACTTACAGCCCTGCCCGCCGTAGAGGAGAACAAAAGCGAAAATCTTGTCATTAGTATCGAGGAAGCATTCCTCATAATTTCTGCCGAGAGCAATTGAGGCGAAAAACGAATTTCAGATGGATCTCAAATTTCCTCGTCCTCGAGGCGAGTTCGGGGACATCGTTATTGGGTCGCCTGCCCGAAATACTGCGGTGATTTCTGACTGGGTGTTCGTGGAAGGGTGTTCTGGCGGTGATTCAAACTTGGGAAATCTAGAACGAACAGCGATATACCCAACCCGGTGTGATTCCTCGGTCTGTTCTCTTCGATTCGTATCATGGCTCTATATTTTCGAAGTAGCCGGGAGAAATGTTGATTTCAAGCCAGCAGGGCTCCGGTGCGATAGTCATCCAAAGGAAATTCGGGAGCTCCATGGTTGCTGCAAGCGAATCGGATATCTCTCGCAGTTTTCGTGTTTCATGATCCAGTCTAAGCTTGCAACATAATTCAACCTCAAAGGTTCGAGTCTCTCCGCGCCGTTGTGAGATGAGGATCTTCGAGTAATCTCTCTTGGTCAAGAGCTGCCTCGAGTGTACTGCTCGCGCACGGTCCCGAGGCGTATGTGGGGTCCGCTGAAGCTGAACGCTCTTTCAATGACTCTCTTCTCCGAGCAACGAAGCATTCCGCGAAACAGGATTCTGCGAGGGTACCGGAGTAAGGGACAGGCTTTCCTATCTGTATTTGTTACAAGTCCGAGAACATCCGTTGTAAGTCAGCTTATTTATTACAAGCATATATATTGCGGTTGAACAGTTTATCGACACCTGTGATCCCTCCACACGCAATAAAATCAAACCCAGGTTCCGAAGCTATATTCCACATCCGCGTCATGCCCCGATACCTCTTGAAAATGTTCTCTCATCAGTCGACGAGAAATCATTTGGACCCCTACTCATCTATACTTTGTGAGGTCGCGGAAGATTCACATTTATATGTTCCCACGATGGGGATCAGAGAAAAAACGTTTCCCTTCTTCCCGAAGCTCCGAGGGGGTAGGCGGCAATGTGTCGAGGGATGGCACGGAAACCGTTCCCGGCTGACGGAGCTTTCATATCGTCCATCGTCGACGGCACTGGGGATTCTCTAGACCCTAGGCTCTAGATCACGGAGGAGCTCAGGGATTACTCTATTTCGAATTCGGCCCCGTGCCCCGGACTCCTCCTTGAAACAGCAGTAGGATTTCATCCCATTCCAAGCATAATCACGACATGGAGGACAGTTCTCATGGGTAATCGCTACCGCCATCATGTCTTGTGAGACTACTAATGGGGGTGGAGCCCTCCTCTATGCGGAGCATCCTCATTCCAGATGGAGGGAACCGCAGATACATTCCGTGGCATACGAACCCACAGAATGGACAATTCGACAACAATCTTCAAGGATCCTGAGGGAAAACATTTAATCGCGCTCACTCGCTTGAGAGAGCGGATCAATTGAAGAGTCGTTGAAACCGTTTGGAAGGCGGCGCCCATCGTTTTAAACACAGCAATCTCAGCCAATCATAGAACATATTGTCAATGGTTTGTACTCAATGTGCCTTCTGGTGAGCTTGTGCGTCCTCGGGGATCGTGATCTGACCACATTCAGAACAGCGCGTCCAATCTCGGCCGTTCGTTTTCTTTTGCATGCCGTATTCCGTTTTCAGATTATCGTATAGCTCTATCAGCTCGTTTTGCTTCTCAATATCGGGAATGAGGCATACCAACTCGACGAACACCTGTGAAGAGTTTCCGAAAATAAGCGGCTCCCGAGACTCTCCATCGAGCGAAGGATCGAGATGATCAAATTATACATCTCCCAATTATCCGCAGAACCTCACTTTCGTAAACTCGCAGCTGTCGCCGAATAACTGCAGGCAGCCGTGTACGAATTCCTCGCCGGAGATTAGGCCCTTACGGAAATTCGTCATCAAGAGTCGATATTCGGTCACGTGTTCGGCGTTACCATTCAGCAGAAGCTTGAGCAATCCTGATGGAAATGCGAACATTCAAATCAGAAGTCTCTCATTTATTAGACGGCATCCCGATTTGACTTCAGGCAGCTAGGCTGTACTTGCCCAGGAATTCAGTCGTCCTCTTTGTGAAGTTTGGTGGCTGGATGAAGTCATCGTTTGAGCGATTTTCTTGGCCTTGCTCTCCAGGCTAGCGGGGGAAAGGGGGATTGGAATTCATTATCATATATATCATATAAACTTTATAAAAGGCTAATGCGATTTGGCGACCTTGGTGATCTGTGAAGGAGTGAGCGTACCCTGATTCCTCTATACTTGGACCTCGGTGGCCGGAAGAAATTGCCGGGCTCCGCAGGCTCCGGCTCGGCGGGACCGAGTGACGGGAAATCCTCTTCTCTTGGAAGTTTTTGTCTGGCCTGTGTGGATCAGAATGATGTGTGAATGACTATGGTTTCGTAGGGAGAACGAGGAACTTCGCGGGAAATACGAGACCTATTCATACCTTTTTCTCACTCCGGAGCTGTTGCACCTGTTGCTCGGGTCCTGGGTCCGTGTTTGCCGCCCACGAAGCACTTGGGGACTTGAGATCGAGATCCGATGGAGACGTATGTGTATTCGCGATGTTCAAGCGATTCACACCACTTTCGAGACGACTCCTCGAGACATCGGTCAGCTGAGGGGACAATTTTCCATGAGCAGATGTTTTTCGCGGAAATCCGGAGCGATATATCATCTCCTTCATCGACATGACGAGAAGTTTCACTCACTCCATCGGATGGAAAAAAATTCACAATACCTTCCTACTTCCCCGTGATCTGACTCGGAAGAATAACACGGAAGAGAGGAACTCACTCTGAAAGCTGCTGGAGTTTTCGAATTCGAATGATTGGTCGGGGCGAAACTCTGTTGCTTCTTCGAGGACGAAGAGTTCATACCAACGCTCGTGGAAACGCCCATCGGTGTCTTCGTCCGAATAGCCTTAGCTTGGCGCTCCTTAGCGTGTTTCTTGCCGACCGGAAGAGGTTTCAAAACTTTACCGAAATCCGAATCACCGACCGGCTGCGGGAGGCTCGGGAATGTCTCCGACGTTATTTTAGACTGAAAGGGACGATTTGCTCTGACTATGGACGACCAATGACCGCAACACGACGACGATATAGCATCATCATTCAAGAGTACTGACACATTGGACCGGGGCATGCGGAGCCTTATATTGAGTACCAGACAAGGCTGTGAGGGCCGTCTTCTGAATGGGGCGTCCAGCTTTCGATTTCTCCCTGACGATCGGCTTGAACCACGTATGTGATGTCGATGGGGTGGAGTCCACAGATTCACCTAATGAAGGAAACTCGTCTGCGGAATTCATCGGCGAATTCATTTTCGCAGAGTACCTCGGTGTGGGTATCAAGGGGCGGCTGATCGAAGGGTTTCCAGATAAACTCGGAAAGTCGGCGGTGGACGTCGTGTCCACAGGCTGAACTGACCGGGCTCCGTCCTCTTGATCGGCGATCCGCTCAAGTGAGGGTCGCCGTCCTCTAGAAGGAAAAATCTCCATCAATGAAGACGTCAGGAGTAAGGTTTGGATGCATTCAACGATTGAACGATTCCGTCAGTCAGCTGGTAGATTACCTCCCTCTGCCAGATGTCAAACGGTCTCTGTGATTATCTCTGTTCCCTCGTCGAGCTCCAACGCCGGAATTATCCCCTCTGAACGTGTCTCTTGCAGGTGGAGACATCGCGAAGTCTTCGACCAAACTCCTGCATTCAAGTTATTAGTGAGAGGATCTTAACGGAGAACCCGCTCGAGTTCGAGCGTCCAGAGCTGCTCGACACCAATTCATTGGTGACACGAAAGAGCGAAAAATTGGCCTGGCCTATCGAATACAGAATTAACGCGCATCACGATTCTGTTAAGAAAAAAATATTTCTCCTGAATAGATATTTCTTCACTGACCGCGCGGCTCGCTGTTCATCTCGGCTAAGCGAGTCCGAATGTTTGGTGGCCACGTGCGCCTTATATTCGAGCTTCGTCTCGAAAGCCACAAAACGCTCCGTTGCGCATTCTCCTTGATCGCATACGAAATGATCTCTGCGGAGGGGAATTGAGGAATAAGTGCTTGGCTCGCTCCAACCGGAGAAACGGCTCCATAGTCACAGGGTGACGCTCGGATGTCTTGCTCGTTGGAGCTACCTCAAGAAATGCTGATGCAGGTCTTCGTATGCCGCATAGTATTGTTGCAAGCGACACGCGGCATTATCCCGCTGGCAGATGAAGCACGAAAAATGATCGACTTTCAGATGTTTGTACAGCTCATCTTTATCGAGATAATGGATATCACAGAAGTCACAACGAGGATGGCCCTTATGAGACTTGTCGTTGAGGTCTCCTTCTCGCAGATGTCTGCAGCAGCAAAAGAGCGTACGTATTAAGACACTATATCGTAAACAGGTGGTTTAAAATCGGATGCCTGCACCTCGATTATCGATAGACTCCCTATATCAGACTTCTTACCGTCGCAAGTCGCTCTTGGAGTATGCTTGTCGTTCGAATGTGAAGAGCTTGAGGTGTTCTACACAGAGGTCACAAAAATATCTCTTATGGTCGCGCTGTACGTGATCCCGAAGAGCGTCGAAATTTCCATAACACGCCGGGGGATGACTACGTTCTCCACTGCGTTCAGATATGTTTGCTCGTCGTACACATTCATAGCCTGCAGCGTGAAGAGTAGTAAAAAGAATCCATCTCGTGTTGAGAGATGAGTTGGGGTCGACATGAGACATGAGAGCACTCACACTTGTTGGTCAGGAGTTCGCTGTATTCTGAAGAAATTTCTTCTGTCTCGAACGATATGCCGAATTCCTCCGCCTGGAAGGGTAATGTAAAGTTTCCAATGAAGAAGTTTCTCAGGGCTACGTCTCCGGAGAAGTGGATGATCAGGGTCTTGGCTGCGGGATTACGGCAGGCAAGATCTGACAAACCTTCGAGTGCATTTCCTTATTTCTCAAATCTTCGAAGGTGGAAATTCCAGCCACGAAGAACACTTCATCTATGTCGGCGCGGCAAACCGGGCATTCGTTGGTCTCGCATAGTACACGGAGTCTGACGGGAAAACGTGCTTCAGGAAGGGTTTCCGAACCGAAGCTAGAGTGACCTCCTTACAAGGCAAATTCAGGGGTCCGCGGACTCACCTTGTCGAGCAAATGTGACACACGGGGTGATCACACAAACCGACCGCGAAGACTTTGATTTCGCGGCAGCAAACGAAGCACTCGTTCGCTGACGATTCAAGCGAAGAAGAGTCCTTGCAATCCACTTGATCTCCCGAGAGTCCAGTCGATGCTCCATAATTGTCTGCAAGCCTGTCTTCACGCACGCTACGGGAACGACGATGAAAAGCAGCTCGTCAGCATGATTACTACAATACGTATATAAGCTCGTTCGATGTCAGCGCCCAACGGTTCCAGAAGTCACGTTTCCGACTCACTTGCGGTGAGGTCCTGGAGGTCTCCGGGAGCGCGCGTACCCTCGTCCACGGAACGCTGACATGTTCGTTCCTTATCCTGCAAAGACTCCAGGTGTGACACCGAATACCCGGTATCGATAGTCATGCCACTATCGAATCGACATTGTACGAACGGAATGAAGAGCTGGCGCTCGAAAGATACCCGAACGAATGAAACCGCTTTCCTTTCATGCAGAGCCCCCGGATCGAAGGAGGTCCTGAGGACGAGAGCTTCTGTCGAGCACGCCCGTCTGCTTCGACAGTTCGAACGCGCCCGACGAGAATTCACTTGAACAATCTGACTGGTCTCACCTATTGATCGCCGGCGGAGAATACCGTCGGGTCAGGCCTATGCTCCGATATACCGCTTCCTTATGAGACCTTTCCTTTGCCTTGTCGATGAGTCCCGGCCGTTCAGCTGCACCTTGGTGATTCTCGTGGAATCGCTGTCGACATGCGTGGAGCACAACAATTTCGGTACACGACCAGAACGCGGCACAAGACCTGCTTAGGCTTGGGCTCTTGTGGGCTGTCTCTCGGTTCGCTAGTCAGACTCATTGACACACCATGGTGTTACTGTCATTCCACGCCCTGTTGGAGCTCGGACGAGAAGAACCGGGATTTTGTCAGCGAATAATACTCCTAATCTGTGAGAGGACTGGAAAGGTCGATGATGATCTTTACTGATTGTCTCAAGCGACCGGGCGGTTTCCTCGGCCGATTCCGTCCATCAAAGCAAGCTCTGTATAATGCTAGATGCATAAAATGTAAAATAGCATGACGATACATCGTATGTACGTGTCGAGCTGACGGATTCGGGAACTTCCTCATCGGGTCCGAATCCTACCTTGGGATCGAATATACAGTGTGGTGTCTTAACCCATCGTGGCCGAAAATTCGTTGTGTTGGAGCGATCAGGGGATCGGCATTCGTGGATCCTACTTGAGAGATGTCATGTTGACGTGAAAACGTCTTTAGTATGGCTTAGGTGGTCGGTCGAATGTACTTCGTCTTTCGTGTAACGTTTGTCCAACTTCGGGGCCATCAAACTCCGCTTGTGCGGTTCGCATCGTGTTCTAGTTCGTCAAGACTTGAAGCAAATTTATGGTGGCTTCTTCCGTCCAATTTTTGCGGAATTGTATCGTCGTTCTGGTCATCTTCAACAGTCTCGAAAAGGCCCCTCCGAATATCGTGAAATATTGATAAATAACACATTTGCCCGGCGGTGAATGAATACTCCAGGACTTGCGACAGCTGAGCAGATAGGCCAATTTGTAGCGCACCCGATAGAGTGTACATTCGAAACCAGAACATCTAGGAGGGGGCAAGCTTGACGAATACAACTCGACCCGTTCGCGGATAGCGTACCTAAATTTATCCGCTTCGGCAGATTCTATTCTAATATGGTTTCTAACGACGATGTACCAAATATCAGTTCGAAGGAACGGCACTTCCCACAACTGCGGTGGGCAGCTCATTCCAGAGGAAGCATTATTTTCTTTTCCACATGGTCTCATTCTCAGGATGAGACCTAAACTAGCAAGTCGGAAACGCGAGGCGAGAAGAAACGCGAACCGGACCGGCAAAAAAAGCGAAGACGAGCGCGGAGCGCGTTGCTGAGCATTGAGCACGGACTAGGGGAACGATTCGGCCCATCATTGAAACGCCATGTGGGGCTTCCGTCACGAACAGTTTCTCGCACGAGGATCAGCCAGTAGTTGCGGGAGCGATTTTTGAACGTATTGACCCGGATTTGGCGAGATCTCCCGAGCTGTTCCATGTCCGGCAACGAGCATCCGTATACATCTTCCGTAGCTTCGAAGAGAATGAGTTGGAACAACCGTGCAATGTGTGCGATCGGCTACGGTTTGAGCGGGATTTGAAGGCAGTGACAGCTCGAATGGCTAGTATGCTATCCAACCATTGCCCAGGCGAGGATACGATCATGTTCAGACTCTGCGGCAATTGTTTCAGAGTTCGCCGAACAAACAAAATCCCGGCAATGAGAAGGACGAATGGATATGTGTTCCCCCCTAAGCCATCGAACTTCCCGGACTTAGATCCCATAACCGGAAGACTGATCTCCCCGCGAATACCTTCAATGCAGATCCGTCGCCTACGTCGAGAGGGTTCTTATGGTATCATTGACCACGTGATAAATATGCCCGCGGATGTTGACACTATGGTGCGATCCCTGCCGCGTGGTTTAGATGGCGAATCCGCATTCAATGTCAACTTGAAGAAAAAAATTATTCATAGATCATCATACATCAGCGGATTTCTGAAAAAATCATCAGTGTGGAGATGGCCACAATATTTGGTCGAGCGACCCCTCTACAAGCTTCACAATATCAAGGTGGATTGTGGTGTCTTCAAGGATTCCCTCATCGGAGCTGATTCCATAGCTGATGACGGTATGAACACCTGGATCCTAGCGATGCATTTGAGTCCGAATCGATTAATTTACGGCAACATACTATGATGTAGATTGCAGAGCACTGTCTGAATAATTTTCTCTTTATGTTCGATCATACTCTCTTGAATACCTCCATACACCCTTTAAAAGAGGTTAGGAAGACGTTTTCACGCCTCCATTACGGTAATGTCCATGGCACTACCACTGTGACTTTTTTTTTGTAGGTGCACATTCTTTCCTCGGCCAGGGTGGAGTTCGACCACTCAATTATCAGAATGAGAGAGGGAGATCTCCAATGTAACACTAGTGACGGGAGTCTTCCGCGAATGACGTGACGGAGGAGGCGGCACCTCAGTAGGCGCTCCCGAGGACGGGCTGTTGTTTCGGGATGTTCATGTGAAGGATTTCCGTGCCTCACTGATGGGGATCTATATCGGATGCCTGGTCGGTTTCGAGCCTACCGGTAGGCTTCTCTGCTCGATCCTAGAGCAGCGAGCAATTACTATAATAAATTCATCCTTCGATCGAGAACAGGCCATGTGCGTCGCGCGTTGCTGCGAGCATTCCCGTTTTCCCCTTGTTTTGAGGTCTCTGCTTGGTTCTCAGGCTCTCTGTTTTACGTTTCTCTTTCATTTTCCCGTTTCCCGAGTGAGAGGGGTGCGGCGGTGCGAGGTCGGAGTTTGGGCTCCCTTAGGAGTTCTGGCAATATCTTCCAGGAGTGATTGTAGGAAGACCGGGATCCGGCTGATGACTCCAAACGATGACCATGATCTACGATTCGTGATTTACACGTCGATTCGTCTGTTGCAGCCAAGTCATAATCCTTAAGATGAGTCTACCACTGCTCATAGTCGGAAAAGTGAAGCTCAATCCTAGCCGTATTCTTTCGCCGCGCTTGCTCCGCGAGTCTTCATCAGTCGGGCTTCAGCTTCTCATCCTCTCCAAGAGTGTTGTCTGTGTAGCCCCTCCAAGCATACCTATACTCAACCATTCCCGAGCGAGCCGATCATCGAAGGGACCCGGAGGTGTGAGACGGTTGATTCAGCCCGAATCGGGCCCTTCGGAGGCACTCCCTTGAGCTTTGACCCTCCTCAAGTTTTCGCATACGTTCGAACAATCGACAGGATTCCCCGCGAGGAGCGCTTCTGAGACAAGCTACTTTACAGACGCGGCTCCCCCGCGTGGTCTAGCTCGGAACATTGGCGTTCATAAAGGGACGTTCGGGGGACTTGACTCAATTCCTGCGAGAACTATGCGTTCTCACAGATCCGTCGTTCCTTTTCCGTTTGTGGATGGCCTATCCTTCAGACTTCACTATGTACAAGGATAGCGCGATCGAGCCGTTATGAGAGCCCTTCGAATTCGAGATCTGCTCCTAATGATATCCTCGAGCCCAAGCATTGCAGGGAGGGGAAGGGGAGCGGGGACGTGGGGAGGAAGCCGCCATGCCGCGCTGCCTCCCATGCACCTTGTCGATATACCAACTCTCGGAAAACATCACAAGTGAGCTGTGCATTTCTGCGTTTCCTGGCCCCGTTCTCTGATGCTGAGGTCTGGATGGAATGCGTCGAGAACTCTCATCGAGGTTTTTTTTGGCTCCTGTACATGAGTACCGAGAGGCTCCACCTCCGAGTCATCGAGCTTGCTGAGACAAGACACCGCGGATGTTTCATCTGCGGTGAGCACCACGGTGACAAGGGGGAGGATGTCCGCAGGTCATAAAGAGTTCCCTACAGCCACTTTGATCAGTGGTGATCGTTGATCGTCGTAGGCTCTCAGCGTTTAGAGCGCGTAGGGACATCCAGTGTCTATGGATCCGTTCTTCGGAGGCAAATTGTGGAATTCTCTCCGCTGCCCGCGAGATCGGCTCACAGATGAGACGCAGCGCAAGACATGCGATCGTTACGTACATTCTGCTTGGAATCTTCTGCCAGCTCGCTGTGAGCTGCGATATCTCCAGAGGCATTCTCATCAGTGTAATAAAGTTCCTTTTTCATGCCAATTCGGGGTGATCACCGGGCTTCGCACCTTGCATGAAGCACGAGCATGAGAGACACTCGCAACTCACTACACGATCCAACGGCAAGAAAAAATACTACTCGGATCCATGTTAGGTGCGCCTCAACGGGGTCCAGCTTCTTCCCTGTAATTCTCATTTCCTATCCGTTGAGCGAAGCTCCCAAGCGGATATCTTCGCGGGCTTGGAAGGTTTCGATGGATCGAATAAAGCTATTGACTAATTCGCGGAATTGCGTACAGCATTCGTTTATTCGAGACGACATTGCGGAGAACGATTCGACGGAGCTGTTCTATCGAAATACCCTACGGCTCCTCGTGACACATGGATCAAGCAACGATTCCTCGACTTGGCGACTTTGCTCTGCTCGATGCGATAAATCTTCTGAGTGGAGCATGGCGAAATATATACGTAGACGGCTCAAACATAGGAAGCTTGAGAATGGCGCAACGAGCGCCGACATGATCGACTTGTAACTTGAGTCGTAGGACGTAGGACTCTCGCACCCCTGCCCTCTGCGACACAGGAATCTGGTGCGAAGGCTAGCTTCTCTCCTTTCATCAAGGCTCGCTTGAATAATACTGAGACTGAGGCTGTAGGGGAGTACCCGCGGACGGGGTATGCGTCCGTTTGCGAATAATTGACACGAGAGCTGCGCATGATAAAGCATCAGGATCCGGAACACTGAAGCAGCCGACCCGAAAGATGTACTACTCGAGTCTTGAAATAACAACAGCGATCATGACCATAGAATAAACGAGGTAAAAGCGTCCTCGCTGCCCCGTCGAGTGGAACGCGCTTGACTCGAGCAGCTGACTTTTCAATCGATTTGGATAGTTTTCATGAATCCTTTGGTGAAAATGAAATCCTGCATCGCTAAATAGAGTGCGGAAATCTGGCTCTGAAGCTTATCGATGGCCTTGCACACCTGTGAAGGTCATTCGACTTGAGAAGGATAGCGGTGTCGTTGAAATATGACCGATGGACAGCCCTCACTTAATGTATCTCCCTCCGGAGATCTATGGAAGAGACATGCGAACCCACCTCTTGGGGTGACGTCAAAATAATGACCGAGTTTATGTAAGGGTCGTACAGGATGCTGAAAGGCCGCCTTATATTCTTCTGGACGTAATCTCTGTGAGATTTGAAATCGAATTAGAAGCTCCACCAGGAGGACGATCGCCTGGATGTACTTATCGTTGAGCTTCCACGAAGTATTTAGCATCGACATCGGACCCGTTCGTCTTCAAGACCCACCTGAACTTCGCTTGTACATCAAGAAAGCTTTCGGCCAGAAAATACGTTGGTTGATAATCCTGATCTTGATATTTCTGAACAGCGGTGGTTTCAGGGTCGAATGGGAGGACCGAAGGTTTCGATGATAGAGCATGTTGAATTTCTCCGATCGATGAGAGTAAGCCAGCGCCATACGCTCGGATATTGCTGCCCTCTTTGCAGAGGCCGAATTCCACAGTGAACCAATAAAGCTGGAAAAGAGGGGAGAAATGGTTCGAAATCATCTGCTGGCTAAGTCCGAGGCTACGACTTATGAAGAGAACGAAATACAGGATACCGGTTGAGCATCGCTCACCGTCGCTAATTTCTCGATGTCCTCGTCGCTGACACCTAGCGAGGCAAGTCCTATGTCCTGCGAGAACTCGGCGAATTGTGGATTCGCGAACATAGGGATGTGACCTATCAGCTCGTGTATGCAGTCTGGTTCAGGAGAATGATCCGGGTTCGACGGATGGCGCACATACTGAGTACACTGCGAAAGAATTATAATTCTGCAGAGAGCATCGCCAGGTTTACATACATACATACATACATACATACATACATACATACATACATACATACATACATACATACATACATACATACATACATACATACATACATACATACATACATACATACATACATACATACATACATACATACATACATACATACATACATACATACATACATACATACATACATACATACTTGGAATACGCGGAACGCCAAGGAGGCCAAGAAATCCCTCGCAGTCAGGAGTCCCGAAGCCGGTCGGAGACGGAACCCGCTTTTCCCTTGAGAACGAGGAGGATAAGACGACCTCAATACCCGGGAATAAGAGATTGGGATGGATTTGCTTATGGAGACATTGATGCTCACTCTTCAGAAAGTCCGACACGGCCTGAAGTTGCGGGATAGCATGAGGACCATAGCCGACTTCTTGCTCGAGAATCTCTAGTCCTCGATTGAACTCGGCGCATGAATGTGTCGGAGCGAGCCGCTTGACTTCGGTGTATACGATTCCCCTACGAAATATTTTCCTCCCTGTGATTGTCCACCTGAGACTCACTCAGAGGCAAGCACTGCAAAGCGCCTCATTTGATTCGCTCGAGGCTCACATATGTTGTCTGGTCATAGAGAAATCGCTCATTTGAATCAGCGAGCGATCGATAATATTGAGGATGCATCTCATCAGCGAACTTACCATGTTTTCACCTCGTCGGGGGTATAGTCTGCGTCTGGTATGAGCTGGCCTCTGAAGAAAGAAATCCAGCACTCGATTTGGCTTAGTCACAATCAATTCCCATCCGGAAACTTCTGGATATAGGGGGGCAAGAGCATATCACTCCGTGCTTCAACACAGCCGACTTACTCTTTGTAGTCAAAAGCAACTTCCGCAATTTTTTTCCTCCGGGCTCTGTATGCGATGTCATTGAAACCCTGCAAAGAGTTTCTCGGATAAGGACCCAATAGCAGGATATTCCGAGCATTCTCAAGATCATCCATATAATTGCTGTGTTTCGAGCAGATACCGGGTGATCGGAGTCTAGATCCGGCTCGAATTTGGTGAGCACATGCGTGCAAAAGTCGAGATCCGTGATATGGGATGGGAACCAAATATCTGTAAAGCGGATTCTCAGAGTAAACTTTCGTGGAGAAGAGACATGCGCCACACTAGCGAGCTAGATCCGCGCCGAATCGATGTTTTCCCGGTGCTACGCTGGGGAGCATGAAGAGGGCCGCCGCGCCCATCAGAACGAATGCAGTGTAGCGCGGGAAGCTGTGGAGCAGTTCTATATCCAGTAGCGTATCGAACTCGGGTCTGGAGGGGCTCTAGTTCCACAGGACTTCTGTTCCTAATGCCGAAGTATAGGTGCGGGTCGCCTCTTTGGAATCTCAGCAGAGATTCCCTCTGAAAAATCCTTGATAATGCTCATATCTTGCATATCCAAGGAGTGATAATGAGATATATGTCGGTCCACGCGCCTGTGCGTCTAGCTGTCTATTGTCTCTCTCCGCGCCATACCTACAATACCGAAACATTGCGAGACTTGCGCAGCTCCTATTATGTACGCCCGGGGAGCCTAGCAAGACGCCTCCACTCGCATGAATTCCGACCCGTGGCCTCAGCACACGTCGCTCATTACTATATGGTGATCGTTATTATTATAATTATTATATTATAATGCTCATTTCACGATTAGTATCATCGTTCTACGACCGGGTATAGCAAGATCCGGTGTCCTCCGTCGGAGAACTCGGCCTGTTCGGCTGGGAATTGAAATCCCCCGAGTCGCATACGCCACCCGAGCACATTGTTCGCTTCATCAATCGTTGATAGGCCGGTCGGAGGAGTCAGACCATGCAATGACGTGAAGAGAACCCGGGAGCGAATTTCGTACCTCCTAATGCATCGTTTAGGTCAACCGGATATCATCCCTGAATCAAAGAATGAAAGAAAAAAAACGGAGATATCATATCGAGGGGAAATGTATGGCAGGCTGAGCTCACTCGCGACATCGAGCCGATCGGGAGGACTCAGGTCGGCAAATGTTCGTCCCCGTCTTGGCTGTCGCTCATGGATTGAGGGAACGAGAGCCCAGCTCAATTGGCTGCAATATGTTCCCTCAGGACGATGCTGACGCGATCGCTTCAAAGTACTTGTGAATCCCCCTGTTAACAGTCTTGCTTCTCTTCTGATGCTTTGTGATGTTGCTCAGGGAAACATAACGTCATGGCATCGAGCTGGCTCAGAGCACACGACTTGTAATCAAGGACGCGGCGGCTTAACTGTCTTCGAAGCCTACATACCACCTGCACCAGCCGCTGAGATCTCTTTGACAATCCGTAGGTCGCCAAGACCCTCGAGCGTCAAACTTTTCGTGAACTCCAGCAAATCCAGCCGCTGCATTTCGAGAGTGAGAAAGGCCTCATAATGGACGCAGCCGGCTTGCGGCTGCCTTGTCTCCAAATGAGCCACATGGCCACGATGGGTCTGAAAGAGGAGTGTCACGGTGAAGAAAATTCGCGATGTCTGATATTAAGTGGCGCATGTGACTCCGGGCTTCTCACCTCAACCAGATTGAGAACCTGTCCCAAACCTTCAACGCCTTTCTTCAGGGTGACAACCACGTGGGTCGACGGGCGAGCGTCGGTCTTCGCTGAAATTTCAACAACGATGCTCCAGAGAACTCCTCTGGAATCTATCCTAAAGTATTGGCTCAAGTTTCGTGTCTCGCATAGAATAATAATTAGTAAGAAGTACTTACGCAAGTCGCCGCTGAAAACTTCGTTGATCAGTTCCAGACCAGCGGGGACTTCGATCGATTCGTTGAGCACCATGGAGAGCTCTCGCTTCTTCTGCGTCTCGAACTTCGCATCGTCCACGAGTGAGCGACGACGAGAAGGATATCCTTGCTGGAATTGAGTGATGTCAACCAGGTCTCTGAGAAGGGAGTGGCTCCGAGGGGGTTCTCATGATCCATTTTCTCATAGGGCATATACTCGGACTTCTCCTCTGCTTGTGGATGAAGCACCACAACGAAAAGTGATCGCCCTCTCAACGGATATTCGGAAAGAAGGCTCCGCCATGGAAGGCCGCTGAGAACGTGGACTAGATTAGCATACTTCCTGTTTGACGGAGATTTCAGCGGGCATCCGGGCCCGCTTGGATATCTGACCCACCCTCCCGTTGAGGCCATTTTGTTCGAAAACACGTCGCTGTCTTGCCATGAGAAGGGCAATCAAACATATGGCTTTCTATTCTCATGAGCGCGAACAATATTGGTTGGTATTTCTTCGCTCTCCAGGATTGAGACGAGTTACGTCGGGGTGCAGATAACAAACAGCTTCCCCAGCAGGTATTGGCGTAGCCCGTGGTAGGTAGGGGGGAGGGGAGCGGGAAGGCCGAGCGAGATTTCCCGGTCCTTATCCCTTGCTCCTACTCTGATTCTAGTTGGTCTCTCCGAGGAAAATCCTTCTCATGCTCGTGCTAGCATTATCACGCGGTGGTGGGACGAAAAGCGCGAGCTGAGAAGAGGAGGTAATTCTACGAGGCGCTGCCTCATAATCCCCGGCGTTGGCCGAACAATGACTCTACCTTAATAACGTTATTGTTAGGCGAAAAGTCCGCCATCGACCCTTCTTAACGAAGTCGCGCAAAAGCTCCGAGGATCGGGATGCCCACGGTCGGAGGAGGGGAAGTCACACAATCCGACGCAGACGACGATGAATATATCACATTATTTAAGCTCTCATGCGACACGGGTTGGGTGAACGAATTTATGGGTGAGAAAAAGAGCATATCCGCCTTCTCCTAAGGCCCATGAACGAGTTATCCTCGTCGAATCCTAGTCGTTCGGAGCTGCGGCCAACAAATGGATCATTGTCCGGAGGAGTTAACGGTGAGCTGGGCAGTCCGCGAACTTGAGAATCGTCTGAATCTGTCGGAGCCGCACTGAGGTTGAGCACATCACGCATACGCTCAGCGGAAAACCCCTAAACAGGGTCAGACGGGCGGCGATTTCTTCGCGCGATCAGCAAACTCCTCGGGAGACTGTCAATATCGAGTTCAGCGGTCACATGAAGATGCCCATCTAGATGTGCCGAGTCATAGGGGACGATTGCTATAATTTGGAATAGCCTTATCCGCGGGAACCCAAAGACCCTTCCCTATACTCGTTCGAGATTCCAAATCCGCAATGCTCCATGGATGCGCTGGAGCATGAAATCTCTCATCGACCAAAAATATTTCTCATGCATAGCTTGTTGACTCACGATGTCCCGGGTCGGCCTTGAACGCTGCGAGGAAATGCGCCGCTAATACTCTTAAGGGATGGAAAGTTCCGTCAAGCTCCCGCGTCCGGTCGGAAACGGATGTCGACTGCAAGCACGCCGAGCCCCTCATAATTATTGGTAAGTTCTGCGATGTCTTCCCAGTCGGTCTCCAGCCCAGGGGAGAGTTCGCATCGGCCAAAACTAATGATGGATTGTCTCACAGCACACCGCCTCGAGGAGCCACAGACATTGGAGATTTCATCGCGAATCCCGCGGGAGTGAACATGAACTTCAGATATACCATGGATGGCTGACTAGGACTCATTACCGCGGTATTCAGATCATTTCTTCACCTTGCCCTTGTCAGGAAAGATGCGTGATGGGAGCTATTTTCCGGACTCTGTCATCATTCAGCTGAGTTCCATCAGCTCGTTTAAACGTGAACTCGCGGAGGATTCTACAGTCGGACCCGCTGATAAGATTATCGTGTACTTCATATCGAGGGGAAGCTCGAATCAGATACTTACTTGACCTCGTTTCAGACACCGTTCCCTCTGTATTCGGGTCCTACCTAAGAAAACCGGCAGTTCGAGAGAACCGAATACGGGAGAACGAGTCCGACTGCGATTCGCCGCGTCAAGCCTGATTCCACCTCGAGATCAAGTCTGGGAGGTCACATCTGCGGTGGGGTTTCGCCATCAGGTACTTCGGTTCCGTGGATCAGTCTGTCGTCGTTTCTCCGCGGCAGATCGGCTCCAAGACCTTCGCTGGAGCGAATACCCTCGGAGTGCAAATTCTATCCGAAAATTGCCACAGAGGTCCAGAGAATGCAAATTCATCCACGAAAAAGCCTTTCCACTCAAGCTAGCGGAGCATACCCTCGATTCCCACAAACGACATTTGATCGCTCCGGCACCTGATTTCCCAAGTCCGATGAGGAAAACTCTCGACCCCTGCGCGTTATATGTTTGGGCCTGAGAACGCTGGTAGCTCACCAAGCATTGCCCGATTATTATTTTCCGCCCTGGTTCGATTCTCAATCTACAAGTGATCTCCCGAGACTTCGCGGGTTGAGGGTTCCCTCGTGAATTCAGTTGATGACTCAAGCTTCAATGGTAGGGGTGATTGTGTGATGGATGGTGCTGCGATGTAATCAGAAGATGAACTTGAATCACACGGGGGTGCGAAAGGGAGACTGCGGATCTACGGGGCTCACCAGAGTTGCGTAAACCCCTTTCTGAATGACCGGCAGCCATAGCATTATTCCTTATGCGTTCCCACATCGAGTCCCGGAGTCGGCTAGAGTAGATCATTACAAAGAGGCGGAATTCTCGAGACGTCTGTTTCCGAACTGACATTTACAGGCTCCGAGGGCAATGGTTTCTGGCCATGCACTAGCATCTTTCTTGGTCGTCCGAGCTACCCTTGATGGAAACAACTCTGACGAGAGAGCCCGAAAGGACGGCGGTAAGGTACCAAACTCTTATTCAGCGCCCTCCTTTTGACTCGAGGGAGAAGATCCCCCGGAGTGCATGCGAGGTGTTCTGCGAGGCCTTGTTTGCCCTAGTCTCTGCAACGCTAATCCGATTGCTTTTCTGTTGCCATCTGTACTGTTTGCGAGGGACCTGTTTGAGGGAATTCTATTATACGCAGCACCTCGATAAGATTGAACGGAGGAGAGCCCGGAGTCTGATGGTCAGGCGGAGAAAGAATGAAACGTGAGCCTCGTCTTTCTCACCGAGACGACTCATCAATGCTGCGCGCGAGTTTTGATTCTGAGATTTGATCTGAAGCAATCGAGCTGTGTACCAAACGCAACGGAAGATCCGAAATCAAGCGGAAGGAAGCCGACGATTCGTATCCCGGGCTTGCTAGTCCTCTCATGACCCGTGTCCAATGCGCGGCGTGCATGAGATCTGGGAACAGCTCAGAGGGGCGATGGGTTTCCCGAAATTCGGAAGCGCATCAGTCAGCAGGATATCTGGAAACACTCAGCCCATCGACAGGAACAATCGCGCTCCCGACGTATGTACGTGTGTAGATGGGACGGTGTTTAGCTACTTAATGCGAGTCCTCACCACGCATGTTTCCTCTTCACCCTAGTAATTGCGACTCGTGAGTTGCTCCAGATAAGTCAACTAAGTTCTCGGACAAACGTTTGGGGGTGATTGGTAAATGATCCGAATAAAACGCGGGTGAAGCAGACGTCTATCTATCTGCCCAAGGGAATGAGGCTCAGAGAGCTCTAATTGATGTGGGAACGGCGCCAAGAACAGGTCCTGCCGGCCTGCAGTTCGATACTCACGAAGAGAGTGCTTCTGACAGGTACAAAACAGGCCTCCTTATTGGACAGAGCAACGACATTCTGGAGTACAGTCTCGGCCTCCGGAGCTCAAACTTCAATCGAGGAGTCAAGCTTCCCCAAACATAGTCATTGTTAGACTCTTGTGCAACCCCATTGGGTGATCGGGCTTCTTTCGCCGATCTCAGATCTATGGTCCTTGAGGTCTCTCGCACGCCAGAGACTAATGAACTCTGATACCCGATCTCGGGGCTCGCGAGAGCCGCCCAAGGATCAAGCTTATCCCTCGATCAGGTCCTGTTCTCATCTAATCCGTTCTGATTTCTCTATTTATTTCGACCTCTGACCTTCATAAGTCACCAGGGAATTCTGGTGTTTTCGGTGAGACGCTAAGATTCCTAACTAATCTCTCAACGTAATTGTTTTCCTCGATTATACCTCATCTTGCACAGAGGAACGAGAACGATTCCCCTCAGGAGTGTTGTTCCCAGATTCTTCCGAACCTCGGTCTCATCCCAGGTGTCGAAAAGTGCCAATAGTTCCACGATCCCGGTCATCCGTCCTCGGAGGGAAACTGACTGCATTCCATATAATTTCCGTTCGACGAATCATTGTCGCGATATCGACCACCTTACAGGACTACTCAACCTATATATCCTGTGCACTATGGTAATTTAGGAGTCGTGACGATTTCTACGAACTTCGTTGGGGAGAGGGCGCGAACTACTAAGTTCTTTCTACCCCAAAACCTCCATCCGAAGCGGCAGATTGCGGGTGTCTTGAAGTTGCCATCGCCCAAAATCGCTTCTGTTCAGAGACTCCATTCATAGAAGACTAGAGTGAGTCAGATACGCGAAAATAGACACAAGCGGTAAGTAAAACGGAAAATCACACTTACGTCCACCGAGTAACTCTTGATTGCGAAACGGGCTCTGCTCAAAGCGCTGTTCATCGCGGCTCCTTCGAGTGAGTTCCCGAAGAAAGAAGATGATTTTTGAGAACTTCGGCTGACTGCAGGCCAAGCAAGTCGCTCAGTTTTCTTGTCCGAGTGCTCGCAAGAAGGCAGAAAGCAAGAGGGTATACCGAGGTCGCAACTGAGGGGTTAGTGGCGAGCGGGTAAAGTTTTCGCTCGAGTCTTAGGTCCACTCGCGCAGCCGGCTAAGCCCCGCCTCCGCCTTCCCCGCCCCTCGGAGGAAGCTACGCACTACTGAGCATCGGGTATAAATGGAGCTAGTGCCATTCAGGTTGGCGGCCGGCAGGCCGGATGGTTCGTTGGCTAGCTAGCTCCTGCCAATATCCCGACACTTCCCTCACTTCCTCACTTCCTTCCTATATCCCTCATCCACTAAGTGGGCTCCACAGGTTGTCCGCAATGCGACCTGTAGGTAGCTGTTAGGTCGGAAAATGTCATTGGAAAACTCTTCCCGAATATCCGACGGGGAGTTGCTGAAGCACAGTTGGATGCGGTTCCTCGACTCTCGGGAAACACTCTGGTGGCCCGATGCTCGACACCCGGCTCATCGAGTCCATTCAAGGGTCATCGACAAGCCACGACCTACGACCATTATCGACTTGGCTCAAGGGAAGCGGCGAGTCGGTGAGACATCCATTATGTATCTAAATAATCGCCATCGCACTGACAATATACTCATGGCTGACATGATAGCCCAGAGGCAGAGCTCAGTTTGGCGCTCACCATCCTCGAAGGCTCGGATTTGCCGTACAAGATGCCGTTGAGCATAGCCCTCGTTGGAGTCTCTGTGAGCGTCTTAATCCTGATGAGTGGTTATATGTCTTCGTACTTTCCTCTTGCATCTATCCGCCCCGAAACATGTCAAGAAATGAATGATTGAACAAACTCCCCGAAGTTACGAGCATCCGAAGACTGAACAAACCCTATAGGTGCTCAGATTGTGCGTGGAAGTGCGCTTCCGATCCATCCGTCGCGGGTATGTCGAACTTGAGGAATCGGGGAAAGTTTCGGAGACATGAGCGACCCTGTACGCTGAGAGAATTCGGCATCCTGCGAGAGAGCCAGAATCGAGAGCGGTCGCTTTGCGGAACCAAAAATCATCATCTATTTCATCGGTAATCTGGCTCGGGCCATCAACATTCACAGCGCTTCCTGGCGATGGTCCAGAGAGAGTCTGTGGGGGCCGAAAAACTCTATGAACCTTTTGGAGAAGTGCCGTGCCATTGTCCTGGCCTCAGGTATCGCTTATGGTAGGCTCTCTAGTCAAGGAGAGCTTACGAGTTACGAGCGATTCGACACCAGAGGGTCACGGACGAGGTCGAATCAAGAATTGGAGCCCATCAACATAGAGCGGAGGATTCCCCGAGAAGTCGAATGATGACAAACGATGCTGCGGGAGGCTGAGCTTCCTCGCGCCTCGTCATCGAGCACTTCCGTATCGACAGCTCTCGATTCGGTCTTCACTCTGATCAATTCTTTAATCGAGAGGATCCCCCTATGAGGTCAAATCGCAATGTCTGCGCGTAAAGGGACCAATTTTTTACGCTTCTCTCCTCCGAACAGACTCCAAACTTCGTTCAATCGATGCCAAATCACCCCCGTGAGGTCAAGATGTAGTTCTCCAGCTGCTCAGACGCATGCTCTCCGCAAGATTTACTCGTTCCTCCACTTATCGTGATTTTCCAGCCAATACGTACCCACTGAGACGTCTCCACGGCGCGAAGCGCCCCTCCGGCTCCTGGCTAGTATCAAATGGACGCAATCACACCCAATTTATCCGAACGCAGCGATTGGACTCCATGAACAGCGGAATACCTGCATATATTCCGCTTGTCTCCTCAATTCATGCTCAATCAATTGTGGGTCTCGAAGGCGGCCCGGCTGAAACCTGCTCGGCAACGCCGTTTGCTTGCCAGTCCATCGAGATCCTTTGCAGCGAGATCGCCCCATGAACTTGGAAATGGTTTCACCATCGCTCCTCCTTATGCCTCCGAGCTCGTATGGGAATCATACCGAGAAGACTTTCCGTCAGACTTGTGATAATACTCATCCGATCATTCCTTCCTTCGATGAAGGAATCGTCCATGAAAAAAGCGAAACAGTGAAACCTGACGCCGAAACGGTTATGTATCAGATGCCTGGTCTCGGAAGGCTTTCCGGCTTCAAGCCACACCAGGTCGCCTCCCGATGCCACAATTTGTTGGTTTTCACCTAACCGGAAGCCTAAGTGGTCGGGCATCCGCGGGTCGGGCAAGTGAGACAGTACCTTCAAATACCTTTGTATGATTGGACCATACTCTCGTGCACACTCTGCCTGACTCTCTCCTCTTGGAGAGAAGGGCCTTCTACGAGCGCATCGACTCAGTACCCTCCGATCTTGTAGCTGTTTCCGACTACCCACTCAAGCAGTCCGTTTGAGCTGGAAGACTCCTCCCTACGCCCCCTCTCACGGTCTTACTGTTCAGGTTGTAGGGTGCCATGGTGTTCTCCAAAGCCCCTTGTCTGCGAATTAAATCGTGCTCGGCGGGGACTTCCCTCGCTAGACCCGCTACCGGTAGTGCATGCGTCTCGTCCCCGTGGATCCGCTGGAACCGACCGAGTCTCAAAGGACAACCGCTCAAGGGATCTCCCCAGGACGATCCCCATGAGTCCTCCCGATTCAACCGTCTTCCACAATGGAATAGATACGCGGGACGAGCCCCCGGGCCAACGCGAGAAAGTCCATGCCCCTTGATGAAATATCCAAATAGTGATTTCTCATCTTTGGAGCAACTGCTCACCGCAAATCTCTATCAACCCGTTCTCTCGTTTTCCCGTCCCTTCTCTTCATCCGGTATGTAGGTATATGCGATAAATCTGAAATGCACCCCCGCTGCCGGCCATCACAAGGGTCATCGAGATATATCAAGACACTACCGCGAGTCGACATCGAGGAGCCGGAGACGTTCCCAGGAGTCCGCGGGCCATTGTTTTGAATTTCCACAGTGCTAGCGATCCGATCAGCCATTGAGGAACTCAGGTACTTCCTGGCTCATCAATTCCCTCGATCCGACGGTTATCGCTAAATGGCGCGGCGCTGACAGTGACTCGCAACTCTGATTTACTGCTCCGCTAATACAAATTACGGGCTGTAGAGGTAGCGAGCGGGAGCCATGGATCCGGGAATCAATATAGAATTCCCGTACGCATTCGCCTCTCCATGAATACATATATTTCATTGAATCACTATTATAATCTGGATGTACTTGTGATTACTTTGGCGAAGACTAGGAGGCGAAGGCTTATGGCGGCTCTGCCCAGCTACGTAGAATTCCACGCACGATCGGAGACGCTCCAGAAGCGGGTCGCCTCGGATAGACTGAGGTGCTCCGATCGGAAGTTCTGATTGAAGTGCGTCATTTCCATCGATCGAAGCGCAGATCCTGGCCTGAGCCGGGCACGCACTCCAGTCGAGGTGAGGATCTCTCCCGCGATGGGGTTTCACGTGGATCTCCGAGGAATGACGCCTTCAGGTGGAGCTTCTATAGTCTATAGAATAGAGCAGGGATGTCAAATCGCGGGCCAACGGGCCGAACTGGCCCGCCGAGTTCTCTTTCTTGGCCCGCGAAGCGCCCCGGTCCTTATATCGACGTCTAACATACGCTCCGATTCTTGATATCTTGATCTCGTGAGAGCAGAGAGGATCCGGAGCTTGTCATCGTGAGAAATGAGGAGTATTGGGTACTCCCGCGTCTAGAAGTCTTCGGATGGACTTCACATAGGGCCTGTGTCGATGTTCTGGAATTGAGACGGAAAGTCCGGCATGGCCCACGGACCCGGACAGCGACCCATATCGGCCCGCCGGGGGTTTGAGTTTGACATCCCTGGAATAGAGGAACATGCTCCCCTACGAAGAGGGGTGCAGGCAAAGATCACGAGCAGCATCAGCTTCTCCTTGTTGTCTGCTACCGAACACATCACAATCTCCCGTTCAACATCGGTCAGCTGGCAATTCGAGGAGACGGACCCGAATCAGTAACTCGGCTATGAACTCGGTGAATTCAACTTCTCAGAACTCCCCCGAAACAATCGTTTTCGACCTCCTCTATTCACAGCTGCCCCGATACTTTTCCGAATCGATGCAGCTAGACTTGGTTAGTCGCAAAATCTCAGCGGCCCATCATCATATGACTTTGACAGAACTCAGCATTCAGCTTGTACTCCGATCGGAAAATCCTATTCCGACGGGGAGCTGGGGGTTCTGGTCGCTCTAATGATCCTCCCTTTCAGAATGCCAAAGTCTCGAAATTGGAGCAGATCGGGTTCGAAACCGGTTACCGACTAGTCGAGCGTCTAACCAGGGACACTCCTCGATTCAAGAGTGATCTTGATGTCGTGAAATTCATCTGTAAGGAGTTTTGGTCAGTGTTATTCAAAAAGCAGGTGAGGAATGTCTATCTCTATTGATTGTTCTCCGGGATGATATCTTCGCCTATTCCCGAACCGTATCGAGCGGGGAATCGTAAACAGAGCAAAGTGATGGAGGAAATTCTGACCGAAACGATTCTTCCCCCCAAGGTCGATAATCTACGAACCAATCACCAGGGTGTCTACGTCCTTCAGGATTCCAAGTTCAGATTCCTCTCGAGCATGTCTGCCTCGTCGCAGTACATGGCTTCAACACCTTGCGTGAGTAGAAACCCGGCCGAATCAGAGCGGAGCCAGTTTGGATAACCGTGAGGAATATTCAACCGAACTCGAGGTGTTCCTCTGCGGAGTCGAGAGCCTAATGAATGGAACTAATTTTCAGTATCTGGCTTTCCCCTGCGGACTGATCCGAGGCGCGCTGTCAAATCTAGGTATCACATCAGTTGTCACGGCCGAAGTCACAGATCTTCCGAGCTGCAAATTCCAGATTCAAGCACAAGCAGCCTAGCATTCCCTGTAACTGCTCGACTGACTCGACAATATTCTGTAGATATCCAATCAGGGGGGTTTATAAAAAATCATGTATAGTTTCTGAAGGCTTCAGGTCCACACATCGAGTTTTATTTTATTCTCTTCAAGCAGTTCGGCGACTGTTTTGGGAGCGTCCCCCGCACCGAAAACAGTTTCCAGTACCCGCAAGGTCTGAGCTGCCATGGTGTTGTAGTCTCCGCAAATCAGAATGGATCCGTCGCAAGAATTCACCAATCGTCGGAGATCCGCTGAGTAGGCCGGGATCGCCGTCTGTATATAACCTTGCTTTGGAAGTACTCTGGACTCGCGAACGATAACTCGGAATCCTAATTCTCGCGCTTTCTCGATGCTGAGTAAACTATCCTTGCTTATGTCGCGACAGCCGTAGAATAGCCACTTTTCGCAGTCTTGTACGGCCGAACCGGATTTCTCCAACCAATCCAAATAGGCCTCTAGAGGTGCCACACCCGTTCCATGACAAATGTAGATGAGAGGTCGAGGCTCCTCACCAGGGAATGAGAAATTCCGGACGTTGCTCCGGAGGTAGCATTTCACCGACTCCGAAGGAGATGTGATCGAGTCAGCGTTGTCGCTGACAGAAGCTCTCTGCATAATATCCTCTATCCTGTCGATTTTCTCGAAATAGGTCGAGCATTGTCCCGTAAGCACTTTCCCACATGATCGGAAGGTCATCGGTCGATAGATGATTCGAATCCTACGGGAGTCGAAGTTTGCCACTGAGAAGAAGCGGGGTCCTAGTCGCGACAAATTCTCGATAAGTACGCTCAAACTTGGTTTGCACGATGGGAAAGCTTCCAGGATATCGAAAATCATCATCCTGTCTTCGAGAACATTTTTCGTGTAAAGTTCGGTACGAACACTCATCTCATAGAGTTTCCTTCTATCCTCCGACTTTTCGGGACAACAATCCCCCAGTATCTTGAGGAAGATCTTCTTCAACACCGTCCTCAGGTCTAGCACAGAAGTTAGAAGATGTTTGACCGTACACGTGGCGGGAATGTATCGGAATTGACGATTGAAACGTTTCTCCGCCGCTTCGTTGTCCTCGGCGCTGACACGCAGGACTGCATTGCCCTCTAGTCCAAGCAGGGAGATGGTTCTCTCGACCTCATCTTCATCATTAGGACAGATAAAACCGATCGCTCGCCCTGGCGCAATGAATTCACCCTCGGCGCCTCCTTCACGCTGGAAAACTATTTCGTACGCTGGCACACTGGAATCACCTGTATGGAGTCGTTTTCGGGATTTGAAAGTCAAATCGAACAACTCCCCGTCTTGAAAGGGCATCGGGGCACCGTTCTGAGGGTGGGTCGATTCGAGTCCAGCAGTCTCCCTATCAGCGTCCTGATTCTCGACATCGACCCTCACACAAGGGGGCAAGCACCTTGGCAGGGCTCCATTCATCTGAAAATGATAAAAATTCTTGTAGAGTTCTGTTGGAAGTTCCATCGGGGAGCTGGGGTCGATTCGGAAAAAAGAGACATCCATTCTCCCAAAGTTGACTCTGTTTTATTTGGTGACGCTGCCGACTGTCCCTGTCCTTACATGCAGGGTTTACATCCGCGGGTGGTTACGAAGCTCACATGTTCAATTCGTTTCATTCCTCTCCCCTTGCTGTACACGAAAAAAATCGAGATCCCTGCCGAGAAACGATCAACGCGCGAGGAACTTCTCATTATGATTTGTGCGGGGCTGTTCGAGAAGTCAAAATCGGACGCTTAAACGTCTAAACATCACGTTATAGATCACTCGGTCTCCAACGATGGTTTTAGAAATATTGGAAGATTAGTGCGAAACTAGAAAATCCGGGAAATCAAAAGAATCGGTTCTAACAGTTGGACGAATTGCGTGGGATCAATCTTGTCTTTGGCTCGCAGACGTCGAGAACCAACTAACGAAGGCCGCCGCTGATGTCAGAATGCTTTCACTGGCGGTGCGCGGTCGACCCGTGAGGCTCGTGGTGCTGTATGCGTAAGACTGATCGATTGATGGGGATGATGCTTCGCTGTTCGACGCGACAGTTTCCCACTCGTAATCGTCATCATCAATGGAATCGCGGGACTCCGCACGCGGGTCGCCCACGAGCTCCAATTCGGCATGTACGTCGTACAGTCGGAGATCTTTTGAAATGCGTTCTTCCATCGAGGTCGCCAGGGTAGCGTTGAGCTCGAAATCTTGAATTCTCGGGAAGTCCGAATGATCCAGGATATTCAGAACGTTCTGCACAGTTTTTTGGCTCTGGATAAGCGTGACGTCCACGTTCTGAGACGCGCACATAAAAACTACATTGCCATTGAGCCGTGCGATTTTATTCATCAGATCTTCCCCGGTGAGAGTTTCCGCGGAGAACTCACTGAAACAAAACACATACGGCAACTTGAGGTCGAGGAAAAATGCCAGCTCTTTGACCAGTTGGGTGAGATGCATGAGACCCGCGGCCATTTCGAATGCTCGCTCCTGCATTTCGTCTCGCGACATGACGCTCTGATCCTGCCTCTGGTGAACCCAATCGATGAGTGTGGTGTACTCGCCGTTCGCAGGTAAACGAGGAGCACCAATCGAATAGGACTCATCGACCGAACGATTCGAATAAACCCATTTGCCGCGAATGTAGTTTGTGCAGAAGGCGTCCTCAAGTTCGGCTGCCTCTTCTCCTTGTTCCTCCGCTTGGCTCATCGAGGATCTTATTTCAGAGATCGGGAATATGCTGCTCCTCAGCTCTTGGACTCGCTCTTTGACCTTCTCGATGATATCTGCGGAAATTTTTCCGAGCCTCGAACGAACATCTTCGATGTGGGCACGAAGTTTGGTGGTTTCTTGGATGCACGACTTCTTCCGTTCAGGCAGAGTGCCGCGTTTTTCCCTGATCTCTTTGCATTTTCTCCTAATGTCCATTATGTCGGCCTTCGCAGAACCTATGTCTCGCTGGCATCTCCCCAAGAGAAGCCTTCTGGTTTCGACACGTTGTCTGGCCAACTCTATGTGTTGCCGATATTCATCTCGCTGTCTGTGGGGTTGCGAGCGCTCCTCCACGATGGCAGCGTACTTGTGTCTCTCGCGTTCTCGGTCCGACAGCTTCATCTTCTTGGTGCTGAAACTTTCTTTGAACAAGGCTCTTGAGTGAGATATGTCGCCAACTCTGACGCAGTCTGCACAAGTAAAAGTGCGTCTCATCTGACGACACGTGAGACATTGCCTGACGGGAGGTGAGCGGAGACTATTTTCCAATGAATGACATACGTTGAAGTCCATTGGAGCTGTCGAGCTCTCCGAAGAGCTGGACATGACCGATGACGGCCGATGACTCAACATTCTGCGTTTCTGGGACGTTTGGTGTTTCGCAGAATTGAGATTCGAACAAGTAATGAAAGGATCGTCTCGGAAACTCTATGGAACGTCTCTCGTGAATCACGAATCTGTAGGAGCGCAGAGTGAATATCTTCGGAGATGGAGAGCTAAAACTTCAGCGATTTTGTCCAACGCGGATCCGATCTGATGCAGCAGCATCAACGAGTGTCAGCTAAAACATATGAAACATTTCTCCGATGCGTACGGGGGTGCACTTGACGCTTGATCGCCGTAGGCACGATAACGAACACCATCACCGCCAACTCCACCAACCACCACTAGAGCAGCGAGCGCAACAACTGCGGACTTGTTTTTGTTGTCGTCGCGTGGCTGCTACTACGGGACTGGAAAAGCAGACGCTCGCTGCCCTTCGAGAGACGACGGTAGGGAATTACGGGCGGCGAATTATCTCGTCCCGATCTCAGGCAGCGGCTATATGTACACACCCCGGATTAGGATATCTCGCGTGGACTCGCGTCGGGGGTTAAATTGCTGACCGAGTACGCTCCCTACAATACATAGAGCTCCGCCAAGCTCTCAAGTCGGGGTGAGGATGGCCTGCCGAAGGAGGCCATCGGAATATTCTCCACGAGCCCACCGATTGCCATCGGTAGTACCAGATTCAGCTCTCCGCGTACGGAACGGGTTTCAAAATTCCATGGCTCGAGCCAGGCATAGGGACGGAGCGAACGTTCCCTTGAGGAGCTGAGAACGGCTCCACGCCCGGAGCCGGTCGAGAACCTCCTGAGGCGAGGAGATCGCGGCGCAAGTATTTTTCCCCATCCATGAAAGTCGAGTAACCATCCGCGGTCGAAGAGCGGATTGAAGACACACCCTTTCAACATTTGATCACAGGAACGCGCACTCGTGTACCGAGTTCTTATCAACAAATATCCTCCCCCGAGCTCACCGTTGTCGGCCTCGTGAGATTCGCCGGACCGTATGCTTCGCCGATGGATCTAGGAATCCATTCAGCTAGATATGCTCATTTGGTAGCCTGGGTCTGGAACTTTAGGCCCTTCGAAAACGTTTCAGAGCTTTCGGACTCTCTCGAATTCCGCCTCGTCATCAGCTGTTGAGCCACGCGGTGCTCTGTTGTCGGGCGGCGAAGTGGAGAGGGAGCGCTGGCGGGTTTGACATTTTCGACTCGCGTGGAGAGCGCGCGATCGACGCAGCGATACCCCTCGAAAAGCTGTCTTGTGAGTCATTTTTCTCGACTTGAATAAGGATGACGGGCTCTCGAGGGGATAGGTATCCTCCTTTGTCGAACAGAGTGCTCCGTGTTGGGCTATCACGAATGGGCTAATTGGAACTTCGCATGATGCTCCTCGAAGGATCTTCCGTTTATTGCGCTCTCGAGTCATGGAACGCACATCTCAATGTCGCGTGCTGTTTCCCCCGGGAAGACTGAGTTGCCCGCACGAATCGACTTCGGCTCCGAGCGGGTTGCCCCGTAGAGCGAGGAATACCGTATTGATTCTAATAGAGTGGCATGCCGTTCTATTTTTCGATCCCCCATCGGATGGGCGGTCCCTATTAGAGCTGATGGAGCCTACCCGTGTTTTTTCCAAAAATGAGTATTCAAACGATCTCTGCCTTTTTATTTCGATGAATCGTTTTGTATACCCTTGATATTTTCAGGGAATCTCACAGTTTATACCACCTCCCCTCAAGTTATATTCCCCTGCCGTACCATCAGAGCATGCCGTCCTATTGGAGCATGCCGCTCTATTTTCCGAAATCTCATACGGGTGCCGTTCTATTGCAGCATGCCGGTAGTTGGAGCATGCCATTCTATTAGAATAAATACGGTAATCTGATCCTCGGGAACTCGAGAGTGGAGTCAATATCCGTGAACCATCACACAGCAAAAGACATGTTTTATTCTGGTTTCGTCTTGTACGGCTTCCATCGTTGTCTAAAGGTGTGGTCTGATTTGGATATCACACTCTTTACCTTCTATCATATACATAGAATATACAAACTGTGCGTGGCACGATATCCGCGTCGATTGCTGACTGCTGACAAGCCTTCCAGAGGCATCACAATTTTTCCCATTCATTTCGCAAATTACATTGACGTTCTCGGAGCGCTAGGACTTATTGTATTATTAGCGCTGCCGCGGCCCGCGGCCGGTAACATCAATTTTCCGATTACGAGCGTCCGTCGAATCCTATCCAGGTGAGGTATCGATTTCCTGTTTGTCTCAGAAGAGGTATCTTTCCCCCCTTTTCTATTTGCAATTCGACCGCGATGACTTGAACATGTGACATCCAGCGACGGGAAAACTGCGAAGATACGAATATATCTTCGGACACAGTCTAGATTCTGGAACGCATCGCCGATCTCTGTTAGGCAGCTGGATAATTGAAGGAGTTCGGAGCGATGCTCATCAGAGGTTTCAGAGGGAATCGGGCATGGTGCCATGTCCCTCGAAGATACGTCTCTCTCTCACTCAGAGAAAACGTGCGAAACTTGACGACATCGACCTCGTCGACTTCGAATGAGCAGCAGTCAGCACCGCTGTCTCAGACAGACTCCACTAGTGGAAATCGCAAGAATTCTGTCGACCGCGGTGCGACAGGGTTTGTAGTGACCGGACTTGCGAGATACCAGGCGCTCAAGAGATTTCGACGAGCCGTTCGGGGGGCGGTGCAGTGTCGGCATTGGACATCGCTTGTCGTCGGGCTACAGCAAGTCACCATACACGGTAGGACGGTGAGGACGTCAGATGGGATCACAGCGTTCAGTCAGGTTGTCGGAGCATCGCCGCAAAGGTTGGCGGGAGAAGTCGCGAAGGCATTGAACATGCCTCTGATCTCCCGGGACAAATCCCTCACGGTGCAGCTCTCATCGATTCTGCGACGTCCAAGAGCTTCACCGGGACAGCCGTGACAGTGTCCGGTCTCATGACCTGTCGGCGGATGCACTCGGTAGCTTCTTCTATGACGTACTGTTTCTCGAGAGAGGCGATTGCACCGGAACGGCGAATACGAATTGACTCCGCCAATTGCTGGGGAACGTCATCCACCGGAAATCGGCAGTTTCGCTCCGGGCCGCGGACAAGAAAGTAATGTTGGGATCCGGAAGCCGCTCAGCTGCGTCCAGAGCTCCCCAGAGCACAACTTGATAGCTCTGAAGCGAGCGATATCAATGGAGACCGAACGCAAAAGCATAGTGTCGCTTCAGCAATAAGTGACGGTTGTTTTCGTTCGCGTTCAGGATCGGCTCGATGACTGCAATGTGGGGAGTGGGCCGCATTCGCATCGCTCTAAGCTCGAATTTTGAGTGTCATCTGCGAGTAAGTTCCCCTGCTCGATCGTCGCGAAATTTCCGAACGAATGTTCTTTCAATAAGCTTCGGCTCGGAAACCATTGAGCTGGGTGGGCCTCGCGATGTTCCCCAATATGAGTATCCGTTTGAGCATCTCCGAGGTCGGGTCACCTCCACGGGCTCATATGACAGGTTCCAGCCAATGAGACCAAACGGATTTCAGACTAAATGGGAAGGAAAGACGCAACTTCTGGCGTGAACAGAACATCGATGTCTCATTTGGAACGAATTTCACAGGCGTTCTATGAAGGGCATTCGTTGTGCCGCACTTTGTATTTTTGCGACTGGGACCGCGCGTCTCCTCACCTTCAAGGTGCTTGAGATGTGGGGCCATTATTCGAGACCGGCATTCCCTGATCTATGTTTACACTTAAAATGAACTCCGGAATCCGAAAATAAAAGCTTGAAGCGCGGAACCACGAGACTGGTCCTTCCCCGGAGCAACCAAATTGCGTCCTCATGCGAAAGCTGGTGGCATCACGCAGGGTGTCAAGAATTCTTCCAAGTCTGGGCTCATGGCACCGGGGGAAGGTGTTCAAATATTCAATTGCTATCGGCTGAACACATCCATTCATTAGGGAAGCGGACTGCGTCTCTTGGGATTTCTGCTATCAACGCCATCATGGTCCAAACAGGCCTCTACAAGGGACCAGAATTCCACAAAAATCACTCGTCTGTCATGGCATTACAACATTTAGAGAAGTCCTTACGCAACATAACTGTACTCGTCGGCAGAATTTGGCATTCTTTCGAGGTACTGCTTCTCGATGAGACTTTCCACACACTTTTTTATCATCGTCACGTTTGGCCGGAATCTTTCTGAAGCTTGGAATATGACGAGCTCGACTAGCTCGTTGTGTTTTAGGACTTTCCGCGTTTTCATAAGTCGGACGATGAGGGCTTGCAGATAGGCCTTTCGGTCCTCTTCGAGGGACGCCACTGTTTGCTCTTGTTCTTGAGCCGCCTACCAAAGAGAAAGAAACCTGAAGATCCGCCCTGTATGGTTTAGAGTCTTTCTACCCAATGAGCTCCAAGCGGATCGTGAGAATTACCTGTTCCTTCACGGGTGCGGATATCACCCTGAACTTGGTACGTTTATGCGCGAAATCGAAGTTCAAAACGAAAACTGTATCTGGTCCATACGGCGTCTTAGAGGCTCTATTCGAAGAGTCGCCCTGTTCCGTATCACAAACCTCCAGCAGAACCTAAGGAGAGAGGAATCGTAGATCTTCGACTAACGCAGAGGCTCGTTCAAATTTTGAGTTTCCTCAGGCGTCTACTCACCTTCGTCTCGACTAGAGCTTGCAAAGATTTGACGAGATAGTCGTCTTGTAGATTCGTCCCTCTCCTCAACATATCGTAGGTCAAACGGTCTTCGGTTTGGAACAAGAGGACAACACCCAAGGTGAACGTCGATGTAGACATCACATACGATCGCCCCTTGGGATAGTTGAGTCGAATATCAGCGTTCGACAAGTGATGCAACCACGTGAGTTTTCGGCCGTTGAATTTTTCCTGAAAGATTTGACGCCGGATGTGAGTTTCGGTGTTCTTTCGAGACATTATCTGGGCTATGGCGCAGTTGGCGGCGAATCGATTGATCGAATAATTCATTGGTAGAATGATCGATTGATGGACCGATTGAATAATTGAATGATGCTCCGATTCATTGAGTTATTGAAAGATCGATGGAACACAAAGATCTCCGAACTCACCTTGTAAAATGACTCGAAGGCAAGCATGCATCTCGCCAATTGAGGCGGAGCTATGAAAGGAGAAACCGCTACATTCTGCATTGGCCAAGCTCCAGCTTGTAGAACCAATGCGTAAAAATTGAGCCCCAGATCCAGGTTCATGTGCGGAGCTTCCCGGAGGTACTCGGCGAACTTGACATTGTGCTCATCGCTCACAGACATATCGGTGTACATTCGATGCATTTTCGAAGTGTACTCATGCCCACATGCCTTGAGGGGAATAGACTCTTTCAGATTTTTCCCGCAGATGGATTGCTTACTGCTGAATTCACCGATGCATCAGGTCAGCTCCTCTACCACGAACCTGTTTGAGCATTAGGAGCATGGACTCTTCATTTGCGAGTGAAGCATATAGGCCGTGGATCAATCTCTTCGCGAGTAGCTTCGAATAGCTTCTTTGGAAAAGATCTTTATCATCAAGGTACTTGAAAACTATGATCGTTCTCAGCAACTTGCTTTCGAACTCTGGCTCCTGGGGATATCGTGGGCCCTTCTTCAGAATCTGGTCGCAATACCTAGCCAGTAGTTCGGGAGCTGGAAGAACGTATCGTGAAAGGCGATTCATTCAATCCCTTAGGCGGGTCCGACGCGTTCTGGCCACGGAGAACAACCAAGGTCTGAGGCAGCTAAAGACTCACCTTTGTAGGAAAGCTTTGAGTGCTTCGAATTGATGACTGAGATGCATGCGCGATCCAACGCCGTAACGAACTGCTGGTCATTTTTGAAAACATCCGATACGAGACGATGAAAATCGTCGTAGACTCTAGAAGTTCGAAAAACACTATCAGATATCGCGAAAAACCCGACACCATCGAGAAGGGGACAGCCCTAGAGTAACCTACCTGAGAACTGCTTCTACGAAGCTTTGAGCAACATTGTCATTGTCGATGTGCTGTAGCAGGTCGGAGCCGATCTGTTCGATGCGCGTCTGGAGCTGAGTGAGAACAAAAGAGGTGAGCCTTCGAGAAAACCCTTGATCTCATTAGACTCATTGCTTCAACGCCTTACATCTTTTATGACAGGGAGCATCGCGGATTGATCCAAGGGTTTCAATAGTTTGTACATGTTGCGGAGATCTTCGCTTCTGAGTTCAGCGACCATGGTCCTCGCCTGGTGCGGGAGGAGTCGGGATGAGAAACTCGGTCTAATCATGCTGTATGCATACTCGATGTCGACTCTGGTGTAGCGGTTGGGGACTCACCTCTTGGTATATGATTTTGAGGTGATCGCCGACCATGACTTTCTCGCACTCTTTGATGACAGCTTTGAAAGACGATTGGTCCAAAAACTTTCTCGAGCGCTGGTCTTCCTGGTCGACATATCTCAAGACCTGGGAACAATGGCATCCGTTCAATCGCTGCTCCGCTCTCCGAGAACTGCTCGAAACCATCATTTGTTGCGCCATGCAGCTTTGGGCTAAACGGAGACTGACCTGCACCATGAATTCAGAGCAAGAGGTGTTTTCGATCAGAGTTGAAGATATATTCGAGTAGTATTTACTAGTTTCTTCAAGATATCGAGCTTCGAATTTCTTGTAAAAGCGCAATTCCTTAGATCCCGTTTCGTGGCATTCCATCGACACGAAAGATCCCACGATATCCTTGACATATCGCGCGTCACTGTCATCTTGACTGCCCTGGAATTTCATGGAAGGCTCAGTAGTCTCGATTCCTTCATACGGGGCGATTATAGAAGACGATTTCCATAAATACTGGGAGCCCGAAGTCGACGTCGAGCCGTGAAACTCCGAAGAGAGAACTTACGCTCCGGTCGTCATGGACGACCTTCAAGATCAAGGGCAGTAGTATGTCCTTCTGGGGTATTATCATAGTGTTCATCCAGATTTCCAGTCCGAGGGCGCCGATCTCGAGACGCTTCTCGGTTTCCTGCAGTGTATCGAAGTAGGCACCCGCCTCCTCCGCTTGCTTCTTCCTCACGTGTTCGATGTTGAGGTAGATGTAAAGGGTGTTCAAATTCCTCAATCCTTGTGAGTATTCTATCCACTGCTCATGATAAGCGGCCAAGAACCCGACCTGTCGAGAGGAACTTCTCGATAGCAAGAATCGTCTCTTCCCGTCCAGTCAACTCGATGCGGGTGCTCTCGAATACTCTACCCACCTGTTCAGCTCGTCGGACCACCTCCGCGTGCAGATTATGAACGTGCTCATTCAAATATTGCTTCGTAGCCTCGTAGAGCTTCTCAGCCTGAGATTCAGGGGTCGCCACGCAAAGGTGATAGACGTCCCCATAACTGTTGTGCCAGGCTTCTCGATCCACTTTGCCTGTTGATGTTCAGGTTTTCATGAAATAATCCACGCGAGAAAGGCATATTCTGACGCTGAGCCATGCATCGATAATTCTCCAGCAATGAATCGTATTGGTTGACTTGCCAGTCATGAGTGAATTAACGGTTTTCCTGAGGTTGGTCCACACTTCCTCGAATACGAGTTTCCTAGGCTTCATGCTCATCGTTCCTCCGGAGTAGGATTACCACCTGCGAATTATCCCATTTGCTCAAGGGTCCAGTCTGGCGTGCGTATTTGATCCACTGAGCCTCCAGAACGAGCTCGGCGGGATCGATAACTCCGAGGAATCGGGACGACTATCACGAAAACCCTCCGATCCTGGGAGTATCACTGACCGATGCAGAGTGCACTTCAGATCGGAGGAGACGGCTACAGCTTCCTGGGCCTGATTGACCATGTTAGGAGCAAGTCTCAGCCGTCTAAGGAAGAGATCTTGAGCGAATGAGAGTCATCGGTAACAAGTGCGAAAACCTCACACAAATTTGCCTCAAGGTACCGTGACGTAGTTCGGAGCAACGAGACGACACTAGTTGGTCGTCTCGCGGGGCTCGCTCGTGCTCACCACGGGGAAGGGACCGTTATTGGGGGCCCTTTGTCCCATTATTCGCATGCAATTTCGATCTTACCGAGAGGGAGAATTTTGAGACAGTGTCCCCTGTGAGGTGAGCCGCTGGTGTTCTCTCGACCTAGGTTTTTTTCAAGTCGATCACAATTCAAGTCAGACGGTCAGGATTCTACGATCTCTGCTTGAAACTAGCGGTCCCTGGGGAACGCAACAGGAGCGATTTGAGAATGCCGTTCCTAAGGAACGGAACCACGGAAGTGATGAGAGCAGTAACAAACACACGGCACACCGAGAACGGCGAATGATGACTGTGATCCCTGCTGAAGATGGGATCAGACTGCTGGCGGACCGACGAAATGAAGTTTGAAGTTGACGAGAAGCTCCGCGAACGGAATACAACAGCCCCTTTCGACAATTCGTTGCCCGTAAACTCGGCGTAATTATTCTCCGTGTCAACGAATGAATTGAGAGACTGATTAGCGAGTCGTCCCTCCAAGCGTTCAGAGACTCCGAAAAGGCTAGCGATACGTTTCTAGAACGAGGAGATATGTTGCAGCAATGTCGACTTACAATAGATTCGGATGCGTGGATTGAGCGGTCCCCAGCCAGAGGGTGCTGCGAGGACCGCCGGACACGCAAGATTCTCCTTAGTAATCTTGGAGCCACTATGCACTCGTGGATGTCGATATCTCGTCCACCCGTGTCGCGTACCGTCGCGGTGCGGTTCCTCTGGTGAGTTGTGCTTGCCTCACATTCATCGGCATCGCCGCTACCTGAGGCGCAATCACTCGGTGCTGGAGGGATCATCAGCACGTTTTCTTGGCAGAATTATGAATCATTCGTTTCACTCATGTGAGAGCCGAGGTATATCTAGATATCAGAGTTCAAGAATCAGTCCCGGAATCGAGCTCGTTTATTACAATAATTCCCATCGCCAAAAGAGTCGATGAGGGCCCCAACCGTTGCCCCTGATGCTCCAAGACCGGATTTGAGGAATCGAATTCGGTTTAGGGAGCTCGCATTGCGGATCTGGCTGGGGTGAACGACGCCTCTCCCAACCCATGTCTATAAGTGAGATATTTATTTTTGGGTCGACAGCAAACTGACGAGCGATAATGATAAAATACGGTAATACGCAGCTTCTGCACCTTCTGGGCTCAATAAGGTGTTGAGAAAAGAAAATCCTCATTTCCCATCGCAGAGTTTCGGCCTCATAACCTTCTCCTGCAGAGAAGAGAGGTCATCCGCTTACCTAATTGTAGGACATATATTGAGCTTGAGGAACTAAATTAACCCTCGGGTCTTACGGAGTTTCCGTCCAAATTAGATGAAGGGACTTCTAGTTTACAGATAGAATCCCGTCTATCAATGAGACCGCTCGCGCGTCGCTCTTGCCGTACGCGGGACTTCTGGGTCTTCTGGCAGTGTTCGTATAGGATTCTTTCTTAATGAGGGACTCGTCGATTCTGTCGAAAGAATCTTCCGAAGCTCCCCAGGCAGTCCAGTCCGGAAGAAGTTGTCTTCCGCTCTCCTTTCCAATTCCATTCCTTTCCATCGGAACCGCCGATCTGCAGCTCGACTCCAACATCGATCCACGAAGTCAACACTCAAGATCTATCATGATTCATGATCTTATGATGGCTCCCCCCGACTTCGACATTATTTGAGAAGGGATTCTCAGCGGCGGAATCAGTTTCTTTTTGAAAGTGACTGAACGAGCAATGCTGTCCACATGGACGTTTTCATCAAAATGACGATATACGGCGAGTCATCTGATGAAAGCGTTCGAAGGGAGGAAGAACTCGCGAGGGTCGATGAGAAAATTGTGCGCTTGACAGCATGACATTTACGCTAGTCGATACCATGACCATGAATCATGAGTACAGCGGCCTCGCAACGGCCCTCTCTGCGTCTCGAGATGACTCTCCCGCGGCGAAGCATTGAGAGTCCGTAAATTCTACTCCCGAGTCGAATATCTATGGTGAAGAGACGTATTCTTGCAGGCGGCCGCAGATCCAGCCAAGGCTTATACAGAACAGAACTCGGCCAGTGCCACCGACCGCACAAGAACTTTCTCTCCCGGAACACCTCTCTCTGCAGACGCGTCAGGAAGCCGACGTACCAACGTAGGCTTGTATGGGCCACGAGTTTGGCATACCAGACATGAAGAGTGGCCGATGGGACGAGCGATTCACCTCTGGCGATTTCTGATCTCGTACTTGGTCCAGGAAATCGAAAATGGCAGCCCGTAGCTCTTCTGAGAACTCCCATGCCTACCTCTTGATCACGTGACCGCGTTTTTAACATGAAGCTGCCTGTCATCGTTCGAGATCAATCGCTACCTCAAGCCTGGACTTCTGCTTGTAATTGTTTGAGTCGAGCACAAATTTTCGCCGCGGGGCCCAGTTTTATGTTGAGACGAGACATCAGATGTTCAACCTTCAAGAAGAGCATCGCTTCTCCATCGATTTCCTGCGCACGGAACTCTTCGGCGTAGATTGCGCAACCAGGGATGGTTTTGATGAAGTCGGACACCTCTTCGACCGACCAGCTCAGAGGATTGTTAGATGAAATTGATCCGCTCCCAGGATCGGCGTCCGCTTCCAAGTCCGGTAGCGACGCCCTCGCCTCTGCCAAACTGCTCTCCTTCGTATTATTCGGCTGCAATGAGACGAGAGAAAGATTTTCCTCATCTTCCATTCAGGATATCCAGTCCATTCTACTCGAATGATTCTCTGAACTTACCGGCACAACAATGGCAGCTTCATGACTCCGCTGACTCTCTTGTTTCCCCCCATTTTTTTCTTGCCCGAGACGCGGTCGGAAAGCGTGTCAAGGTCGGTATCGCCGTCGATATAGGCGTATCGATCTTTCCGCGTCTCGGAGCTCCTTGAAAGCTGCTTCACCATCTTATCCACGGCTGACTTCCGACCGCTGCTGTTGTCCGGAGCGATCCTTTGTGCTGCCGAGACAATGACTTCTGCGTTCGGTTTCGAGCTTGCTTGAAGAGAGATCTCAGGCTTCAAGTTCTTCGTACTTTCAGCTTCCCCGGTAACCGATGCCACGCTCGCTCTGTCGACGACGTTCCTATCATCTGTGTCCGACGTCGCGCGGATTCGCGATTCATTGCCGAGCTCGACTCCGAGTGAATCATTCCGAATCTCTGTTTTTATAGTCGGGGCATTGGAAATCATCTCTTTCTTCGAGCTCGCGTCATCGCTGTGGATGGACTCGCCGTCCGCGGAGCTCGGCGCCGCATCTCTAAAATTCTCGGTGCTCTTCTGGTTGCTGCCCTCACAGTGAATGCCCGGTTTCCTCGCGTTGGAAGCGGCGACCGCTGTCTCGTGTTTGCGCTTCCTCTCCTTTATATTCTGCATGACCATTTGTTCCCGGGCTAGTATCTCGTTGAGCAGTGCTGTCCGCGTGACCGGAAACGGCACTGGTCCTTCACGTATGACGAAGCCTATAAGAGGAAATTGTCGGAGATTCCATCGACGCTCCTAGTGCGCGTGAAGTCAAGCCCAACAAGGGAAAGGCATCGCCGAGGCATGAATCCCGCACAATCTGGATCGAATAGATTTACCTTCCACTATATGCGTGAGAATTTCTGAAGCTTCTTCATGGGAATCGGGAAGATCATTATCCTCCGAAGGGAAGGTGGCCGCAATCGCGGGCGAGGTCGAACCGCTAGTTTCGGATGCTCCAGGGATACCACTCTATTGAGAGAATGAATTCGATAGTCATTGCGCTTATCAACCCTGGCCCGAGAGCGAGAGGAACTTCGAGAATCGACGGCGAACTATTCGCCGAACTACCTGCGGCTTGATCAAGATCTCCTTAATAGTCCCCATCCTAGAACTCACCGCGGGCACCGCTGCGGAGTTAGGTTTCGCGAGAGACTTATGTGGAGGTATAGCAGCTACAAGTGGTTGTTCTGGCCTCTCAGCTGGCACAACATCTTGTGCGGATTCAGGAGTTCCTGACCTCGGCGTTTTCATCAGAAATTTCGACAAAGACTGGAGAGGCATCAAAGAGGAGCATTCATTAGCATTGATCGTGTATTGATCAGGAGCGATCAGGATGAGGTATCGGAGAAAGATCAAGCAGCTCACGGGACTGGAATCGGATGATTCTTCGCTGAACTCATAGGCTGCGCATCGGGAGGCCGAGCTGTCGAGGGACTTCGACTCGATCGGCCTGCTCTTCATTGAATCCGACTGGCTTGCGGAACTTTGACGGAGAGGTCTTGGTACTATGCCTCGAACACCTCGCGGCACCACCGTCACCTTCAGCCCAAGGTGTTGCTGATGTGATAGGAAAGATTATTACCGGTGAGTCCTCTCGGGCCAACCCGACAATGTCGCTCACAGAGAATGCTCATTGGATGTTGAATCCAGTAAATTACCATCGGGGGCGTTGGCCTCGTCACCCTGATGGGCTGCGGACGACTCCACGGACCTGACAATGATCGAGGATTTTCTTTCGGTGCGGCCTGTGAACGGATATCAAGCGTCATGTAGTGTCATCACACCCAGAATCTGAGGCATCGGACCTTCATACGATCTCTTGCTCGGGCAAAATGCGACTCACGAATAACGACTCGGAAGAATTTGTAACCGAGTGCACGACGGATGACTCCGCACTAGAAGCTGATGTGGCGACCGCGCAATTCGGGGAAGATGGGACAGGCGGAGTCATGGACAATCGGGCTGGCAGTTGAGCTTGGTTCTTTGCTGTTGCTTGAGGCTTCGACAGGATTGCATTCGGTATCGATGCAGGCGAAAACACATTCCCACCCATGGTCGAATTGCCGCTCGTGACTCCGCTGTAGACCACCGAAGCGTTCGACTGGAATAAGATTTTCCCTCGAATTAGCTTTATTCTGAGGCAGAGGATATGAATATTCTTGCGACAATGTCCCGAGCGACGTACCATTGAGGGTGCAGTCTGTGAAGTCATCAGTCGACCTATCGAGGTTTGTTGTTGCTGTTGCGGCTGCTGCTGTTGCTGTTGTTGCTGCTGTTGTTGTTGCTGCTGTTGTTGTTGCTGTTGTTGTTGCTGTTGTTGCTGTTGTTGCTGTTGTTGCTGCTGTTGTTGTTGCTGCTGTTGTTGTTGTTGTTGCTGCTGCTGCTGCTGTTGTTGTTGTTGCTGCTGCTGTTGTTGTTGCTGTTGTTGTTGCTGTTGCTGTTGTTGTTGCAACTGTTGCTGAGTGCTGGTCGTGGCGGGATTATGAATGTAGATGCTCCCATCCGATTGGTTCCGGATAAATATAGGCGATTGGAGGACTTGATTGCCCTGCAGCTGACTAGGAGCCCAAGAGAGCCCACTTGCGAAAGCGTTGAAGGCTTGCAATGGGTTGACAATCTGCGCTTGGCCGTGGTTAACGCTTTGAGAATTATTCGCGTTGAGCAGCTGCTGAGTGTGGGTCACCGACACCTGCTCGCGGAAAGATCAGAATTAGATTTCGTATCGATCGTCTCGTTCGAATACCGTTCATCCTCCGTCGTGCTCCACTTACATCGATATGATGTTGTTGCTGCTGCTGTTGCGACTGCTGCGATGGATGGGACATATCTGGTTGCGGAGATATCATGCCAGCTTGGGGGAGCATGTTTATGAGCAACGTCTGGCCATTGGCGTTTTGCTGAGCAACGAATTGAGGATGTTGGTGCGAGCCAGAACCTGTGATCTGACCCGATTGAGTTGGCCCCGTGGCGGGCATCGTTGAAGACATTTGAGCTTGACCGGTTGGAATGGTGGAAACCTGCGACGAGCCTGCTCCAGACGTCTGAGCCGATCCTGCGATCGGGTTCTGCTGTTTGTGGCTTACGACCTGGATTTTCGACCCGGCACTCATGGTCATCGCCTGGGGCGAAGTAGCCACCATTTGCTGAGCAGGGCCACCGATCATGAGTCGGGACGGGGAGGCCATCACGGACTGATTAAGACCGCTTGTCTTTGCCATCATCGATTTTCCCGGCTGGATGGGGATGCCTTGCTGTACTTTTTGGCCGGAAGCTTGCATCATTGCGATGCTCTGATTGATTGATTGCTGGAGCGCGAAGTTCCCTTGGGGGGATATGAGCATTTGTTGTTGGCCTCCTTGATGGTAAATCGGTTGCAGAATCTGACCTTGAGGAAGCATCGGCAGCTGCTGAGCGTACTACGGGGAGGCGAGAAAATGCTTAGAGCTTGGAATAAGGAGCTCGGGGAAAGTTAACTCTTAATCGAATCTCCTGGTCCCCTCGGTTGTACTCGATGTCCTACCTGAATGCCGCCTCCCGGCATGGTTTGAAGCATTGTGGGCTGATGCTGTACGAGTCCTGACAGAGAACTCACACTCTGAGTGAACTGAAGGCTGTGTGGAGTCTGTGATGAATGTTGACCGGAGTTCGTGTGATGTGCGGATACAGTCATCTATAGGGACAACAGGTAGGGAAACGTTCGAAATGATGTATGAGCTACATTCTGCCGTATCTAATTCACTGTTATTGGTTCCTCTCAGGGCAATTTCCAGAGACGTGACAGCTCCTGTGTTTGGATGGAGCTCCCTAAAATCGCTTGGCCCAAAGAATATCCGAGCATCAGCACTACTCACCTGAGGGGTGAGAGCATTACTCGACACCGACGGGACAGCATTGTGGTTGTGGCTGGTAAGAGTGCGTTGGGAGATGACTGAAAAACGAAGAGCTTTTTTTGGAAACAATGGCTTGCCAGGAAAACTCCGAGGCGCGTCAGACTACCAAAGCCTGGATTCCCTTCATGCGCTTCTCACCGTAGCCGGATGCCCCCGAGCTCGATATGGGTATATTCATGATTATGATTCCAGGAACTCTCCACCAACGACGGCTCGAAAACCGAGTCGCCTCAAACTTTTCACCGAGCTATCCGGAGAAGCATCTGACAAGTACGATCGGGTGATGTGTGCCGATTTCGAATGTTCCGCTTCTCGTGGAGTTCAAAGTCAAACTTGATTCGAACTGAAGGAATCAATTTCGGCTCAGCTACAGGACTACCATCGTTTTATCGAGAAGTGAGGTGCGTCCTGAGTGGCTGGTCTCTCGCTCCTGAAGGGCCGCCATAGCTTGAAAGCAGTAGCAGCTAGCAGCTGTAGTTGTTGTGGAATGAGCGGCGCAGCGGCAGCAACGACGACGACGACTTTCAAAAACAGTGAGAGAAATCACACACACGCACACAAAACCCACAACAGCGTCCGGCTCTCGGCTCTCGGCGCGATGCTCGGTTCGACATTAAGAATCGTTCCTCATCAAGAGCAGACGACGGCACGGTAAGTTTTCATAGAATGCGGGAGCGCGCCAGTAAGGAGGGCCGACAATGCTCCCCGTTTCGAGGATACATCATGATCTCGATCAAATTCCGAATTCCGTCCTCCCAACAGGTGGGGGTTGCTGTCTGCAGGTGATGGATATCAGGGGCCCCTCGACAGCACCTAGCGTCAAACTTGCGGAACGGCCAAGGACCGAGCATAGCAAGAAGCCTCTCCAGAGATGAGCTCGCCTACGGAGGCTAATGATCGTCATTCATGGGAGGACTGGCATACGGATACATGAAACGGTCATAATCGTCATCCATAAAAGTACCGGGATACGGATACCGAGCGCACGGTTACATCTTTGGAGTGTCGTCTAGTCATAGCGGCAGCCTCCGGGTTTGGAACCATGCCCGAATCGGTGGACAAATCGTGAGCGGCCCGAAACAGAGGATCTCAACCTGGGTCTCGCGGAAGCCTTGGGTTCCTCGGCGCACCGAAGATCATATATATTGTTCGGGCTGAAGTGCACGGCCAAGGGTTACGATCCTAGATGATCGCTCGCGAAGGCATTCATTGCGTTCGAGGAGGAATCCAGAGAGCAAAAGGACCCGCGTTTGATTTTCGTATTATGTCCCTTCCCGCTACGAGAACTGACTGAGCATCGCGACCGACCCGATGCTGAAGCCGGAATGCTGCTCCGTTCGGCGGTTCGACTCCGGATTTCAAAGCTACATGCGGGGACATTGTTACCAAGGCTTATTGTTGCGAGACAATCCGGACCTTGTCTCGGCCCTAGTCAGCCGGTGTTGGAGCCCTTGGCAGGTTTGGAGCATCCTATCTATGACAATATCGTCGAGAGCCTCGACCGTACGAACAGGCATGAGCGGGATTGTCGATCATTCCCGATGCCGGCGGGTGCTGTCCCATCGCAGTTGAGGCTCCCGTTCCTAGGAAACCTCCGAGCATTATCGGTCCCGTCGACGAAAGGAAAAAAAACGGGATATCTTCGATCTGGTGGCTTTTCGTCAATCGCCGGAGATATCCTTGGCCGACTGTTACTCCCGAGGGAAAATCGGCCTGAGCGCCACTTCATCGCACTCCAACAACGGTTATCGCTTCATTGCCATCTGCCTGACGAGACAGGGATGAGAAGGTCACAGTAGGGATTCTCGATTGGTTGACGCTGAATCGATGCGATTCCACCGCGACACCGACGCTGGAATTCGTGAAAAAGTTGGAGCCAAAGGCTCGATTGACTTAAGAATCGCGGTCTTTTCCGTACGGTAGTTATTGTGAATACTCGTAATGTTTGTGCCAATGCTGGTGGACGTAGGGGCTTTCAATCGCATGACCCGATCAAGCGCTCCCGTCATTCTGGCTCACGGGAGGGACATAGGGTCTGGATGAGCCAGCCGCGGCTCATCCATAGATATTGGGCAAGAGAACATATGCCTCTATAATAACACGCGGGCCGAAGGCTTGACGGCAGTCAGTCAAGGCAATTGAGTTGTCGTTGGTCGACGTTATTCCGACAAATCGATCGGTTCGACGTATTCCTCAGGGATGGCCGACTCTCAATGCGGCCCATTCTGCTGTCTGCTCATGGCGACGTTGTAAAAAGAGATTAATGGATAGATCCGTCTCCGTTCGGAAATCGTAGGTGCCGCTTTCTCCTCGGAAGTTTTTCGGAAATTCCTATGCTCGAAATTTGACGCACGATGAAATTCACCCATACCGTAGCATGAGACGAGCTTTTTCTTCCGAAGAGCATGTAATGAGCCGGCTGTAACGCCATGAATTTAGCTAAGGTTCCACGGGTCCAGTTCGGGCAGGCTACTCAGAAAATGATCAATGCAAGATCGGATGTTTCCTTCGGGGAAATCGAAAATTCGTCTTATACGCCGGGAGCTCCATGCGCCAGAATCTGCGGGACAATCGCGACTCCCACAACCGTATCCTCAGTCCATTGCTCAGCACTAACCAATGCGTCACAATGATACCCCGGTAGCGGTGATTCGAAGAAATTTTCAGCTTTTAGCCCCATGGGCAGTCTAAAAAACACGAAAATTCTTCACGAAGCACACGAAGCAGATGCTTCGTTCGGCTCGACGTGAGCCGCGAGCTTCACTTCGGATCTGAAAATCAGTGGATGCTCTGAAGGCTCGAGGTTGAGGGCATCTCAATCCGCGGCACATGAAATCGACGCGCAGATGCTAGGATTCAGGGATGGAAATCGGTAAAATACGGCATTACCGAAGACAGGCCGACGCGCGAATGGAAGCTCCGTTTTTCGGTGTCTGGAAGTCTTAGAAAGAATCGGAGATTGTAGGAAACATCATCCTGCTGGTTCGAGACGATGCTTCGGAACTCCAAGTCCCCCGTTTGAAAGATTTCGGGTTCCCCTAGTAGTTCCAGGCGTAATCTGGAGAACTCGCTCATCCACTTCGAGAAGCTGCTTTTGAGGAAGCTGAAGTGCTATCCCGCTTTGGCCAGGCTAATCGAGGCGTGCAGGTGAGCTTTGGATGGCAGAATTTCCCGGATAGCGATTGTCGCCGACATCGGATAGTGAACTTCAGGGTTCCGGAATCGACCGACCGACGTAGGAGGTTTCGAGAGCAGAACATTCCTCGATATTTCTCCATCAGTTCCTGCTGCTGGATTCTGCTACTGCAGAGGCCTGTACGACTGGTACACCGGTGAGAAGTTTGAATATAGTGATTTCGCTTCCGGAATCACGAATTGTCACTATGGTCAGGTGAAGCGCAGGGCTGCATGCTGAGTCGCATCAAAATTAGTCCCCTGACGGTGTCTCCACGGAGTGGTCCACCACAAACCTTCCACCGGGGCCTGGAATTCGAGAGCGAGCCCTCTAAAGACGACCATTCTTCCACAAAACGCACAAGCGGCGATGAAGAATCCAACCAAGCTCGTGGAGATCCTGAGTGGGGAGTTATTGCAACTTATCATATGATCGATCATACGCCGCAATCCGGACAATAACACGCTGGGCTCGGAGACCAGCTTTTCGTCCCCTGATTCAGTGGACACAGGGCTGAATTTTTCCTCTTTGCCCGCCCCTCGCAGGAGCAGACGTAGTCGTTCAAGGGGGACAATCTATTTCCACAGAGATCCAAAGCATCATTGAGACCGCGGAAACTCTTCTCGCCGAACTACTAACGAAGGTTTCCTCGTCGGACCTTGACCTACAGATCATGTCCAACTTCGTGTTGCACAGAAGATCAAGCAAGATGCGGAAATCGCTCTCAACGATTTCTTGCAAATAACATCCGACGAGAAAGACGTGAGTTTCAGTTCGCTCCGATGTCCTGTCCGAAGGCGAAAAGACGTCGACCGCCTCTCGTTCAATAGGAACTTGAACCCGCATCGCAGCGTGAGCATGTCGGAGCCATCCTGGGGCTCTCCACCGCTCATATGATACTGAAACAAGTACCGGAAGCTCGCAGCCACTTGAAACGAGTCATAAAATCCGTGTGGAATTTCGGAGATGCGGAGTACCTCGAGGAAGCGTGGCTTCTCTTGGCTGACGTGTACATCCACTCAGGGAAGTACGACTACGCGAGCGACCTTATCAAAAGGCTCCTCCAATACAATCGGGTATGAGCGAGCAATATCAGCAGTGTCCGCCGTCATAGATTTCGGTTCCTCCGAACGTAAGGTGACGCAATCCGCCCACTGGACTGGTCTCAAATTTCAGAGTCGCACCCGAGCCTACGAATATATGGGCTACATAATGGAGAAAGAGCAGAGCCATCGAGACGCGGCTAACTGCTACGAATCTGCGCGGAACTCACCCATAAACCTACGATCGGTGAGAACTCGGGGCGAAATCATCGTCGTGCTAAAAATAGAGAGGTTGATGGAGAATAGTGTCCGCGTCCGTACTTTTTCAGGTTACAAGCTGGCTTTCAATTACCTGAGGGGTAAGCGCTTCGTGGATGCTATCTCAGTTTGTCACCAAGTTCTCGCCTCGTATACTGACTATGCCGAAGTTAATAAAGAAGTCATGGTTCGGGCTCGCTCTAATTCACAAATGTGGATCCACCGACAATCGACGTGTGTATGGTTCCTCTCCTCACGTGTAATCACATGGTACGGGCTTCCGAGATAAGCAGTCTTCTAGATCAGAGGGGATGGGGAAGAGAGAACAATTGTCTGAAGAAAAAATCCTGGTCTTATCAATCAATTCCTTCTCCTCGCTTTTCACGGTTCGCGGTTCAGAAGCGCTGACCGCCTTTCCTTCGGAGCTCGAGACCTCGACGAACACTTGTCCCTTATCAGGATTGGCAGATTTCACCTTTTATCTTCCCAAGTCGAGGGATTCAAGAGTGTACGCCAAGCCTACACACGTTTACTAAAGGGCGGCCATGGGCTTTTCCGGTTCCGGTGGGCAGTATTTTTATATATGTACAGGACAGATTCACACCGCTCCAGGCAAGGACATCCAGAAGCCTCCTTATAAGCAGTCGCTGATTATTCAGTCATTGATCTGTGGGCAGAGGTACGACTCGCCGCTTCATGATGAAATCGGCACGGCCGCGAGGCCATTCCGGAACTAGACAGTCCAATAGGGTTCAATCAATCATTAGCTTCTTGTGAGATTCCCCGCATCGATGCTTGTGCGTTTCGAAGATCCCGCGCAGTTGTTCAACGTATTTCCCGTGGAGCTCTTCTACTTGTTCGCGCGTTGGATTCGCCACACGTTCCACACGGATCGGCGCTCCAACTGTAAGAGATATGGGAGCAACTCAATTCACAACTCAGAGTACAGGAAAGTCCCCCTATTCGTTTGAATCGAGCACCGGGGCCAACTCGGCAGAATCGTTCCAGTTGATGTATACCCTCACACCTGATTGAATATTCTTTCCTCCTACTGGTCGTACACCCGAACAATATTGAACGTATCAGCTCACCCACGGTGGTGATTGGCGATCTGAAGGGCACGTAACCCCAGGTGTACTGGAATACGCCTCGTCCATGGAAGAAAGCCGGTGAGAAGCCGACAATTTTCTTAACGAACTCCTGGAAGGAACGCAATTTCGAGCCGCGGGGGTTTTCCACCTGGTCGAAAATGTCGTTCTCCCCGAAAGAAAAAACAGGCACCAGGTCAGCTCTGAAAGGAATTTCCGGCCGATGAGTATGACGAGAGACGTGATCCCCGGGAACAGGATCTGATTCCTGAGGAAGAGCTACGATGGCAGCAGTTATCGTGAAGTCGTAATTGTATAAGGGTACGCACCCGTACTGCAACGCCAGTCGCGCGAATCCTTTGCGGTGCTTCAACGTAAGGTGATAATCATCGGCACGATGAGCGTCCAAGGCTTCTTGAGCCCCACCAATTACAATCACCGCCGCTTGACCCTTGCCTTTCCGATTAAGGATCCACTCGATCGATTCCTTGGAGGCACTGCAGCACCCGTACAGGAGCGGCAGTTCTCGATAGAAAGGGAAGAGGAAATTTAGGCGCAGCGTCAGTACATGCGTGAAGATCCCTGCAACGATACATTCATTGTAGTTTCTTGAATTGGTCCTCCGCCGGACTTCTGCAAGAGGTAGATCGTTGGCGACGACGAGCAAGACCCTCTACAGGGGAGGAAGCCTAGCGGGATGGTGATCATCAAGCTTAAATTCGAAGCGGAGGGAAGAGTTCCCGATGTCACAGTGCCTCAGCTCACCCGGGAAGAAATCGCTGAACTTGGTCCCTTCCGTCGCAAAGTTGATCATGGCACCGAAGCTCATGATTCCGTGGGGGTGGTAACCAATTATATAGTTCCTGTCCGCCGGGAGATCGGCGGTTTTGACGAGATGAACCGGGAAGTAGTCTCTCATATATCTCCAGACACGGAGCTCCCGAAGTCGCTGCCATCGTCTGCCGCCTCGTTCACATGTTTCTAAATCGTATATGTACCACACCATGTATATCAGCGGTATCCAGTAATGATTCGTGAAGAAAAATAAAAACATGCTCAGGATGATTCCCCCGAGACCGGCGAACAGGAACGAGAAACTCATGGAGGCAGCCGAGAAGGTTTGGAGCCGACGTTCCCATGGAGTGTTCATCGGAGCGAAGTCGACCCCCATAATCCGCGTCAGCTGAGAGAAGAGCACTACAATGAATGTCTTCTCGAAACTCGAAATGTGTGGGATGAATTCAATGTCTGCCGCGACTTCCGACCACCCGACTCCCGTGTGCCGATTCCGAGTAGCCCCCCATCCACTCGGGAGACGATGCAGCTTTAGCCTCTGACCTTTCGATCATAATATGTACTACAATCGCACCACCGATGATTTTATCATCGAATGGAAACTGCGTGTCTCTTGAGTTCTACTCACTTTTCTTCGAGGCAGAATCCGCGATTTTGTCATTTCCTCGGACGTCATTTCGGAAACTGTTCGTTTGCCACCATGCACAACTCGAGCAGTGGGAGCGTATTGTTTTCAGCCGAGTGACAGTCCAGCGCCAAGTACTCCTTACCGGCTCGTCTATGGCCAGGCGACTCACGCTCTGATAGCGCGGTGGCTCGAGTGCGTGGCCTAGAAACGCACCAAAGATTGCATTGATCCACTCGTCGCCGAATGCCGATTCATGATTCGTGGCCAGAACGAGGGGACTCGCAGGGGCGTGCCTCGCAAAAGCTGTCTGATTCGGATAAGCTGCCTCACGGCTCGAGCTCGGAGATCTAAACCGAAATGTTCTCGGCGGGAGCCAAACTTCGATCGCTTGGCGGCCATGACTTTCTCTTGTAGATCCTCGCTATCACGGAGAGTCATCTCGGCGAACCTTGACCAGGAACATGCAGGGAGTTTCATGACATTCACGTCACCGTCATCGTTCGCGAGAGTTCGGATTCGATTATCATATTGGTCGTCCTGTGCTTCGAGAGAGCACGCCGATAGACATGATCGTGGGATGAGAAAGTCTAGGGGAGACATGCAGAGCAATCCGTAATTTTCACGGGTTATCAAGCCTCCATAAGGAAATCGCTCGCTACGCCGTGGATAAACTCGAATGGTGTCCGAGACTCGGATGTGTTCACGAGCTCGAACAATCTCGCATCAGTCTTGAGATACTTGGCGCGTTTTGCAGTCGGCCGGTGGCCGTTGATGTATCAAGCCGGGAGGACATCGCGATAATGCTGAATTCTTCTCAAGCCATCGACGAACCTGCACAACGACGGATGATCAACTCCAAACTCCGTCTGTGACCGTCTGTGGGCCGCCTCGGCGCAGTTGTTTGTTCGAGAATCCTGGTTAAGATTACGCTCACACACGGACTACAAGCTGACCGGAAACATTGGTTATCGCCGGATTACGCTCCCGTCAGGGAGGAGATGCTGCAGTGAGCCTACGTGTGTGTCCTCGAAGTACTTCAGCACCGGCATCAAGTCTTCAGACAAGAAAACCGTCAATTCTGCGATAACATTGTCGATGTCGTCGGGAGGGACAAAGGCGAGTCCGATGATCATGCGAGCGGACAGCGATAAATTCCCGTCGTTTTGATACCGGCTCATCGAGTGCTGATCCTTGATCTTCTTCATGTTCTTCACTAGGTGGATGACACAAGCGTGGATTTCGGCGAGAGGGAAGGCTTCACTAAGCGCGTTGATGAGTCCCTTTCCGAAGTCTGTCGATATCGCTTCAGGGCTCAAAAAAGGCCATGCATCTCGGAGGAGTCGTATCATGCGACGGTACGTTTCTTTCTTGGTCTTGTTGGGTGACAGAGCATAACAGACCGGTAGAACGAAGCCATCCCGCTAGACGAGGACCGCAACAATTTGGTGGAAGAGACCAGAGGATAGGCTGAATGTACCATCCACTTATATTTTAAGCACCTGCCGGATCCATTCGGAAAAAGATTCTCGTCCAAACAAGAGTATCCGTTGCGCGTCGTCCTGACCCATCGGAGAAAAATGAGCGCCTTGGAGCTGAGTTGTGACCGCATAAATCTCTGGACTCGAATCGAGAAGTGAAGAGGATCAAATAATTTGTCGTGAGAAAGTTACCTGAGTCGCCGAGGAGGAAGGACTCGAAAACGCCTGGATCACTTTCGTATACGGTAAACTCAGGGGGTATCACGATCGCTTTTCGACTCAATGATGTCGCTTGGGGTCTCAATGCTGATTTCCGGGCTCGATTCTCCAATCGAGAACAGATGGACTCCAGACGTCGAGCGGAGAGTTTTGCAGCTGTGGAGGATCTCCCGAACGCAGTCTCAATCAACTGGAGTGGCGCGCCTTTACTCTCCACTCCACGACGTTTCAAACTACACCGCATGCTGGATCCGGTTCATTGCTGTGAACGCCTATCATTTTGATAACTTCATCCGTATCGACAGAAGGGTGCAGCCGCGCTATTGCAAGCGCCGACTTGGTTGCAGCGCCAGATTCGGAAAGAACCGTCTTTAATCAACTTCTCTCTGATGTACGAATCGCCGTTGTGGGTCGTGGACCCTCTTCAGTCTACCGCGTTGCGGAACTACCGTACCGGAGGACGAAGCCATTTCCTTCGAGTGTAGAATCCAGGAGGCTTTCTTTGAGAAGGATTCGTATGATACTTGATCGAAGCTTGAGAATTATCGAAGTAGGTTACGAATCGAACGATTTCAGAGCCCTCGAACACAACGTTCCAGATTGATCTTCACGGGAGCATGCTACCCGAGGATGCCGCAGCTGATGTGGCTCAAAGTATTGTAAGAATTAGAACGTCAGACGAAGCTCTCAGAACTCTCTGCCATTATGGCTCTTGGCACCATTGACTCTTACAGCGCTCCGGAGAATGATTCTGCTGTGAAACCCGAGGATATTTTCTCGAGTGAAAAGTGGGTCGACAGAATTGCGAGGAGATTTGCTTCCACCATTCAAAGATTCGGAAGTGGGATACATGAGGAGGATACATGAAGTATCACGAAGCAGCTCGGATCAGATGAGGAGATGAGAAATCAGAGGGCATGGAAGGTGCTGCTAATATCTCACAATCCCCGAAAGAAATGAAGCGCGAATATCACTCAGGAATCTCCAAAAGACCTTGAATATAGAGAGCGAAAACTCACCAAGAAGCTCGATTTCAGTCTCAAGGAATGCTTGAAGCTCCAAAGCGCTGGAAATCTTACCCAAAAAGTAGAATTGCGGTCCGGGAACTGAAAAGAGCTGAACGAAGTTTTTTTTTTATATGAGCAAGATTTATTCTCCCAACTTTTTTGGTCAGGAGGCGTCTGAAAGAGACCGAGGTCTGTGGTACAGTCACGCCGAGAATACAAACGCGTATTGGAGAAAAGAAAAAAAACTGACTCTATCACGGGGGGGATTCCGGTGAGCTCTTACTCTAGAAGTTCGTGAGGAAGGAGGTGGTATTTATGTTACAAACTCACAAAAAATTCGTTAATTGGCAGCATGTATCTCAGATGCGACTCTATACGGGCGAAGTATATCGATCTGCGCATCGTCTTTGAGCCGAGAGCGCGGGTTCTGGCCAAGATTGTGATTCCGCTTCGGACTTTGGCGGCTGTTTCTGCAATGTGCAATCCGAATTTGAGCTCCTCATCAATGTGCAAACCGAGATACCTGTAGCTGGGGACTCTCTCAATAGTTCTGCAGTCGCAAGTACTCGCAGAGCAGTCCGCCGTGCCCCGTGCCCGCACCACTCCGCTACCCGTCTCCTAGCGGCGCCCGCTACCGAAAGTCATATTTGGTTTTCGATAAATCTAAACATCCGCATCAGGACAGACTCCAATACAGTGAAGGATGTATTGGCGTAATCCGAGTCAGCGCTTCTCAAGCTGGATAGCGCGATGCCCCTTTCGAGGTTCCGTGAGGCTCCCCCCGGGGTTTCGCGATGCGCCTTTTGAACTTCCGTGAGGCTCTCCCCGGGACTCCGCGGCGTTTCATTAGCCGAAGATTTGTTCCTCGATGGGATCGGCATCTCTCCTTATCTTCGTATCGAGGGTCTCACTCTTGATGCAGATTACGGAGCATGAGCGCGGCTTGATCCGCCGCGGAATAGGTGCATGGGCGTCCCGCGGACCCATTAAAGCCCCGTGAGAGCATTATGTCTTCCAGTTGAACGTTTCCATCACCGTTCGACATGAGAAATAAATTACGTCATAATCGAGAGCTGGGGACAGAAGGATTCAGATTCTCTGAGGGACTTCACTTCCAGAGATTGGTCCTCCGTCGAATGGCTTTGGGTCGGATCCTTATCGCATCGACCACTGCGGCGCGCTGGTCATGTGACATCGACCACCCATTCGACTTCGCCGGGAAAACCCGACGCTGCTAGGGTAGAGACGTTCTTTCGGGGATGCGGTCCTTCTGACGCTTGTCCACGAGAAATTCGACGTTCCGAGAAAGGGTTCGTCAAGTGTACGACTGCAGCGTGACTCTGGCGGATTCGGGATTCCTATCGACGATTCATGCGGGGAAACCCACTCTGAGATAGGAGCCGCTGTCAGAGATTTTACATTAGACGAGCCGTCAAATTGGCCCAGTCGAAGATGCGGCTGAAGAGGGCCTTTTCGGGAGGGGAACCAGTTCGTGAAGGCAGCTATGACTTGGAGTTATATGAGCGTCCCTGCGGGGATTTCTTCGGAATTCCCTGAAGTCGGTTGATGAACAAGGTTTCAGCTCACGCACCTCTTTCCGTTCCTCACAAGCTATTCATTAATGCAAGCCTCTTCTGGGAACCTCCACGGGGGAAGTCGCTCTTCAGATGTGCAGAAATCGTCTAATGTGCACAAATTCACAACGATCGCTTGTCTCAAATATCTGAATACCCGGAAATCCATTCGGCCGAGAGGGAGACGCATCGCGCCATGGTGAGGATCCTACGATTTTTTTCCCGCAGGTATCTCAACCGGGTCGAGCATCGCAACACTAACTCACCAGCTGGAATATCTCTTAGCTCGAGGCATAATGTATGGTCCGACGTCGGGTCCCATTAGACAGCGTTCCTCGCTCGTCGTCAGCTCCAGAATGGAGAATGGGAATGCCTGACCACAGCTCGATCGGGGCCCGGGCCAAGTCGGGCAGCGCCGTTGCAAAAAGAACATCACATTTTAAACGGTTATACCATCGAATCGCGCCTGCGGAAACAAAGCACCGGTCAGAGGAAGCAGAGGCAGCTCGACCTGGCTCATAATTCTCGCTATGCATAATGAACTCTTACTATAATTATACTGCTCGAACGGCGGTTACGACAGTTTTAACCATACACAGACGATTCCGAACTGCTCGAATCCCTGAATTTATGCCCGCAAAGACTCCTTTATCTTACGCGGATTGAGAAGCTATATTGATATATTGAGGCCTCTCGGCAAAAAGAGAGTATCGTCTGATTGGATTTCCCTCTTGTTCGAGCTCTCTTCCAGTCTGTCCTCGGAGATGGCTAAATCTCTATGGCTGGTATAAGCTGCCCGAGGGAGACGAGCGAATGAATTGTTATCCGGAGGACTTCCTTCCGCGGGAAAATAGTGCATGGCGAACGACTGCATTCGGGTACATACCACGTCCCGACTGCTACACCGTGCTGTTCCCAAATTAAGTCGTGCTATCTGCAGATGCTCGGACTCTCTCCCAGCAAAGCTTCCTTCCCTCGGTAAGAGGATAGGCGAGGTTTAAGGCCGCCGTCACCGACCGACGCCCCCGCCGGTTCCTTCTCCACGTTTTCTACCGACGCTGCATTCACCGGGCTCTCCCCAGGTCGAATCCGTCAGAAAACTAAGTCACGCTGGAGCGGAGAAGTAACTCCCCCGAGGACTGAGGGAAAAGCCGTCCACAACGTGAGGGTAGTCCCTCAGAAAATCGATGCCGTCTTCCGTTCCCCTTTGGAGCTGATCCAAAAGCTGTTCCCATCGCTCGTGAGATTCGTCTGGAATATTATCGCAATGTGCAGAGACAGCTTCGCTGCGAGTGACCGGAGGCGAAGACTGAGTCATCAGAGAATCCTCCCTGCTGCCGCTCCCAGTAGTAGGCACGACAGTGCGTCCTGAGGGAAGTTTCCATGTGCACCTCGTCTTCGCTACCTTGGACTTTTTCTTTGGACCCAGTCAAGATCTTCCGGAATGCATCTCGGATCGTCTTCGGAACTCTTGATCGGGAACTTCTAGCCGATCCCACCCGGCTGATGATTGAGGAAGACGAGGAGGAAGAGGAGCTCGGTGTCGAGTCTAAGCTCATTCTGTCGGCGCTTGTCGCGCTCCTCATAGTGCCTACCAAGGATCTCCGCCATGCCATCGTTGACGCCTGCGATCGCGAATCAATTGTTGGAATTTGTTGGAAGGAGCTCGAATGTGTCATTGATCCCGCTCACCTGATTCGAATCAGCGCCTTGGTTTACCTCGCGAAACGCTCCTGACTGGCTCGTTGAGACGCTCGCAACGTGCATCCGTAAGATCTCACCAACGGGTTGTCTCGGGCCGGAGTCAATCACCATCGGAAAACACTCAAGACTGACGCCGGAAGTGATCTCGACTCCGCTGTGTTGGGGTTTCAAGTCCCCGATTGAATGGTCAGTGAAAAGAGCATGATGCAAGTCGACTGAGTAGATTACAGTGAACGTTCCGACTTTCCTGGGAGGTCTTTTCCAGGTGGCTCGGATGACAGTGTCTAAACTGTCATCCTGTTTCTTCACCTTCTCGTTAACGTTTTCCCTATCAGCTCGCAGAATCCGCATCCCAATCGTCGAATGA